ACCTTCTCGAGATCAGAAACAGACAGGTCGGCCAAGATCTCGAAGATGGTGCGTGGCTGGTGGAAATCGTTGTTCACTAGCATCCAAAGTTAGTACATATTTGAGCACGCAGCCGAGTTGTATTCAACTTACCGATGTTAACCAGATACCACTTGTTCATGACCTCCTCAATCAGGAGGCGACTGGGGGTATCGGCATCGTAGCAGCGGGCCCACTCAAGACCCAATTGGAAGGCCTCGTCCTTCCAAGCAAGGAAGCTGATGCTCTCAACGATGGTGGGCTGCACGATCTCCTTTCCTGGGAAAACACCCCATGTAACTGCGTTGGGTCCTTCAGATGGCGCATTGGTGTGGAGGTTACCAGACTTGGTGACGGCATAGTAAGTGATATCGGGGTGGTCCTCGATCCGGCGCTTAATCTCGGGGAAGAGTTCTGGGGAGACCAAGAGTTCGAGGTAAGCCTTCTGATAGACATAACCGTTCGCGGGACCCCAGCCATGGACGGGGTGTGTCGACTTGACGCCATTGACGGCCGGCTGGGAGTTAATGGTAATCAAGCCGCGGTTGTTGAGGGCAATGAGGTCATCCTTGATCAGCTCAGCCTCGCTCGAGATAGGGGCCTCGCTCCATGGCAGGTACTCGAGCTCCTGGTTAAGATAACGCACGAAGAGGTTGGCGATGTCCTTAACGGTTTGAGGCTCGCCCCACTTCTTGCGGTTCAGCTCATTGGAACCCGTCAAGCCAATACCATAGGCATCCAGCTCACCGAAGGCAGGAGATCTCGAATCACCCCAGCGGCCGTTAGGGAACTCATCCCAGTCTTGGGTACGGGTGATGTACGACTTGTTGCGGTTGCGCCAGAAGATGGGGCGCACATCTTCGTCCCTTCTCCCAGAACCCAGAGACTGCTTCCAGGGAAGAGCGCGCTTGAGCGGCCGGTTGGGCGAAGGCAACCAGTCAAGCTCCTCGAGAACCATGCGTGTGGCCTGGGCGAGGTTCATGGTGTAGAAGTGCAAGTGGTGAATACCTGCGTCGACAATCTTGCGGCACATTTCGGCAACGAGAGTCTTGCCAATTTCACGGACAGCCACATCATCGTTCTTGACGGGCTCGAGCTTCGCCATCCATTCCTCGGGGATCTTGCAGTTCATGTGGTTCGCGCGGCGAATGAAACTGGCGTAGGTGGCGATGGGCATGATGCCAGGAATAATAGGGATTGTGATCCCCCTCTCCCTGACCCTCTTGACCCAGCGCAAGAAGTTGTCAACGTCGTAGAACATCTGTGTGACAATGAAGGATGCGCCCATGTCGACCTTCTCCTTCAGGTGATCGAGCAGAGACTCCTCATCCTTGTTGTCGTCGCAACCCTCGGGATAGCCAGCAACACCAATGTCGAAGTGGTCGCCGTACAGCTTGCGGATGTGGGCGACCAAGTCCCGAGCGTACTGGAAACCACCCTCAGCAGCCTCCCACTTCTCCTTCTCACGGGGAGGATCACCTCGCAAGGCCAAGATGTTGGTGCAGCCGGCCTTGTAGGCCCTTTGCAGAGCGTTGTTCACCTTCTCCTCGCCCATGTCGGTGCAGGTAAGATGCATACACGTCTCGAGGCCGAGGTAAGCCTGGGCCTGGGCGACCATTTCGCAAGTAAGTTCGGCAATGCGACCGCCGGCACCCCATGTGATGTCGATGAACTTGGGCCCGAAGTTGTACATGCGGTCCATGCGGTCGTAGAGGTTCTGGACACCCTGGGCCGTCTTGGGCGGGAAGTACTCGAAGGAGAAGGACGGGGCCTTCGTCCTCTCGGCATCGGCAAGCATCTCCCGGATATGCATTTCGACCGGGTGTGTTGAGTGCGACTGCGGGGAGCGCGTATTATCGGACTTGCTATGTTATATAAGTGATAGTAGGTATTCTGGAAGGTCTGAGTTAGTATTATTCTCTGGGGACAAGAATCCTAAAATGTGACAAAGAACTGGTGGCTCGGTCGCGGTCGCGGTCACGGTCGGTGGGCCAACCAGTTGTCCAAGCTCCTGGGGAGGCGAGGGCTTTGGACGGTGGCACCCAGAAAAGGACGGGCTGGATCCGTTGGACGCTGCGTACTCGGGGAGAAGACAGGGAAAGCCGCGGGAAGGTTGTATGAGGATTGTGCGGACGGGAAGCTTCGTTATGATACACGGGATGGTGGATTCATACTTGTGCCTACCTAATGACTAGGTGAAGAAACCAGATGTTAACGGTCTCTTCGTCTTCTCGATTGCTACCTTGTGGATAGTCAACGTGCAGGTGGTTTCTACGCCCGAGAAGGTATCCGTGCTATAGCGTGACTCCTCTTTTTGGATCCGATTGCCTCGAACTCCAGATGAAAGGAAGCTAAAGACGAAAGGACAATGGTGGTGGGAAATTGGGAAAATCGGAGAAGCGGAAGGTGAAGAGGCGAGAGGAAAAAAGGAAAAGCGAAAGACCAGAGACAGTCTGGAGGTAGATATGCACGGGACCACCGGGGAGAGGGAAAGTGCAAAAGGACTACTTTTTTGTCGAGCACGCCCGACCACGTCCCCGAAGGCAATGGGCGAGCCCAGAATGACACACAAGCAAGCTCGAGCGATGGAAGAGTGCAGAGAAACGAAAGTGAAGAGCTGAGACGCCGATCCCCGGAGTGAGTTCCATTGGCGACCGGGGTTGACAAGGCCAGGGATCCTGCGTCGGCCGACCGCTTGCCTCACCCACTTCTCCAAAGCTGGAGTCGGGTAGCGGTACGTGTGGACTGTCCAGGCCTTGACAAAATTGATGAGACCCTTGGCCATCTCTTAGCTGACTACTGACGTCTCATATAATTTGTCAGGATGATACTGTGTACTGTGTAGCGTGTACCCGCCTGCCAGGCAGCGCCCGACCCGACCCCTCTGCGCATTCCCAAGGCCGGATGTGGGGTCATGGAACCCCGCCAAAAAAAGCTTCGCAAGCTTTCACAAGTCGACATGTCCCTGGACAACAACAGCCTGCACGCTGTATGACCTCAAGAGGCAAGATTCAGGAGTCTATACGACCGGAGGAACAGTCCAAGGCGGATAGATGCTGCTATGGTCAACCACAACCCTACTGAATGGGAGAAATGAGCATATGATAGCCAAGTCATCCAGATGCGCTGCCCTACAACAACAATGGAAACAACTCGATGTCCATCTTCAGAATTCGGTGCATGGTGGATCAGCACACACATCACCTCACTGGCACAAGTTGCAACTTTGAGAGAAGAAGCCAGTCCGAATGTGGTTTCTCGACGCCTGGTCCAAAATAGCGGTCAAACTCCACTTTTCTCGGCCACCTCAACAACTGGCCAACTCTACCAATCCAGAGCTTCCATCAAGCCATCTCGACACGCACTTCGCTTCCGCCACTGCATATGTGGTGTATTTAGACGAACTCACCGGTCGCAGAGAGCCTTCAAAGCCCTTCCTCAAAAATGACAATGGCCATATTCCAAAAATGATTGTACCTCGTCACAGCAGCCAGAAGTTGCAAACCACGAAAACAAGCACCAACGGACGAGTCGACGATGGAACCCCCCACACCCGATACAGCCGCCGACGACCCCACATCATTGGAGAATTGCTCAATTACGTGATTGACGAGTGTCCATTCAGGAGTAACCGCCATCGAATTGAATCGCGGGAATCTCGTCTCGAATCTGCAAGGGCGACGCTGTGTGTGGTGCCAGTGAAGTCTGCATTTTATAGTCTACCGTTGGTTCCTGAAAAGATGTGGTGCGACATGTACATTCGGGGTCGGGTACAACGACGACGTACAGTGTGTAGTGACCTCTCCCTCCAATGAATTCAAAGCTTCGAGACGAGAGAAGGCAGTCCCACGGCCGTGGGCAGAACATCAAGATGTGAGAACAAAAAAAGGTTCTCGAGATTACTTGAGCCATTAACCAAAAGGACACCAAAAGTGCGAAGAGAAATCAAGAAAGGGGACGAGATGGGAATGTGGTGAAACAAGAGTAACGCGAGCGCTCTACCAACTGAGCCAGACGCCCCCAACTTTTCAACATCCCCTTGCACTCTTCAACCTTCTTGTCGTGCATGTGATAAAAGTCTAGAGGATGCATAAACGGGTGGTGCTGTGAGATGTTGCCAACAAATGATTAGCTGGAAGGTTGTTGTCATAGAAGGCAGAAAGAAAGATCCTGGAACACATCAAAGTTCATACATGTCACAGCATTGTAGGATGAGGGCTGACGCACCAGGGGATCTGACGAAAGTATCAAGACATAAAGATGATGATAACGAAGAAGAAAAAAAAAAGAAAAAGAAGTGGAAAAAGCTAGGTTGAAAACATCTGGATGTTCAATGACACATGGGATGGAAGACCAAAGACCAGATGGAAACCCAAGGATCTGGCAGGTGCTGGCATGTCCCATCACAATACATATAAGGTGGTATACTTAAGACCGAAATGTACGGTCATCGAACCACCATATGTACAGTAAAGAGGTGTTTGGTTTCTGTTTCGTGTCATACTGCTTCGCCCATCAAAACAGCCCAGAAATGGTAAAGTGCCATTTCCAGTGTTGCAGCGAAGAAAGTATTCAGCTGTGGATGATAGAGCATATCATCATCACTAATCGCCATGTGAGTATAATTATCTGAGTTCAAAGGTAGACTAAAAATATCACCATTGTAGAGACAAGGCATCACGAGTTCACGACCTAGGTTTTCAACATGAGGGATGTGATGGTATTCATATCAACAAATGCCGGCTAATAGTACGTCGTACGTCTGGATGAACAGATGGTAAACCATAGGGTATTATATGTTGTAATCCTCCAAATGTACAACTCTAACTTGGTGCTGCTCTAGTATAGCAGGAGTCTAGACGCTCTCTACGAGAACGCAAAACACCTCTTTTCTGAGCCACATAACTCAGCTTGACAACATATTATTATCATCCTTCACCATCACCACCCTTCCCGCATCATTCTTTTGTCTGTTGCGGTGCCTATTCCTGCCGAGTTATTTGCCCATGATCAGTGACCACCGTCGGCATCACCGCCGATTTCCCCTGACTCTGGGGTCTCCCAATAATCTGAGTAGCCGAGCTAGCCAGTCCCAGCCCTTGAACATCCGTAGTACCACCCGCAGTCGAGGACAAAGACGACGACCTAGGCGACTTTGGCCTGCCGAGGGCTCCCTTCCCGACGATCTTCTCGGTCCAGTTCCAATTCAGCGTACTCGATCTCTTGAACCCAGGCTTTGCCGAGTCACCATTACCACCCGAGTAGTCAGCCGCCGCCCCCTTTCCCTTCTTATCCGCCGGCGATAGGCCGCCCATGAAAACAGAATCCTTCTTGCTATCCCGCTGGCCGCCGCTCTCACTTCCCGTGTCGCTCTCGTCGCCGCTTTCGATCCAGTCCCGGTCGCTCCACGTCACGGAGTCCATTCGGCGAACGAATTGTGGCCGTTCGGTGGCTCTTAAAGAGGCCGATCCCGTGGTCTTGTCACTAGAGCTCACACCAGTAGAGCTTCTAGGCAAGCCGGAGACGACGTCCTCAGCCTCTCTGGCGTCCCTTTCGCTTTGAGTTGAGCCTCCCCTACTATGTGTCTTCTTCTCCGAACTGGTATCCGTATCCTTAACTTCAGAGCCATGCTCGTCGGGTGGTGCAGACAGGGGCTTGGCGCGCTCTTTGTTTGTGGCCTTGTCATCAGGGGTCTTAGCGGTCGCTGAATCACTAAAGTGTGCCTCTACGAGATGTTGAATGACCGGCCACCCGAACGCGTTGGCAAACTGGCGACGCACAATGATGTTGTTGTGCGCATCAGGCTCCAGCTTGACGAGCACTTTGCGCCAGGAGAGACCCCTATGGTAGGCTCTAGCAATTTTCTCCTCAACTTGCATCTGGGAACCGTCGACCATCTCAGACGGGTCCATGTCTGGATTGGTATGTTCTGTGTCATCGTAGTCATGTCGTGATAGCGATGAGTCCCGGGGCAAGATTCCGGGTGACGGTGTATAAGGGGACGACGCCTCGCTGCTCGGGGTTTTAACCGGGGCAGCTTGAGTCGCGGAGCTGTTTGAAGACTCCGTGCTTGCCGTGGCTCTTCGTCGGAAGCCGCTGGTGGTAGGTCGCTTCTTCAATGGTGGGGGTGGAATATCCGAAGGATGGTATATCCTATCATGAAAGATGGCTCGAGGTCGCTTGGATGGGTCGATGAGATACTCGACTGAAGGTAATTTGGGGTTGATCAAGTCACTAGCTGCCTCAAATACCGTCGTCTTGGGCGGAGCCATGACGCTTTCTCCCGAATCCAAGAGCTCATTGCCGGTGGTGACACGCGATCGAGACGAAGAAGCTGAGGCCGTCGTAGATGTGTCGTCTGATCTCAGAATCTGACTTCGTTGATAGATTCTGTTGGCTTTGGAAGGTTGTGGAGCAGGTGCTTGCTTTTGCGTTTCGCTGGAACGGAAGAAATTCATCAAACCGGTGAAGGGATTGTTGGTGTTATTCGAGGTAGTTGCGCTTTGAAGATTCTGGAGCTTCTCGAACTCGGACTCTGGAGATGCCACAACAGCTGATCGAAGACTCGCTCGATCATCCTCCAGCATGGCATGAGGTGGCGGCTGGGGAACCTCGTGGGCGTCATAAGGACCCGTAGGTGTCGAGTCCCCAGATCCCTCCTCACCTGGCTTTTCCTCTACATCGTCTGGAGCCCAGGGCTTCGCTCGTGGCGCCGTCGTATTTGTCCCTGTCAACTCAGCCCACCCAAAGCTTAGAGCAGTTTCAACCAATCCGGCCTCTCTTCGAGCCTTTTCTACACGCCCTAAGCCTTGCCAATCCAAGAACAAAAGACAACTTGTGCGGAGTGGCACGATTCCATCGTTGACGACATTGGAGTATACCGTTCTGTTTCGGAATTTCTTTAAGGCTGTATGCGCCGGCCCAGTAGGCAAGATGCGTAGCAGCGGCTTTGATTCCGGCTGGGACTCTCCGTAGACGTGTTTGTGCGTATTCTCACCGAACTGGCTTATGATCGCCCCGAACCCGTTTCTTGCGATTGTTGGAGCTCTCCAAGTGAGTCCCAGATCTTGACCGGTCCTTCCCACCAAGCCAAAATCGAGGGCAAACTTGACGTAATAGGGGTTCTCATGGTTGAGGCCGAGAAACGGTGATGCTAATGCGATGAAGTTGACTGGTTCAACCTGATCGAAAAAGGTTGGCGAATGCTTCTGGATGTAGGCAATTGCGTATGTCTGTATGAGGCCGCCAAGCGAATGGGCAATGAAACTGATTTTGGTGATATTATAACCCCTTTCTGTCTTTTTGGACCCAGAGTGAGGACGTTTTTGCCCTGAATCCTGTTCTGCGTCCTGCTTGCTGGCTTTGAGCGAGTGGACAATGGCCTGCGACGCCGCTCTGGTGGTGGGTATGAATGGTTGATCAGGGAAAACCATTGTCAGGACGAACTTGGCAAGCCGCTTTCCTAGATATTTGATACCTTTTTCAGTCCTAGTGGCGTTTCCTGAGAAGCCGCGCACAATTACCTCCTCGTCATCTTCGTCATCGCTACCATCTTGCCTGTCATCTTCCCGCGACTGATCCTTGTCACCAGTCACTCTTTCTCCCCCTTCCTCGGCAGAAGACGAAGTGTCTTGCTGATGTTTCGCTGCTCGTTCTCTTGCCCTTCGCGCCTTGGCATCTTGTTTCGCCTTCCTTACTCCTGCATCAAGGCTCTCCTTCATATAGAGCATATCGGCTCCCAAATTGCTGTGTAGCCCATGCGTCAGGACAACCAAGTGAACCTTTTTCTGCTTCTTGGGCTTGATCGGTTCCTCGTGCTTTTTATTCTTGACGGCGGGCTCCACAGGAGCATCGGCACCGTGATACTTGGCCCGGTGCTGGACTTCTTCATCCCACCCTGGAAGCTGAGGCGTGTTCCACAATGCGCCTGTATCCTCTACCTTCAGCCGTATGGCTCGCGAGAAGACCCCTTTCGGCTGTGCTGGATGATTCTTAATGCCGCCAATGCTTTGCTGAAAGTCGCTGACCTGGCCTGGCTCCGGGGCTTGGAACTGGCCTCTGAGAACCGGAACGACGGAGCCGAGGCTCAGAGACTTTTCGTCCCGGGCGAGGAGAATCTCATAATTAACGGCAGCCGACGTAGAGAAGATCACCTGTGAGGCGACTTCGATAATCCATGAGACGCTCTCACCATGGGTTTCGGGGTTGCCAAACTGGCCGTGCTTGCTTGTCCCCTCACCGGCTGACTGACGAATGTTGTCGGGTACGACAAGGTGACAGTTCCAGTTGGCACCAGCCTTGAGCATGGGCTCAAACTCGGGGATGCCATAGCGACGGGGGTTTTCGAACTTTTCGTTTGGGTTGAAGTGAGAAGGGTAAGCCGCAACGGAAAGGGTGTAGGGACCGTGGACGAAGGCAGCCCGCAGAGCAATGGCCGAAGTGTTTTTGATGCGCAGGGACAGAAATTCGGGAGATGGAAGGATGTGGTCGGCTGATGGGGTGTAAGTGACGGTGTAGCGGACCACTTCGCCAATTTTGACGCTGCCAGTTTGGTGGAGGAGGAGCATCCTGAACGACCCTGAGCTATGCGTGCCGTACCGGTCCCGCCAACTTGGTGTCCAAGACACGCCGAGACCGAACAAAACTTGGCACCGTCAACCAAGTAGTGATCTCTCTGCAGGTCGAGCAAGATAAAAGGCGTAGGTTTGTAAGGTTTCCGCGGTAAAGCAAGCGTATGGTACTATGCCTCACGTCGTAGCCAGAACGGGAATGCAATATGTCGGTGACGAGCGTATGTGGTGTTGTCTTGTCTCGACCGGGAGCTAAGAAGACAGCGGTTGAGTGATGTGGGGCGGCTGGCAGGTGCTTGCCTAGTGCTGTATCCCGGAAGCAACAACCGGACCCGGGGAAACGGAGACGGAACACGGGGACGCGGAGTTGAAGTGGACTGCCCAGACGATGTTCGAGGCTCCCCGGTTACTGGAAGCAACTGAAACAGCACGGGATAAAAGTATAGTGTCTTGTTTCTCCCTGCGTGTTGAGGATCGTAACTTTGTGTCTGCAGTGGAAACTTGTGGCTAAGAGTGTGATTAGGCTAGAGCTAAAGACAATGTCGTTTGGCTGAGGACTATCTTTGATGAAGAAAGAGTGCTCCTGATGTCCCAGTACGAATACGCTGGCTCGTTGATAAGCTACAGCGACACCACGATCAAAACGCTAGGATGTATCAAGTTCAGGGGGCGCGCGTATAGGAGGCTCAAGAGGGCAAAGAACTGCGAGATGTCCAGCGAGTACTGAGGACTGGAAGGGACAGCCGGACTGCTCGGGGGCTTCGAGTACCTTCACAAGGATGATGGCAGCGTGTGGTTGGATGGCAGAGTGGATTGCAGTGATAAGTGGCTCTCGACAACAACTCCAAGTGGGTGTGTGGGTTCCCGGCCCCTTTAGTCTAACAGGTACAGTTCAGGAACAAACTTGGCGATGGGGTCCAGGCCTATGATGACGGCATCTTGGTGAGTTTCAAAAATGCTGGAGAGTTGAGGATGATGCTTTGAGTCTAGATGTCTTGGAAAGCGCAGTAGTCCGAAGGTGAGACTTTGGAGATTAAGACCACTGACGGCTGTCATGTCCAGAGAGAGGTAGGTGCCTCTGACGCGAGTTAAAGAGGTTTTGACATTTGACAGTCGACGAAGCCCGTTGGATGTTACCAATAGAGAAAAGGAACTTCGGACTGATCCAAGTCGGTGCAAATCAACATCAGTCAGTACCAACTTTGGTCACGGCATGCGGCTGATCTAAAGTTAGTTATCCAGCGCAATTGTCTTTCACATGTTGAACCTCCCGTCGTCATTGGAGAGGCGGTTAAGTTCTTTGCTCACCTCAGTCACTTGTACCGACCTGTTGCAGAGAGAGTGAACTTCTGCTCCCGTGCCTCTTTCACAACTGAAGGAGTGTCAAAGCGACAGCCCAGGGTGCAGCAGAGACACTGTGCGGCTCGAGCTCCAGGGCGCCCTGCCCCTGGTCCTTCCTTACGTAAGGCTAGGGTGGTGAGCTAGCGCGGGCTTGGCGAGATACGTAGCCCCACGTGACCCTTGCCAACCACCCGGGCTCGCTCACCGTCTTTGCCGGTTCCTGGATTGCTCGTGGCCAACTGCTTCTCTCTACCGCTCTACCGCTCGTCCTGCCGCGCTCGCATTCCTGACCGCCAACTTTTTTAGACCGGCAGTATTTTCACGTCGCCATCCATCGCAGGAGACCCCTCCCCGGCCCGCGCCAGCGCCAGTCGCCAATCGCTCACCGACAAGCAGTCGCCAGTCTCTCTTCCTAGATGCCCCCCGATTGTCCAGCGTGCAGTCTCCGGCACAATGGGTAGACGGCCGAATGCTCTGATCCTGCAGTATTTCGAGCGAGGCCCAAAGCTGCAGGACCAGAGCAATCGTTATCCTCATACTTGTAAATCGTGAGTTGCGGTGACCGACTCTTTTCTCCCAGTTAATGTCATCACTGTCGTCGTCGTTGTCGTCGCTCTCCATCGCTGCTTTCCTTCGAACCAGTCTCCAGCCCTCCTCCTCCGAGCCTGACCATGTCGACGACCACTGCTGCCGCCCATGATGCTTCTGATGCTGATTGCTTCCCACTTCACCGACACAGATGCGGAGAGCACTTCCCACGAGGCCGTCTCGACAGCTTGACAACCCACCTCACCAAGAAATGTCCCGCCATTGGCGAGGCCGACCGTGTTAATGCCATCTTCACCCTTTCCGGAATGAGCCATGCTTCCCACCGACTACACCAGACCCAGCACGCCCAGGGCCAGGTACAACAGCCCTTACAGATCCCGACCCAGGTCAACGGCGTCAATGGCTCCCCAGTGGATCTGCCCATGATACAACGCGACCTCCAGCGTGATTGGACTGCTCTCGGAGTGCTGGCCGAGGTTTCGAGGCAGATTGACATGAGCGAGAAGAACGACGATCGCGTACCTCTCCACCCGACTGTCTCTTCGGGTACCGTACCAGGCGCCACTCCCTCGCAGTCTGTCGAACATTTTGTTGTCCAGGACCAGGGGAATGTAGAGAATCAGCACCAGACCGACGAGCATGCGGTTTTGGGTGAGCAACCAAAGCGTAAGTTGCGGGCTCCTGGCTTACACCGCTTTTGCTACCTTTATCAACGGACACTGATAAGTTGGTCATTACAGCCGAACCAGTTGCGCCGACAGACGAAGAACGAGTTCTCACCGCCGAAGAGCGATTGCACGAGATACTACGGGCAGAGGAAAACGCCAATGCCGATGCCTCCAACATATCGATGGCCGCAGCAGCCGCTGCTCGACTACACCCTGCGCTTCTTGACCCTCAATTGCTAGGACAAGAAGCTGCCGCCGCCGCCGAGGCCGCAAGTGCTACTGCCGCTGCCGCCGCCGCAGTAGCGAGCAGCCTCTCGGCTTCCGAACAAGCCCACCAATCCCACCAAAGTCCGCCTGAAGTATCGCCATCTATCCCCGCAACTACGCCCTCCCAGCCCTGGGGCGAGATCACCTACACGGCCGATGCTTTCCAAACAATGCCGGCTGGCGACTCTGTCCCTCATACAACGGCATCGCTTACCAAAGGCGGTTTTCGTCTCGAGACAACCTCCAAAGCCCGTCATTCACGAGCGAGGTTCAATGCGACAAGGAGAAAGCAGGTCCAAGAGGTGCGCAAAATTGGCGCGTGTATCCGCTGCAGGGTTTTGCGAAAGACTTGCTCCCCTGGAGAACCTTGCGATACATGCCGCAAGGTCTTGTCACCACGTGTATGGCGTTCTGGTTGTGTACGTACCAAGTTCTCAGAGCAGCTGGATCTGTACTCTGCTGGCGTTCAGATCGTCCTAGCGCAAGGCAGGATCAACACTTTCAAGCAAGCTATGGTCCTTAGCAACCATGGCCTAATTATCGAAGCGTGCCACTTCCCGGAGCTTTCTTCGCATTTGCGACTTCAAGTTTTACAGCGTGATGGGATCAGGGAAGCAGACGGAAAGGTCACCACGGCAGTACCATCAGATAAACCTCTGGATTACCCAATTATCATGGTTGACAACGACACACAGGATGTTCCTGCCCGTCTTGAGTCGTATATGCGCGAAGTTCTTCCTGAGCTCATTAAGCGGGAGCCGTCCAACTTCATGCAAGTAACTCTCCAAACAGCCCTGGAAATTGCCAGTACGACCAATGATGAGCTGCTCAAGAAGTCTCTCGAACTCTGGGGACTGGTAGAAATATTGGACAGAGAGCGCCAATGGACAATCTCGGTGAAGTCTACTCTTGATGATACGGTCATCAGTCACATTAAGGAGGAGACCCACGAGGAAGTTTTCACCACGATTTGTCTGCAGCTTGCGGCAGCAGCAGAGCGGAAGGCGGCTGCTACCAGCAAAACCCTTCTAACAGGCATGCAGAGGGTGTTGCAAGACAGCAAAGTCAAAATCGACTTCGGCATGTACTTTGCAACCCTGATCTTGCTGAACTGTGTGGAAAAATCGACGTGGGCTTTCAAGGCATGGGAACAACCGAACCTGAGGACGATGTGGCCATTAGAAAAGGATCCAGGTAGCTTTGCTCAGCAGGGCTATGTCATCGCCGACTTGCTGCGGATGCTCCTGACGATCCGCAAAGCCCTTCCGCGTACAGCTCACAGGGAGTCGGATGGAAAACTGGTGACCGAGGAACAAGACCCTGCTATCAAAGCGTACTTTGAAGCAATAAGTCTCAACTGTAAGATTGACAACAATACTTTTTTTCATTTTGGGTTTATTGGTTTTAGCTAACCTGTTCCGTCCGTGTTCCAGTCGCCCAAATCAAGTCAAAACAAGAGCAACCAGTCTTCTCCCCTACCGATCCTCGATCCTTCGAGTTCCTCTTTTCCTCGACACTCTTACTCCCAGCGGCGGAATAAGTAAAACCTTTTCTTGATATGGTCAACCTTATCAGAAAAATAATTGGCATTCAATCAACGTGCTTAACATGTCGGCACGTCTGAAGCCAACGCAGATGAATGCTTTTAACATTCGCATCCATCTGCTCATCCCACGACACCCTAATACCTAAGCTGGTTTCGCGCAGCACTTAGAGAGAAAGCGGTCCTGGTATTTCTTTTTGTGGTTCTTCATCCCACTACTAGGTCTTTTAAAAACCGGCGTTTTATAGTGCCCCCGCACGCACACTGTCACGAATTAGATGGTTCGGATGGGTTAGATGAAAAAGGTCTCATCCTCGGTCGGTCGGTGTTCCATCATCGATCCAACAAGCGGAGAGATGGGAAGGGAGGGGACAGAATTGGTTTGAGTGAGTTTCATTCATCACAACATCAGCGGGCATACGTTATGGATTTTCTCCCTTATTTTCTTGTTTTTTTTTCCTCGACGAATTTTGCGCGGGAATATGGGATTACGTTTTGTTTGATAGACCAAAATACCCCTGTGGTTTGAACATTAGGCAGTTTTTTTATACCATTTAGTTTAACTGTAATCTCCTGGTTTCCTTGTGTTGGATACGATTAGGTATCATGTATCGTCACCAACCACCCAAGTGGCAGTCTTTATAAGGAAGTAAATAAAAGGATAAATAAGAGGACGTATACCAAAGCAGTTCACTGAAGAGGCACGCAGTATGCATGTGTAGATTGAGAATGCTGTGTGTGTATCGAAACAGACAACCGAACACCCGCGAATGATAACAAACGCCATGCCACGCTTTGTGAATGAAGGATACGAATGAATCGAATCTTATTCTATTGCCATTCCCTCCCTTTTGCACCAGCGCCTGCCTTGCCCCCATGCTTTTCTTCCTGTCTCATTTCCATTACACTGAGCAGCATCATACAGGTATCCTCCATCAACATCTTATCTGCGTCCAAAAAGACCCTAGCCTTGAAACCGAGAATCGAACCCCCCAAGAGAACCAGCCCCATAAAGGACATCTAATGATTTTTTTCTTCGTACACTCTCCAAACAACACATTATTGTACCCATTCATATTACCCACTACCAACTTCCTCGACAGAAACCCCATGGCCCATCGACTCTTCAGCAAGTCGCGAAGCTCTTTCAAGCACTTACTTCCTCATGCATTGGCCCCAACTTCCCTATGCCTCCTTACAATATAATACGTGATCAAACTCTTCGGATCATCCCTCACCCCCTCTCTCTTCACCGCATCCCAAAACCTCTGATCGCCCACCCTCGCATGCAGCGCCACACACAACTGCACAGCATCCATACGCACCGCGCTGTCCGCGCTTTCCAGGCACTTGGCCGCCAGCCCAGCGAGGGTATCCAGCTCCTGCTCGGTAGGCGTGAACGGCGTCGAGGAGGTCGCTGAGCTTTCAACCACCTCCTTGAGGACGTGCATTCCCATACTAAGGGAGCGCGCGCCCGGCCCACCAGCAGCTGCTGTGTTGTGCTGCTGGTCCTTATCCAGCAGCGCCTCGCGGAGCGTGTTGGCCAGCACCAGGGTGATCTCGGCAGGGTCGCCTAGGGTGATGAGCTCGTCGGCGAGCAGCTCCATGCCGCTGACGATGTGGGAGCGGCTGTCATAGGCGGCGCGGGCACGCAGCAGGCTCTCGAGACCGCGGGAGACGTGGGGACGGAAGTTGTCGCGCATCTTCTTAAGGAGCAGCTTGATGGTGGCCAGGATCTGGGCCTTGACGTCCTGTTGCTTCTCGGCGGGGATGTGGGGGATTTCGGAAGGGCGGGCTTCGAGGAACTCGAAGAGGCCGGAGAGGAGAGCGTCGAACTTGTCATCGGTGAAGATGGCGCCACCTTTGGGATCGCGAATGATGCCCTGCAGCTTGCGGAAGCCGTGGACGTCGAGGGACTTGGTCTTGACCTTGGAAATGCCACTGTCAAGGAGGCGCGAGTTTTGCCTGGTCCGCTCAGGGGAAGAAGGAATGGGTATTTCGCCCATTCCATGACCGTTCTCGCCATCGAAAGACTGCTGTGGCGGCTGAGGAGTAGCGGCACCTTCGTTTACCGGCTTAGGCTCCAAAACAGGACCGGTATAGGTGGACTGTGGTTCAGCCTCTCCTGCAGTGAAAGGGTCCTCATACACCTGAACAGACCCGAAAGGGCTATCAGGCACGATCTCGACGGCCTCGATGGGCACTATAGCAATCTGCGGTTGCTGTGACTCCACCGTAGGCGACGGAGTCTTCTGAGTTGGCAGCACAGTGCTGGGTACTACCAACGAGAGCTCTTCATCTTTGGATGGGCTGCTCTCGGGTAATGGTATCTGAGCAGGATCTAGCATAACTCTTGAAGGCGAGGCGATTACGGGTGATGGAGGCAACTCCGGCGCTAAGGGTGATCGGGGAGAACGAACGCCAATTGCGCTGGTGGGCTTTGTTGGACTAGGAATACCAGAAACCGGAATTGGAATGCCAGACTCGCTGCTATGCGTAGAATGACCTTGCTGTGGCCTAGGGATCGCCTTCTTCGGAGAGATGACAAGTGTCTGCGTCTTGGGGCTCGTGACAGTCTTGACCCTAGGTTTTGGAGGCGGGCTGGTTGGCTCGGCGGGAGGTACTTCATTCCTCACCGAATATGGACCCACCGTTGCCGGTCGAGCAGCTACTTCAGGCCTTCTTTTGCCGGGCCGCATTGGTGCCCCCGAAAGGCCCCCCGAGCTAGTACCAAACGCTGATTTTGTTGGTGCGGGAACAGCTGACGTTGTGGTAGCAGAAGCGGTGGATGCTTGGGAGGTTGATGAAACATTTCTCGTCGTCCCCACGGGAGAGAAATGAGCCATGGCTGAACCAGGCCGCGGTGGCTGGTTTTTCGACGATGCCATGGCCCTCTTCTGAGCAATAATGGCATCGCGCACGCTCGGCTTGGGAGCCCCCATAACGCTCTTGGAGAGACCCATGCCAGGGCGGGCTCCTCCTGCTTCAGTCCTACTGTGAGCATTAGGGTTATTAGGGTCCTTTTGAAGCAGCTTTTGCGCGGTCGAGTCAAGCTCGTTCATTATGGAAGTCGCCCGGGCCGGCCATATCCCGGAGAAAGTCCAATACGTTGCTCGCATCTTCTCTCTGACGCCAGGGTTTGCATCGGCCAGGCCCTTCTTGAGGCATTTCTCAATCAGATCTAGGCCGCCAGTGTGTTCGACATGGTTTTTATGATGTGCCATTTTGGTAAGCATCGTTTTGAGCCACTCAGTGGCATAGAGCCTCGGCTGAACGTTCTTGTCTTGACAGGCCATCCAGATGTGCTGCATAAGGCGATTGGTATAGCTGACCTTTCCAAGGATGGTGTTGATTGTGGCATTGGCTTGCGCGGAAGCAATCTTCTTGGTGGCTGCGCATAGTTTGACAAATGTCTGCATGAGGATTTCCACCATCGGATCCATACCTGGACCGTAAACTGTCGCAATGTCCTGGACAAGAGCGCAGCCTTCTTTGGACAAGCTGGTTCTGAGGGAGGTGACCGCTTTGATGATGCCATCAAGTAGCGCTCGAAGCGCAGCGAGAAAGGAGTCGTGGAAGTCCGAGACGGCGTTTCCAGCGATAAGTCTCCTCAGTTTGGTCATGCTTTCCTCCCGCTTCAGCCAGTTCTGTTCTGTCTCCCTTCCGTCGAAGAACATGTGCATATCTCTGAATATATCGTCCAACTCACGTTGTGTGTTCACAAATTGTGGTTCGACCGGCTCGGGGCGGCTATCTAGTCCCGGCGTAAGGGGGCGCTCGGACGAGAGAGCAGGCACGCTGGCGGATAGGTTGGTTCGTATGATGGCGGGCGCAGGAGCGCGTGTGGACACCACCGGCTCGTCCAGGTCCATCATGTCATTTTGCTGGGAGGAAACGGAGGAGGATGGATTGTTAAGCTCTTTCACGATAGCTTGCTCGATCGCAGGTCTGACCTTGAAGTTCTTGAGCTGTCTCTTCAAATCCGACTTGGCGGCATTGGGCGCATTTTTGAAGAGCTCAATGACGGTGGTCTTAGCAACGTCGCGGACTGATCCATCGGCGTCTTCGAGAAGCTCCATCAAGGTTGGAACGTAGCCTCGAAACTGTAAGCCTTGCTCTTGGTGCGTCTGTAGTAGCCAGTGCATGCTCATCTCCTTCGCCCTCGGGTTCTTGCCTACCATAGCAATGTTGCGCACAGAGCGCTCGACGTCCACAGGCGCAACCTTGTAGAGGGTTGCCAATGCTTGAATGGCGAGCTGGCGGAATTTGTCCTTCTGGTCGCCAAGCTTGTCGACAATAACGGGGAGTGTGTGCGGCGCCTCCTTGGCCAAAAACCTGGGATCCTGCCTGGCCAAGCGAGCGAGCAGGTGGTTGAGCGTAGTGAATCCGGCATTGACGAGAACGGGGTGTTGTGCGGTCGAGGCGATATGGAGCGCTTCGAAAAGCGGCGCAAAGCATGAGCTGGGAACATTGTGTTGCTTGATGCTCGCCTTCACGATGGTGATGCGGTTCGCTTTGGCGTCGACAGAAGCATCGGTGCGCAAGATGGCGAGCAGGTCGGCGACCTGCTCATCGGTAATTCGTTCCGCCATACCCTCCGACGAAGAGGTAGCGGCTATGATGTTTTCGCGTCAAAATCGCCTGGGGTGCGATGTTGGCGGAATCGAAATCGGTCGCGCGATGTGAGGGAGCGAGAGGCGACAATAGGTCGAGAGACGGGGCGGAAGCAAAACAGGAGAAAAGGTGGTGGGTCGCACAAGCTCGAGCTAAGGTATCTGTAAACAACTCGTGCGGGAGGAAAGGAGGGCGCGTGTCGGACCGGAGGTGTCGTGCAACTGTAAAAAAGGACGTTTGGACCGAGTCGCGCGATGAGGAAAAAGGCGTTTGTTATAGGGCGCAACAGACTGTGACGAAACGAAGTCCGTTGAATGACTTCTTTGGTAAAGTGAAATCCAGGTTGCGATCGTGGTGGTGAAAAGAGAATCTCGGTGCTGTGTTTAGTAAGATAGGCATGGAATACCATGGACCCCTTCAAATCCAGACGGATGACAAAATGATGGACAGGTATGTAATCGTTCACCCGACGGTGGGTCGTGGATCGAGCGTGGATTCGTCAGAAACGGGGCCAGGTCCTTGTGAAATTTCCCCAATTTCCCCAGGCGCGCCCACAATCTGCGCCAAACAGGGGGGCCCTCTTTTGCCTGCCCACACTGCGCTTGGCCCCTTGCACCACAGAATCGCCCACTGTCGCAGCGGCGCCCTCCCTGCTTGCCCCGCTCCCACGAGGGAGCTCCAGGTTCCCTCTCCCCCCACCACCGGGTCACGGCGGGGCCGATGCTCGGAAGCTCCCGAGTCACCAGGGGCCGTCTCACCCTGCGAGCCGGTTCACCGTTCAGCTGGGGCTAGCCAGCAAAACAAACTCTTTGACGTACAGATCTTGCACCCTTAACTTTCCGTACTTTTCACAACAAAACATTCACGCACTTGCTTTCCTTAGCGGTGATCTACCTTTTATATATATAAAGTTCGCCATGACCGTTCGCTCGCAGATCACTACCGAGCCCTCACCGGCCACCGCCGCGCCAAGTGCCGTTCCGGTTCAACCAACCGCAGAGCCTGCCCCAGAGTCTGCCCCTGGTTCTCAGGAAGGACATGATCTGGATCACCAAGGGCAAGGGAAGGATGACAAACATGACGATCGCGACCGTGACACGCCCAAGTTCCCACATCCCAAGCTTCGTCTAGAGATCCGCGACCTCGACCATCCCGGCGCGGTCAAGTTCCTCGGCGCAGTCAACGCGAGCACGCTACTCTCTGACGCCGTCAAGAACGTCCAGCGGCTCTTGTACAGGTCGGCAGCAGACAAGCATACGACATGTCCGCCGACTCGGTCCGTAACCGTTATCCTGCGGGACATGGACGGCGTGGCTTATACGACTGGGGTACGACACTTTTTGAGTTTTGACCATAACGCCCTGCATTCTTCTTGTTGTTTCATCTGTCTATCTACCTCCATTTATGTGATATTGTAACCACTCTGTTTCCCCCAAGTTCCCAACCCGTCTCAAACTAGTGCACCGAGTAGATATAGTATAACCAAAAGCTAAAACCCCCCTCCCAAAAAAGACCGACCTCGACGCCGACCACAAGGAAATCCACTTCTCCCTCTCCTACATCGCCGCCCACATCCCCTCCACGCCACCCTCTCGCCTCCCCGCCGAACTCACCGGCGTCCTCACGCACGAGCTCGTCCACTGCTACCAATGGGATGCCCACGGCAGCGCGCCCGGTGGACTGATCGAGGGAATCGCGGACTGGGTCCGGCTCAACTGTGACCTGAGCCCGCCTCACTGGAAGCGAGAAGTCAAAATCGATGACCCGTGGGATAAGGGGTACCAGCATACGGCGTACTTTTTGCAGTATCTTGAGGAACAGTTTGGCGAGGGGACGGTAAGGCGCATTAATGAGGGGTTGAGGAGCACGAGGGAGTATGAAGCTAAGGAGTTTTGGGTCCGCTTGCTTGGGCAGGAGGTGGAAGAGTTGTGGGGTGAGTATTGTGCGAGTGTTTGTGACGATGATGGGAAGGGAAGTCCGTAGGAGGTGAGTGCAAGAGACTCGGAACAGAACGGTGTATTCAGAAGCTAGCGAGGCGTTTGGGGCCCAGCGCGTAGCCATTCAAGCCATGATTGTTTAAATATTACCGTCTTAAATGCGGTGTGTTACATCTATTGATGTGATGTTGAGCTAGACCAAGATGTTGATACTCTTATATCATGTCTTCGACACTTCGCAGGCTCTTTAATATCCCCGAGGGCTCGTTTAAACGCCCTCTACACTTGATTGTTATCCAACAAACATTACCCCAAAACCAAAGAAATGCCCAACGAATGCCCTGACACCATAACACAAATAGGAACCATAACCTGTATAACGCCGAGCCCAGATGCCAGTAATGATCATGATAGTGAACTTCCGGAAAGAAGAGCGTTTGCAGCGTCCGATACGCTACAAGATTCGATGAATTTAAGCGTGTTGTGGTTGACGGGCAATCTCATCAGTCTCGCTGATAACACTGCCAACGTCGGACCAACTGCCAGGAGTGGCAATCCCATCATCACTGTCGCTCATGTCATCGAAATCCCCGGCCCTAGAAGAGACCGCGTCAAAGTTTTCGATGTGCTCTCCGGAATCCGCTAGTGACATGGTGTCCGCAGGCGTGAGCTGCCCCTCGCTAACCATCTCAGCTTCAGACATGGGCTCGGTCGGCGTGACAGGCAACGGAGAGTAAAAGCCGGGGTTTCCGGAGGAGCCTTGAGCCCACTCCTGGATGGAAGCATACGCCGTGGAACGGTCGTCCTGCCCAGCAGTCATGTACTCGTCCTCATCCAAGTCGCGTTCGAGAGTGTCGGTGGTGCTGCGGGCCGTAGTAGGGGTCGGGGCTCCGGACCGCTCGTGGTTCTCTTCCGATGCAGTGACGGCTTCTGGCTGTGACTGTGACTCGAAATCGAACAAAACCTCATTGGGAGGAGCAGTGACTGAGACTCTGGGCTCCGACGAAAGGGTACGGGAAACGGGGGATTGAAAACCTGTCGGGGTAGCGTTGTAGATGTCTGACCTATGCTCCGATACCATCTCGTCTTGGCTAGGAGCCATCAAGCGGGTTTCCTCGTCGACCATGTTGATGCGTTCGTCCAGCTCGATACCAAACTCGTCACTGAAGGGATCCAGAACCATGGCAGCAGTCAATCCACGGACACCAGGGGCGGCAGCACGGCCTGCTCCACGGCGTCTAAGCGCATCATTCTCAGCACCCCTGACATCGGCACCCGTATTGTAAACAAATGTCCCAGGTCCAGCTGCCGTGTCCTCACTAAGGAAATCGTCAAAGCTCGAGCCGCGGGTAGTAGAGGATGTTGGTCGGTGTGTAGTAGAAGTAGATTCGCCGCCGGCTTCCCTCATCCTCTCTGCACGCTTGGCGTTCCAGTACATCAGTTCCTCCCGTTGCCTTCGTTTGGTCTCCTCATCGGCGTCGACACCGACATCGGCGCGAGACTGATAGAATCCGTGTGCATCTTCAGGACGATTGAAGCGGGGGTTGTTTGGGTTACGGTGTCGGGGATCGTCGAATTCGTCATCCCAGCCTTGAAAGGCAAGGGCGATGCGTTGGCGGAGGTCGTTGACTCGGCGTCGCACCTCGGGAGACTCGTAGATGGCTATTGCGGCTACGGCGGCGACCGATACGGCAATGATGCCAACTGAGGCGATAGCAGCAGCTTGGTTAATAGGCGGCATCTTTTAAGAAGATAGTGGGTGGTTTGGCCCAAGGACGGGCTCGAGAAGAAGGTGTGCGGGAGAGGATGATGAGATATCGATATCAGAAAGTGGAGAAATCAATGTAGGTCTATCGGGAATGAACAAGCTCCCCAGGTTTTATACAGGTCGGTGGGAAAGATGGATAACTTCAACAACGGAATGGGGGCATGTCGGGAGGAGAGTTCTTGAAGGCTAAATGGAGGCAAAAAAGATACAGCACAGGTCAGGAGGCAGCCGACGGTGGGCGGGATGAAGAGAGGCGTAAAGTTCAAGTAACTGATTCGAAATGGAGTCCCAGGCAGCATCTAGACAACGCACGAGGATAAAAGCTTGCGTGGCCGCCAAATGGGTGTTTTTGCCACCAGGGGTTCTCTCTCGCCGAGTCCCGCGCTGATGGGTCAGAATCAAACAGGCGAGTAAACAGCGGGTTTGTCTTGGTGATGCAACCACCGGCGATGCCCACCCATTTTCGCGGGGTGGACAAGGGTCTGAATGGAGCTGGGGGAGCACAGGAAACGGAGCATATGGATAGACATCCCACAAACACGTGAGCGTGTCAAGGTTGTCGGTGTAAACAGCAACGAAGAGTTGACAAGCGAAAGAAAGTAGCGAGTCTCACCTTGTCCCGCTATAGGAAGCGGCATGTTAGAAGTCGTGGTCAAAACTTGGGGGCCCCCTCCAAGTCCCAGATGTGGTCACGGTAGTTGATGGCAGACGAATATGGGTTGAGAGGAAGAAAGACAGGTGAACGGGAAAGATAAGAGGGCGGGAAAGGCTTGATTAAAAGCTCGGGTGAATCAAGGAAACCCCAAAGGCCGGCCGGCGGGTTTAGGCACAGTCATCATCATGATCGAAAACAGCAACCCACGGTCCAACCCTTTGAAGCCCTGTTCTGCTTGACAGCGGGGGGCCCAGGGCAGGGCAGGGCTGGCTCTTGCCTCCGCTCCCGTTCGCAGCGCAGCGGGCATCAATCGTTAAAACCGAAGTCCACCAGTGCAATAATTGTTTGGAGGAAGGCGGTGTTGCGTTGGCGCAACCCGGACCATACCCATATATGGACCACGTCTTGACCTTTCGATATGAGTTGAGGCATTCTTTCGCTCTCAAAACGAGCGGCGGTCTCTTTGGCCACGGGATCTTTCTTCAAGCAAGGGCCTCGAGCCCACAGAAACCAACCAGTGATCCACGAACAGCGCGGCATCAAGTTGGCAGCTTTGAGCTACAGGGCTACAGTGTTTCAAACTTCAAACCAACCTCCCAACATTCGACAGCAGCAGAAAATCAGCCTCTGGCGCGTTTCGCGCCATTATCACGGAGCCTCTTGGACGATGGGTGAGAAGATGATTCTTCAACTTGTCTCCTTCGACTTCAAATCCCGGCACCGGTAAGTCGCTACCCCAACTCTACCTACCGGATTCGATGATTTTGCGATTTACAGGGGTCCATCCTGCATCGATTATGAGATCATCACGCACTGGACTACCAACAGCATCTACCCCTTTTGACTACGAATAATATACACCTAATGGAAGGCGTTCATCCCTCGGAAGCTCGCTGGAACATGTATATCACAAGTTGAAAAAATGGGGGGAGGGAACATGGTTCTCAAGGCCCAACACAGTTCCAAACAATGCTACCTGAGCCGACCGCCGGATCCGATGGACGAAGCGCTGTGGCCCTTTAGCGCCGGGAAACCACGTGCTCCCTATGGAAACAGGTATCGTTCAGCGCCGGACGACTGAAGGCCGGGTAGGAAGGAAAGGATCGTTCGATGCATGCACGTAGGGTATGGAATTAAGAAGCATGCCAAAGTCATGGTGTGGGATTCTATGGATTTGCGGGGACAGTTGTACTATCGCCAAAAACGTGAAAGTGAACGCTTGGACGTTCCTGGCGTCCCATCGCTTCAGCCAAGAGCTGTTTGTCACTTTGGAGATCCCTTCAGGCACATGGATATCATGTGGGTGCCAAGCCTCAACCACCGTGCATAAGGTATGTACGTTAAAGACATTCTGTGTCTCTTTATCTCACAGGTTTGCAAGGCAGATGCCGCCTCTTTGCGATTTAATAGAACCAAGTGAAGTTAAGCCCCTCAAGACTTTCTTGATCTGCCTATGACCAGAGGCCAAACCAAGGTGTGACTCTTTTTTTCCTGAACGCAGAGCTTGTAGCATAGCTTGGCAAGAAACAGAGACAGACCTCGTGGGCAACGAGGCCAAGCAGTGAGCAGAGGCCCAAGCCCGAGCCAAGCAGTGGCACCAAATGAACGCCATGATTGCAAGTTTGTTTCTGATGAAAAAAAGCAGCTGAAATGGCTCGACAAGACCTGCAAGGAGATACAATCCAGACTTGGATAGCTGGCACTGGATCGTCTTAAGCCGTTCGTCGTCAGACTCGTCACTTCCAGACGTTACGGCAGCCAAGCAACTTGTGCATATTTGTGTACCGTACCCGAAGTCTCGGCACTCAGGGGTTTTGTTTTGTTTAACGTCTCATCCCAAGTTTGGTAGGCAAGGTAACAATTGCCAGCAGTTTCGTGTTTTTGCACCATACGTTTTTTTTTCTTGGTAGGTTTGTCGATAACTTCCGGAGCGACAACCTCCAGTCGCTGTGTTCGTGATTTCCACTTCTTCTTACCTGAATCAGCGGTATCATCATCACAGCGGAGTCCCGACCATGAGATAACCTTTTTATTAAACCATATGCAATGGGGATCCATTTTCCATGGGTCCCCGACGAAAAGCTAGCGCCATGCATTCGACTGGATACGTAGCATTGCTACCGCAAATTCGATGGTGGAGATCAAGATCCGACACAAACCGGAGCGGGAAATCGGAACTCGAGTTCACCGCGCGCGCGCACCAACTTGATTTCCCTTTCTGGCGATTCGCTTCTGGTCGGAGGTTCGGCACCGGCGCGGTGAGATGGCGTACGTAACTTGTTGGTCGGAACAAGCGGATAGACCACCTCCAGGGATCCGCTCAGAGTCGCCATCCCATCCATCCCCCGAAATCCACAGCAGGTTGGTTGAACAAATCACCAACCAACAAACTCTCATCAGATAATCCCCGCTGTTGTGAAATCCAAGGAATTTCTTGACTGCTGTTGCTGCTGTTGCTTCTGTTTGAATGGTAACGTGCCTGACTGAGTGTAACGCACTGGGACACGTTGTTCAGCTTTTTATCGATTATCGATGTGTCGTGCAATAGCGAAGGCTCGGCATCGGAAAGGCAAAGTCGATTCGCATCACTTGTCCCATGTCATACATGGTATTCAAGTTCAGCAAGATGAAAAGAAAGGCCCTAGATCTCTGGTGTAAGGATGTTAGGTATACAGCCAATGCTTGGCTCGTTTCGTGTTAGTAGCGCAAAGGAGGCGGCATCTGCCTTGCAAGTTGCAAAACTGTGAGATGATGCTTCATGCCGAATACCTTCTCATTTCGCCATTGCTTGCCAAAAGGTACGTACAACCAGCTAAGAAAAAAAAAACAGGTATCATATGAGAACCAAAACCCAAAAATCATAACGCCAAACCGTGTCCAAGGACCGCCTTTTTTTCGCTCCAAAGTGCTGTGGCATCCAGAAATATTAAGCCAGATAAAATGTAAAAGCGCAAGAGCCAGAAGATGGGCGAGCGTGGGATCTCCTCATCCTCGGCGCAGTAACAGAGCCCAGATATGCTGTGTTTGAGTGCCAAATGACACCTGATCAGGCGTGTTCATGCAGATGCCAGTGGGCAATGATCGAGGTTATGTCGCCGAAACATGGAATATCCGACCGCAGCTCTATGATCGATGTGCTGGATGGTGCATATTGCGTGATAAGCCGCGTTGGCCCACCTTCCTCAGTCTTCCATCATCGACTGCACAAGCCCCTCTCCAAGTTTCCTGGAAAGAAACAGGTGCTAGCCGACTGTCATGAGAGAGAACATGTTGTGTTGCTGAGGGATCTCGATGACTCTTGCGCAGTTATTGTATGAAGTTGAAGAAAGGTGTTGTGAGCAAGTGCTTAGTGCGACTTGCTGCTCGAGGCGGAGCTACCGGACTCGGAGTCGGAGATGGACGAAGCCGAAGAGCCCTCCTTCTGAGCCTTCTTCTTCTCGCTGTGTCGACAGTCAGCATCAAGTTCCATGGGCGCTGCCAGGAATCGTCAAGGGGGGCTTACTGAGTAGCACGGTCGAGGAGGGTGCCCTGCCACTTCTGGTCCTTGGTCTTGATGACGAACTTGACAGCACCCTGCTCAAGGATGCTCTTGATGCGAGCATCCTGAGGAGCGGCAGCCTTGGAACCAGACATTGTTTCGGAGGAGGATAGTGTAGAAGTTAAAGAAGTCTTGGATGTGGATGTAAGGAGATGTTGTGTTGGCGTCGACTAGACGAGCAAGCAAGTTTGCAAGATAGGATACTTTGAGAAAGCTGTGAAGAATGGAAGATGAAGCTGGCTTGGGGTGAAGTTGGGAGGTAGAAGAAGGGGGAAGCAGTTATATAGTTGGAGCTAGGAGGGTCACGGAGAACAACTCGCAGCGGCTCCTTGAGCTGTTTGAACCGTGTCCCACAGGCCGTGTCACTAGACATGGAACCATTCGGAGCCGATCAAAGGGCTTGTGGGCCCTGCTTTAGGGCGCAACTTGATAGCAGACAGCTGCAAGAAGCAGAACGTGAAAAAGAGGGGATCACGGGCGAGGACCTGGCCCTAAACAAGGACATTGGATGGTTGAATGAGCGATTTGTTAGCAACGCCGTGGACCCACGCCGTCCTGCATCTGCGCTTGCCAGGAGCATACTGTGGAGAAATCCCTGGTATCCCGGCAACTCTTGCGCTATCTCGCGGTGAGTCGCGGGGGGCCATCGCCTCGAAAGTCCAAGGTCCCTGTGCTTGGAAACCAGACCAATGCTTCGGGAACTTCTTTTGTGCGTTAATCCCGTCCAACTGTCCAATGCTCCAATCGTCATGCGTGGGACACCGGGCGTCACACCCCGCCCTTATGTCGGCAGCTCACCAGAGTACCAGACCCTGGCTGGTCGGTACATGGGATGTTCTGGAATTCCTAGAGAAGATAGGTTATTCCTGGGATCTTGGGCTTCTTGCCTGTCCTGCATTCGCCTCTAGAACATTGGCAATTTTTCTTGGTCTGGTGTTGATGGGTATAACGCTGTCAGTGAGCGGGGTTCGGTAAGTAGAGATCGGGGCAGACGAGGAGGAGACACTCTGGGGGCTCAGGGGTTGCGGACGTGCACTCTGGGGAGACAGAAGGGCTGAAGCTGGCCTGGCTACAGAGCTTATTTTGCAGCTTCTATGACTTCGAACACTTGCGAATGATCCAGAATGAGAATCTTCGAGGTTCCCGATAGATACCAGTCATACCACCGATACCTAGAGCGCGATCCCGAGTGCTATGTATCAAGTTACTACAGTATTTCGTGATCTTCGTAAGGCACATTTGGAAGAATAATGCGATTCCTCACCAAAAGCCGATGTGTATTCCCGGGCAGCATCCATGACTTCTGGAAACTTTCCACCGCCCCGTCCGATCCGGATCTTACGCCTGGACGGCCAACCTGGGAGTTCACCGCAAGGGTGGGGTTACTTGGTCGTTTCCACCTTTTAAAGCCAACGTTGTCGAGATATTAAATGGTAACTTGCGCATAGCCGTTTCCACGGAGATGTTCTAGTATTGTCTCGGGAATTCTGGTTTGCCATCCGAGACAAAAGTTCGTGGATGATGCGCTGGTGTGATGTGCGGCCGCCACGAGACGAAATGTTGCCGATTATCCGACTTGCTAGAGTACGTTAGTAAGGTTGAAGATCGTTCACTGATTGACCGCGAAGTGCCAGATATTCTGATGACTGATGATGGCAGGATTCGGATTTTGAGAAGCGTTTGGTGACATGAAAGTAAACGTTGACTTCTGAATGTGCGAAGCGGAAAGGGATTGGGTAATATGACCCCATATATGTGTTAACAATGAACTTGGCAACGCGCTCTTCGCGCCTATATTGAGGAAGTGTGGCAGTTTCAGTTAGTCGTGAACTTCAAATGATTTGCCGTCGTATCCGCACCTTCCGGATTGAATGGTGGAAAGAAGCGCCGGCCTCTCCTCGGTGCCGAGCCCCTATTCCAGATCATCGTTGGAACTGGTAACGAACGGGAATAAAAGGTACCTGGGGAACTGGTTAATGTGGCCATCGTAGGGTTATACTAGCATCCATCTTACACAGTCTGTCCCCGTCCACCAGCTATAAATTTTTGGCCTTGGAGGTCCATATATAACCCTAAGAACAAGAGAGCTGATCACAGTTATCGACAGTTTCCCAACTGTCTTTGATGGAGCGACGTCATGATAGCTCCATACCGCTTTCCCTAAATGGAAGCACAGGGTACCCGTAGCCATCTTTAATTGGTGAGGACAAATATGTGGTGGACAGCAAAGAGATGAACCAATCAAGTCCCCCACAACCCGCACGAAAGGAGCCTCACATCGGGACATCGCGGCCACAGCATTCAGGAACGACGACAACACATCGATAGGGGTTCCCACATAGGCGCTAGAAGGGAAAAAAGTTGAACTAGAAAGCTGATGGAACTGCCTAGACTGACTCGGCGTCGTCATCTCTATCATATGCTTAGGTACTCAGTCCTCCGGTATCGGTAACAATATCGCTACCAGGTTTGCTTAAAGAGTAGGGACTTGTCCCAACTCGGGCATGTTCCACGAAACTGGACCTCTGTAGAATGTCTTGCATGAAGAGCAGGGGGAACTCTCATGAAACATTGAGAGTTCGAGACTTGAAGAGAACTGGGGGGCTCAGTATCCGATTCCTCGACCTGCAAGGATGATATAGGGAAAAACCTAGATGGGAAAAGGACGAATGGAAATGACTTCAGTGTCGTTCTCGGGACAGAGTGGTGGACACTTAATTGAGACGACCCAATTCCCGTCCCGGCTCCTGCATTAGACCAAAGTGTCATCCACGGGTAAGGACGGGAAGTTGAGCCCGCTGTGGGGGTAAGGGGTTGTGCCATCACCACCAGTTACTCAGTCATTGGTAGCTTGTCTCCATCAACATGTAAGTACCCGTGAAGGTGACATGGCTGATGTACCATCTCTGCCGGCCGCTTGGTTCCACAACTGAAGCTCTATCAGATATGGGCTAGAATCGTCTCTTAAACTACCTCTGCAAGCATTGGCAAGCATTGGTGAGCGTAGGGTCAATAATGGCAATTTTAGCTCTGACGAGTAACTCCAATACAACCATCACAAACAGCTTCACGTCAGGCCAGATAGACCGGAGCTGATTGTCAGGGCCTTCCTTTGCGTTAACTTCAACTGAAGTCACGGCCACCGAGAAGTCCCGGAAACAACAGATTACCCTCGCCGTATGTGATCCCACAAGACGTGGTTCACATCCAAGGGTTATAGAAAGACACATTTAACGTATGCGCAAAGAGGGGATAGGAATTAAAGGGACCAAAAGTCTGGCACCCAAACCAGTCTGCCAAGCACACAACGCACAGTAGTTTCAAAAAGGGCATCAGAGGATCAGGATGTGTACCATCAACGCCTTTGTAAAATTCAACTGTCTCAACGAAAACAACTGCCGTTATTTGGGCTTATAAACAAAGGGAATAGATCGTTGTGATACAGTCTACTACAGGAACCCCACTAGCCAAGAAAATGCATTACAGGAAAAGTTATGGTATCATAGCCTGTCAATAATAGCGGAAGTGAAATCCTTGGTGGAGGCCTTGCCACCAAGATCACCAGTCAGAACCTTGCCCTCAGCAAGGGTGTCGAAAGCAGCCTTCTCAATCTTGTCGGCGTACTCGTTGAGACCCATGTGACGGAGCATCATCATGGAGGAGAGGAGGAGAGCGGTGGGGTTGGCAAGACCCTTGCCAGCAATATCGGGGGCGGAGCCGTGGACGGCCTCGAAGATGGAGCACTCATCACCGATGTTGCCGGAGGGGGTGAGACCGAGACCACCGATGAGACCGGCGCACATGTCGGAGAGAATGTCACCGTAAAGGTTGGGCATGACGAGGACCTTGTCGTTGTAGGGAGTGGGGTCGGTGGTCATCTTGAGGCAGGTGTTATCGAGAAGCTCGGCATCGAACTCGATATCGGGGAAGTCCTTGGCGACCTCGCGGGCGGTGTTGAGGAAGAGACCATCGGACATCTTCATGATGGTGGCCTTGTGGACAACGCGGACCTTCTTGCGGTTGATGGCGCGGGCCTGCTCGAAGGCGTAGCGGAGGACACGCTCGGAGGCCTCGCGGGTGATGAGCTTGATGGACTGGACCACACCATCGACAACGACGTGCTCAATGCCAGAGTACTCGCCCTCGGTGTTCTCACGGATAAGGACGGTGTCAACGCCGTCGTAGGGGGTCTTGAAGCCGGCAACGGAGCGGCAAGGGCGCAGGTTGGCGAAAAGGTTGAAGGTCCTGCGGAGGGTCAGGTTGAGGGAAACGTGGCCCTTGCCAATGGGAGTCTAGATAGAGTTCAGTAAGGCTGTCATATGTGCGATTTGGAAGCCAGGAGGCCAACATACGGCGAGGGGACCCTTGAGGGCAATCTTGTTGCGCCTGATGCTCTCAATGGCGGCATCAGGAATGGCGGTCTTGCCATCCTTGAGGATGGGGTCGACGTTGATAGGCTCCCAGCTAATGGGGGTCTAGTTTTGAGTGTTAGCAGACCACGCGTCGAGGCCCATATGGAAGGCAGGCAGGCGGAGGCGTTGAACGAACCTGAGCGGCAGCGAAGATGTCCTTGACGGCAACGGCGATCTCGGGACCAATGCCATCACCCTCGATCAAGGAGACAGTGTACTTGCCCTGTTGAAACGTTTAGCGGTCTATCCGTGATCTGAAACAGCAGCGTTTCGCGACTAGGTCTGAGTAGTTTTCAGGCCCGATACCCCGTCGTCGTGGGCTGTCGCAAAGCCTTCCTTTCGTCGAGAAATGGGGGCAGGATGGCTTACGCTGGCATCCTTCTGGCCGGTGAACTGGGCAACGCGGGAAGAGTAGAAACGGTTCTGTAAGACCAAGAGATAAGAGTTAGATAGGGTTCTTCAATGTCTCACACAACACAACTGCGGGATCGCAGATACAGCAGGGGACTGGGCAGACACAATCGCCATATTCCGTCCCGTGCTGCTGCTTGGTAGCTATCATACCTGGAAGGAAACCGAGACGGCGCGGGGAGCGGCGCGGAAGGCCTGGCGCTGCGCAGGAGCGGCAATTGATCTAAGGGCGAGCATTTTGGAGGTGGTTTGCGGATGACACCTCTTCCCGGAGAACCCTAATGTGTACGGAAGAAAGGAGTGTAGGTGGTGAGGACGGGTACAGAGAATTATCAGGATCAGGGAAAAGTCCGTGGATGAGGTAAAAAGTGATGGAGGTCTTCCCGCAAATCAAAGCAACAGCCAACCAGCGTGCCAGTCCACCACGTTCACCAGTACAAGTTTTTGGGCCCATTCATCTGGACCGTGCGCAGCCGGGATGCGCCAGTCGATGCAAGGCTTGGCCCGTTTAGCTGCTGTCTTCGCTGCTTCCACTTCTGGCCGTAAGGCGAACCTCCACTGACGTCTTCTCGACCCCACCCGTACCGCAAGCTAGCCGGACTTTCGTATGAGTTCCTGGGTGCTCCTTTCGTATCTCCTTGACAATCGCCGGGCCGCGCCCGAGGCTAATCAGTGCTACTAAATCGGTGCTACCTCTAAACTGCTAACAACTTCCACTGTCGAGCGAGCTACTGCGTCCCTACGTAAATGTCATGTAATATGCCACTTTGTCAGTCGCGCCCGAGCATCCCGCATGCCCTGCAAGGAGTAATTAAAGATGGGGTACGTACCGGACGGGACGGAAGCCTTCTGTGCAGCCTCCTTTCTGTACGTCGTGGCCTTGCATGTGCCTGGTTCATCTGCCACACCGTTATCCCAATTGCTGCTGACCGCCCGCGGTGAGCACAAGCACCACAGCATTGCCCGCCCGTGCAGCTCGAGACCCGACGCGAGCACCGCTTTTAGACACGCGACAACACTCACCCCGCAAATGCTCCACTGAACCCCTGGGCTGCCAAGTGCCCCCATCAACCACGCTGGTGTCAGGGTGACTGACCGAGGACGCGCGAAACAAGCGACACCAAACTGTCGGATAAAGTTTCGACATACGACATAACGGTTTAATTACGATACACGAATTACATGGACATAACTGGGCCGCAGGACGGACGCACTCATTTCGAAATACGGACACTGTAACAGCGAGGAGAGCGAGCCCGACTGTTCAAGGCCGAGGATCGACGGGACTCGGGGCTAGGAGGACACCATGGCGGCCGACACAGAGCGGACCATTCTCGACTTCTATCAAGTCTCCTCTCTCAACCCAGTCGAATGGCCGGCCGAGAAGGACAACAACAGTGATGTTTCCGACGATGAGACGGCCAAGCAAAAGGCCAACAGGAGGAAGTCAAGGTTCCAGGCGCTTGAGAGGGTTGTGAGCAACAGGAATAGCGTGGTGCCCGGTTCCGAGACTTCGGCCAGTGGTGTTGGTAATCTGGTTCAGAGGGACGAACCTGACCCCTTGGGCACCACTGACAGTGTGGTACGGACGTTGAAGCAGATGGGAGTTCCGTTGCAAGATGACCCAAAGCTCCGTGAGTTTAATCAAGTGAACAGCGGCCAATGGCCGGAATGGGGACCTCATCATTGACACACAATGGTTTTGATCTAGGAAATCGATTTCTGCTTTCATCGACGACATTTTCCCCGGCGCTCTTCCTCTCTCAGGTCCATGCGACTGACAGTACCGAAGCGTTACTCAATGGATTGGAAGTGTTGAATCAGTCGATCGACCAAAAGTCGGCATCCCTCAAGGTTCTCGTCGAGTCAAATTTCGAACGCTTTGTACGAGCAAAGGCTACAATCGACAATGTTTACAAGGAGATGAAGTATCGCGGGGCTGAGCCAGCAGCTCCGCGTGCCAGGGCTCACTCAAGACACGCCAGCACTCGGAGTACCAGTGCCGCTGGTGGTCTGGCAAGCCCCATGGCCCCGATGGTTGACCCTCGAAAGAAGAATGCGCTGATCAAGGAGAGTGAGTACGGTGTCATGGGCGTAAAGGCTCCCTTGCTCGATGTTTCTGCCAAGGCTGAGGATTTCTGGGGGCCTGCATTGGGCGGACGTGAGAAGGAGGAACACTTAAAGACAGTGGGATCCTCTCTTGATACCTACAAAGACTATGTCGAGATCAGTGCTGCATTGGCCGAGAGCATCAAACGGAAAGACCACGAGAGTTTGGTTGAGGAGTATAACAGGGCCAGACGATTCGCTGATGAAGCGAAACAGATCGCCCAGAATATCGGGTCGGGCGAACCCACTGAGGCACAACTGTACAAGATCCTCCTCGCAGCACGAATGTGGCATGATGTCGACGGGCAGATACAATCATTCAAGAGAGACGTGTGGCGAAGACTTGTATCCCCTCAGGCAATGGCCAAGTCGGACGCAGCGCTAGGACAGGCGCATGATCAGCATATGGACCTGATAACGCTTCTCCTGGAACTAGGTGTTGAGGAGAACCCCATCTGGACATGGCTACAGAGCCGGGTTGGGTATCTGAAAAGTAGGATTCAATCTACAGCGGAGAGGTCCAAGGGCGAAATCGAAGTGCTGCGACGGCGTCTAGCAAATGTCGAGAAGCCTAGCCCTCAGTCAATAGCGTCAAACTTGAGGGCACTCGGCAGGCAGTCCATCGAAAGCAAAACACCGACTTTTGACTCGGCCGAGGTTCTGGAGGTTTGGGAGACGATAGTGGCTTTCATGAACAACCTCATGTCGCCTCACGGTATTTTGGGTGAAGTCGTTGAATTCTGGCAAACAGTAGAAGGGTTCATAGACGGCAATACTCAGAGAACTCTCCCTGTTGGCTATAAGGGGGAATCACAGGGACACCATAGACTCACCCAGCAGAGCTCTCAGGAACTGCAGAGGGCCACGGTCGAGCTGGTTGACATGATCAAGGAGCATGTTTTGTCCTTCTTTACCGGCCCTCCACCTGAAGACCTCTCTGCGCTTGTCTCCCCTCTACCGTCAACGCCGAACACGCCGAACCCATCCACAACACCAGGGCCAGCTATCCAAAACACCACTCTAAGAGTCCCAATTAACCTCGACCCGAATAATCTTCCGCCTCCATCACCGAAGCGAGGAGAAGCCTGGGAGAAGTTCGCGTTTTGGCCACCTTGGTCCAACTCCATCAGCGGAGCCCACTACCTCGCCAAAATGCTTACTCTCGTCGGATCTGGGGCGTCTGATATGGCCTCTCTTGCTCCGGTCGGCAAAGGTGATCCTTCGGAGCTGGAGCAACTGAGAAACCTCATGGGGGCAACCAGGGAGAGATGCGTAACTGCTCTTTGTGCCGCATGGAACAGAGATTCCGAGAACATCAAATACGTGGAGGACTGGAACAGATCACCTATCCGGAAGGATGTGACAAAGATGCCTGCCAGCTTTGCCGCTTTTGAGGGGGCATTACTAAGTGGAATGCAGAAGATCCTCTACGTTTCCGAAGCCATGACCAAGCCTGGGGCCGAGGATATTGTCCTACCGCCTGCAACGAAACTGCTACAAATGGTGCGGAGTCAGTATGTCACCACGCTCTACAAGGCCCTTCATGGCATGGTAGAAAACGCAGAGCTGCCCATCAAGAAGCCTGACGATGACTGGACGACGGATGCCAATGATTTCGTTCTCGTCAATAACCCCTCTGGACTACGGGTATCAACAATCGGGGGCGCCACCCTTGACGCTGGCGATAGTGTAAGTGGTTCCCATCCCCATCATAATACTCCATCTTCGGCACAGATTGCTAACGACCATCCCCAGAATGTCCGCATGCTTCTCACCCTCAGCAACCTCCAAGCTCTCCGTTCCGAAGTGGTCCCGAACCTCAACACCCAATTCGAGAACGCCTTCTCCGTCAAGCTCACCGACGAAACCAAGACCATCCGCGACGTCCTCGGCCAAATCGACGCCCGTCTTTTCCAATCCTACACTCGTCCCTCGATCGAGTCCCTGCGGCGCATCATCCGCGCCGGCGTGACCGCCTCCGACTGGCCGCCCCCGCCCGGCACGAAGCCGCGCGAGGTGAGACCGTACATCTACGAAGCCCTGCTCGACCTCGTGCTCGTGCACACGCAGGTGTCCACGACGGCCGCCTCCCTAACCAGCCAGGTGCTCTCGTTCCTGCTCGAGCAGACGTCGCGCGAGCTGCTCGAGGCGTTCAAGACCCGCGCCCGCTACGACCTGGGCATGCTCATGCAGGCCACGCTCGACGTCGAGTTCGTCGCCCAGACGCTGAACCACTACACCACCGACCGCGCCTCGGAGCTGCAGAGTGCCGTGTACCAGGAGCTGGACAGCCGGACGGACAATGATGCGCGGACAAGGCTGCAGTCTGAGTTGCCTGAGATGCGGGCTGTGTTGAAGCGGTTGAGGGAGGCGAGCAGGAGTGAGTTTGCGTGCTTTAGGAAGCCGAAGAAGACTACTGGTCCTGCCGCTGGCAGCGGTGCTGCTGCTGCTACTACTACTGGGTCTTCGGCTGGGTCTGCGGCTATGCTGGCTGCCCAGGTTGGAGATATGAGCGGCCTGGAGAGAACGGATACGCGGGATACGGGGCGTAGCTATGCGACTTTGGAGAGGACGGATACTAGAGATACGGGACGGAGCTATGGGACTACGGGAAGCGAGAGGTAGAGAGATGGGATGGCACGGGACGGGGCACTTCGTCGGGGGAGGTAGGTTCTGTCTTGCGGTTTTCGAATCCAAAGCTAGACTAGACTAGCGTCTAGAAGGGGGACGTTTGTTCTGTAGAATGATGAACGATATATCTAGGAGATCTTCTGCAATGATCGATAATTAATGTTGTATCTATGATATCACCATCAAATGTTTGTTTCTCTGGGTGTCTGACCATCTAATTGGTTCGAAATTCTTGAGAGTTGATGATGTTCATATTCCGTACGTCGAGGAGACCTTTTCCAACCATGTACAACCTAGACAACATGAGCAGATGATGTTCGTCAGAGTCCAGGTCATATTGGTACAGTCCCATAACGATGGTGGTATTCTAGAAGTACATTTGCACCATTTATATGCAGCTTTGCTTCCCTATATTCTCTATCGCGAACAAAACACGATAGGATGATTGAGTGATCGTGGTGTTTCAAAACCAGGACGCAGAAATGTCTCCCGCCAAACGCTTCCTCATGTGGTTTGCTCCATTGATACGCTCTCTCTCTCTCTCTCTCTCTCCCTCTCTGTGTCCCAATGAGAGGCACATGCCTGCTCGCGCACTTTCTTCATTGGCGCTCGGGACATTTAGCCCCTAGTGAACCGTTGGTGCTCATCCACATTGATGACTTGTGCATTCTAATTCTACATGGTCAGCGAGAGCCTCCCATTCTTGGAATGTTCCGATCCTTAAAGACCGAAAACTATTCAGGCACTTATGATTCAGTCTTCGCTTATTGAGACCTCGATCTCACGAGACTCTTTTCAGGAAATAAGAGTGGCGCTTCTTCCCACGATATTCTTCTCACCAGACTCTTCCCCTCCTCGAAAGACTCTCTCTAGGACATCTCCCACTGATTCTCATCAGCAACGTCATAGTCCATATCTCCTTGCTTATGGCTCTCATAATGTTGGTTGTTGTGATGAAGCCCATTGCCGTTGTGGTTCCCGCTCCTCTCCAGCACAATGTTAACGTCCTTATCGCTACCACTGACGCTTCCTGCACCGCCCATGGCACTGTCACCACCACCGGCACCCGCTTGTGGTCCGCCGCCGGGAACAAAAGACATGGCCGCTGCAGACAGCGCTGACTGGGGTTTCTGAACGGTCGCGCCGAAACCCGTGCTGCTGCTGCCTGGAGTACTAGCCATGGAACTGGAACCAGGACCGCTGCTTGGGTTCCATGCCAGTTCAACTTGACCGTCGATTCCGGCAATTTCCTTACCGTTGAGCAGGATGCCGTTGAAGAACTTCTCGGCCGTCTTGCGGTCGGTGAAGGTGATGTCGGTTGCTGAGGGGGTGGTTTGGATGTCGGTAAACTCGCCAATGCCCTGGGTTGAGTTTTTTTTAGTTAGGTTCATACGCAATGATAGGAGAAGAAGAAGGACCCATGTCATGGAAACTTACAAAAAGGTACTGCCTGAGCGTCTCGTCCTTCTCAGGCACGGTGAAATCCACACCGGTAAGCGTGACCTTCTTCGGCCGGTTGTCCAAGGAGTACATTGCATAAGCAGCGTGGTGATTACCCCTAGCGCCACCGCGGAATGGAGCGCCGCGATATCCTCGCGGAGCAAAGCCTCTAGCTCTATACGCCCCTCTGAACGCACCCCTTCCGTAGTATCCGCCTCTAGCGTTCCACGAGGACGTCGAATAAGAGGTATCCATAGCGTCGTCGGGATCGATGCCGAGTTGCTTAGCCTCGGCCTCGAGAGCTGCTAGCTGGGCACGCAGCGCCTCGCTAGTGGACTTTGGTTTGGATCCATCGTCACTGCCATCGCCCTGCTGACTCCCGCCGCCCAGCTTGGCCTTCAGCTTGGCCTCCAGCTTGGCTTTCTCCTCGCGCTGCCTGGCAAGCAGCTCCTGCTGACGCTTCTCAAGCTCCTCACGTTGGCGCTCCACTTCCTCCAGCTTCCGCATCTTTTCCTCGTGCACCTTTTGTGCTTCTTCTTGCTTGCGCAAAAACTCCTCCACGTCTATCTCCGGCACAGCTGCTGAGTGACCGTCTTCGCCTGTCTCACCATGCTTCTCAGAACTTCCACCTAGAGGTACAGATGGCGGTAGAGAGGAGTCTTCTTCCTTGTACCAGAAGATCTTGACGAACCGGTTGTCGAAGACCACCTTTGGTGACCGGTACGCCGCATTCGCCGACGCCCAAGTATCGTATTTGACAATGGCCAGCCTCTTGTAAGGCTGCATCGAGACCTCCAGGATGTTTCCAAACTGGGAGAAGAATCCGCGAACCTGCTCCTCGTCGAAGTTCTCCTCTGGAATGTTTTCCACCACGATGGTTGACTTGGCGCGGTCAAACACGGGGCCGTCGGCGGAAAAGGGCGCTTTCGGGCGACGTTTAGGCCCCTGTTGTCTTCCTCCTCTGCTTCTGGAAGAATATCCCCAATCATGATGAAGGGATTGGTGAGGGGGAACGTTGGGTGGCAGAGTAAAAATGCCAGGATTGGTGGGATCGTATTCCTCGATAGCACTCGGCTGGGGCGCAAATGGTGCGCCGAACGAGGTACTGGGAGGAGGAACGTAAATAGAGTCGTCCCCGTGCTCGAACAGGCAAGTATTGCCGCGCGAACAGTATCCCTTTGTTTCGTAGTCGCGGCACCGTGCTCGCCTCCTCTGACCTTGAGCTGGGGCCGGATAACCAGGGGCCGGAGGCAGTCCCATTTGTTGCTGCAACGCTGCCAGTGTCTCGGACATGCCCGTCAGGAAGCCTGGGGGCAACTGACCGTTCTCGGGAAATGGCGGGTATGCGGGATTGAGGTGGCCGTTGCCAGCCTCTGGCCTGCCCCCACGGCCACCGAAGCCAAACCCAGCTCCCCGGCGAGGTTGCTTCAATGCCCTGCCCCCATACTGGCCATCTCTTCCATCCGTGTCGTCTCGTCCGTCAAAGGACCGTTTTCGTGATTGACCGGCGTACGAGGGGAACTGAGGGAGGTGGCTTCCTGGCGCGTCGTCGTAGGATAATCCGGGCGGTTGGATAGCGGGAAAAGCGACGGGAGGGGCGGCAAAGGCAGGCGCAGTAGGAGCGTGCTTTGGCAATGGAGGGGCGTCGGGTAGGTACGATTTGTATGCGATGGCCTGGAAAACATCGCGAACGAATACCGAGGAATCTTTTTGATTGCAGGCACTCGTGTTAGTTCTGCGTCTTCGCTGCCCAGCCAGAGGGTGGGTGACCCTTCTCTTACCTTCTTTGAGGAAATCTGGGATTTCAGTTTCGCAAAGTCTGCGGACCTCTTCAACCTCGCCGTTAGTGCGCAAGAGGGCAAGGACGTAGTCGGCCAGAACATCGGCGTCGGCATCTGATCTACATTATCGTGGGAAAGATTAGCTGTGGTCCACGGAAGTCTGTAAAGGACTGCCTCTAGGCATGTGAAGGAGGACTGGGGGCCAGGGTCACTGACGTATTTTCGAGCCGCTTCACGATCCACCTCTTCAGGTGCACCTCGTCTTCTTCGGGGAAGAGCATTTTGCTCTGGTAGGTATGTCAAATACCAAATGCAGGCATAGAGATATGGCAATGGGTATTGAATAAAGAAGACGCCAAAAGATGGCTGTGTAGTCCTTCAGGTCGAGGAATGCTGAGATCGTCGTCTTCGGTTTGCTGCGTCGTAACTTTTTTTTGGGTCGAAGGAACCCTGGTTCAGTTGATAGGCGGGCAGGGCTAAAACAATGAGTCGCAGCGTAGCGCAACTCAACTCAGCGCGTCGCGCTCGACCTTGGGGCCTTCAAAGCAAATTAGCGCGCAAGCCCCGCACTGACGATGCGTGGCTGCAGCGACAAACTGAACCGTTTCACATGGAAGTCACGACAGAGTCATTTGAGATGGAACATAGCGGGAGCCGGGAAGGGCTCGGGCTTTTCTCCATATTCGACTTCACATGACGCCGTGTATCCGATTATACACCAATTCAGCCGTGTCACCTACTGTGTACTAGCTACAGATTGTTGTCTTTTGAATTCCGCATAATCAAAATCGCAATGGATGACACCGTAACCAGATTCTCGCCGAGATGGAAGATATGCAACTCGACAAAGACCTCTTTTGAACATTACGAACACAGCACAGCATGATGAGCAGTTTTTGGTCCAATATTTTGGTCATCGCAAGGAAATTCATTTTTTCGTGACTACATGACAAGCCAAATATGCTAAAGGAAGGAATCTACCAAAAAATTCCTCGGTATCTCATCCCTCCTTCCCGACGCCTCAAAGGTCAAATCTCAGTAAATGTCGAACTGCTCCAGCCTTAATCTGGGCAAGAGCACTGAGAACGGTGTCGTACGCCTTGGGTAGACGTGATTTAGAGCTTGTCGTAGTACTGTACAACCTTGTTAGCAACGTGTTACCCATAATCATGGAGCAGAGTAAAACTTACGTTCTCGTAGCCGGGAACCTCGACCTTGAGACCCTTGCGCTTGCGCATCTCCTGGACGATCTGGCCGACCTTGGAGGTGGAGTCGAGAGGAGAACCGCCGGGGAGACGCTCCCAGTGATCGAAGACGGACTGGGGGAAAGCCTGGCCGGAGGTGGCGGCACGGAGATCGCCGTTGAAGCCGAAAGACTCCATGACGGGGAGGTAGGCCTTGATGGTGAAGAGGGGAGTGCCGGGGCGCTGCTCCTCGCCGAAGACGTGACCACGACGGCGGGTAAGGACACCGTAGACACCACCCATGGCCTGCTCGGGAACCTGAATCTCGACCAAGAAGACGGGCTCGAGGAGCGAGGGCTCGGCAAGAAGGGTAGCAGCGTAAAGAACGCGACGAGCAGTAGGGATGATCTGACCACCACCACGGTGAATGGCATCAGCGTGGAGGGTAACATCGAGGATGTTGAAGCGGATGGAGCGCATGGGCTCCTCACCGATGGGACCCTCACGGGTGGCCCACTGGAAACCGGAGACAACGGAATCCTTGATTTCGTTGAGGTACTGGACGGCCTTGGTCTGGTCAACGAGCAAGTTGGCACCGTTGGTGTCGGGGCCGAAAGCCCAGATCTTACGGGCATCAGTGACGTCCCAGCCGAAGTCATCAGCGAGGATACGGGCACGGGCCTTGAAATCGTCACGGGGGGTGATCTTGCCGGCCTCGATGGCAAGGCAGAGGTCCTCCTCAAGGGGCTCGGCAACCATGTAGAGACGGTTGTGCTTGTTGGGGGACTTGGAGAGGGCAGTCATGGAGGACTTGCCAGCGACGGTCTCACGGTACTGGACAACGGGGTCGGAGATGGTAAGAGGGACACCGGCGTGGTCGTTCTCGAGATCGTTCAAGCAAATCTCGAGATGGAGCTCACCAGCACCAGCAACGACGTGCTCACCAGACTCGTTGGAGAAGGTAAGGACGCAAGGGTCGGACTTGGAGAGACGCTTGAGACCCTCGACAAGCTTGGGAAGATCCTGGGCGTTCTTGACCTGGACGGAACGCTGGACGACAGGGGAGACGGAGAACTTCATGACCTTCATGTTGTGGGCAGTCTCGGAGGTGGTAAGGGTACCAGACTTGAGAAGGAACTGGTCGATACCGACGAGACCGACAATGTTACCAGCGGGCATGTCATCGATGGGCTCGACCTTGCCACCCATCATGAGGACGGTACGCTGAATGGCCTTGATGAAGAGATCCTCCTTCTTGCCGGGGGTGTAGTTGGGGCCCTGGATACGGACCTTGAGACCGGAGCGGACGGTACCGGCGAAGACACGACCGAAGGCGTAGAAACGGCCCTTATCGGAAGTGGGAACCATCTTGGAGACGTAGAGCATGAGAGGGCCCTTGGGGTCGCAGGTCTTGATGGCCATGGCGGCCTCGTCGTCCTGGGGACCCTCGTAGAGAGTCTCGGCACGGTAGGCCTGGGCGGTGACGGGGGAAGGAAGGTGGAGGATCATCATCTCCAACAAGCAGTCAGCAGCGGGAAGGAAGGCCTTCATGACGGCCTTGAGGAGCTGCTTGCCCTCCTTCTCCTTGTCGTCGGTAGCGAGCTTAAGGTTGAGCTTCTCGAGGAGAGCGGCAACCTCGTCCTTCTTGAAGTTCATGACAGCGGAGAAGATCTTGAAGATGGGGTCGAGAATGAACTGGTTGAAAGCACGCTCGAGCTCCTTACCCTCGTAGGTGCCGTTCTTGGTCCACTTCTTGGTCTTGGGGTTGAAGTAGTTGTCGCCCCAGAGACGCTCCATCATCTTGTTGCGGTCGACACCGAACTTCTTGGCGTAGCGGGTGGCGAACTGGCGGATGGTGAAGGCCCAGCCGTGGAGACCGGAACCGAAAGCAACGGTACCGCGGTCGGGGTAGACCTGGACGTCACCGAGGGTCTTGTCGAAGTAGGTGGAGATGATGACGTTGACGGACTCGATGGTACGAGAGAAGGACTGGTAGAGATCCTCCTTGGAGACCTGGAGCTCGAGAAGAGCGCGATCGACCTTGTTGATGATAACAACGGGCTTGATGCGCTCACCGAGAGCCTGACGAAGGACGGTCTCGGTCTGGACACAGACACCCTCGACGGTGTCGACGACGACGAGAGCACCATCGGTGACACGGAGGGCAGCAGTGACTTCGGAAGAGAAATCAACGTGACCGGGGGAGTCGATCAAGTTGATCAAGAAATCCTTGCCTGTGGTGATGTCTTAGTTCCTGGCCTACTAGTGGGTATGGGAAAGGTATAACGTACCGTCAGTCTTCTGGCCAACGATGTCCTTGATGTCCTCCTCATCGGGGAGGGTGCCGTAGAGGGAGATGGCAGTAGACTTGATGGTGATACCACGCTCCTGCTCGTCGGCACGAGTATCCGTGGCGCGAGCCTCACCAGCCTTGCCGGAGGAAATGATACCGGCCTTGGCGAGGAGAGAGTCGGTCAAAGTGGACTTGCCGTGATCAACGTGCGCAATGACGGACATGTTGCGCACGTTAGTGGGCTTGTCCATCAAGGCACGGATCTCGTCAATCGTGAAGCTATTCGAGGGCCCAAGGTCAGCATGTTGTTGTTGTTGATGTTTGCGGACTTGATGTCCTTATCTCCGGGCGGGGTAGAGAGAGTCGAAGAGGTTTGCAACCATCGACGACGACGACGGCGACGACGACATGGTCGAAGACGGCGACGACGAGGTGTATGCAGTGAAGGCGACCATGACGACGACGGTCTTGGTCAAAGGAAGAGGACTTACTTGACCATTTTGGCGGTATTGTCTGACACACACTGCTAAAATGGGTGTTTGACGTGGTGTGGAAAGGAAGAAGTCTCGAGAGAACGAGATTTTTTTTCCTCACTCAAATGCAACGGAAGCGAACCAGCCGAGAACTGACAAAGCAGGATCCCGGTAAAAACAGTCCAACTTGGCAAAAATGCTAGTGCTCAGTAGGTATCAGCCCCAGACTAGCAGACCAAAAAACAGTGAAGGCAACTTAACTGAAGTCGGAAGAGAGGGTGGGTCGAGGACGCTGATATGGAGTCGAGGGCGGCCACCTAGCCTGTAGCCAAATTGCACTTGTGGGACTGGCCGTGGACTGGTGGTGGGCGGGGAGGGCAAACTGCAAAGAAAAATTGGCGAGGGGAGGGGGAGGACCTGAGGGGTAGCAATAGTGGGGCACAATGCTGAAGGCCGCCGTTTGATTGGTCATCTGGCCTCGTGTGCGCGGCACCGCCTGATGTCTGACTTCACCAACGAGGGTCAAGCCCTGTTTTGCCCCTCCTCCCAATTCGGATTCGGCCAGTGACTGCAGGCCGCCACTGCACCGAACCACTTCACCACCGAGCAGCATTCATTGACTCCGTCCATGACATATCATCATCCTGACCCTTCTGACCGAACATTAGGTATCTCTTCTTCAATTTAGGATATCTCGCGAGCTCGTTGAGTTTAAGCACCCGCTGCTACGAGGAATTGGCCCTTGTGGGGCAATACGAAGATTCATTGCTTGACGAGCTAGCAAGCTGCTACCGCCCAATGCCCCGGGCCATTCTCCTGTGTTAGTGAAGCTGGCAGGTATCTGAGCTGTTACTGACCTGATAGGAGAGGTCGGAGCTTTGGCCCGCTCGAGGCCAGGTTCATCAGGCGGTTTCACAACTCCCGGCGGCAACCCTGAGGTACCTAGAGGTAATCTCACTCGAGTCCTCGCCGTGGCAACCGAGCAGGAACACACACAGAAGCCGGATGGAGGCATACTCATCGTAGGTTTATTGTTTAGTGAACTTTAACCGGGTTAGTCACGAGAGACAACCGTTGCATCGCTGCCGCCTGGGAACAACTCATGGTTGTTTCTTATAAGCTGACATCCAGCTATACAACTAAACCGCCCGGACCAGCTCAACAGCTTCATCAACCCTCCAGGTACCTCTACGGATCTGGGGATGTTACCCCCTGGGTCCCGCCCTCACGGCTTATTACCGGTAGTGTAGCTCTAATGGGAATCTGGAGGCAGTGAGGTGGATATAGTACCGCTATTGGATCTTGAACATGGGCAAACGTCTGGTCTATACCTGGCTCTACCATCGTGTAGGTCCGGAGATACGGTAAACAGCAAGTGTCTCGCCTTTCTGTTGCTCATTCGGCGAGCTCAAATAGGTATACCTCTTGTTACACAATGAGTAATGCGGTCAGAGCTCCAAGCTGAGCTTCTGTCAGCTCCTTCGCAGTGGCCATTACGAACCAAAAGGTACAACAGCGGAACAGCCCAGCCTCGCCGTTTGAGTGGGAGAGTGGCTCGAGTGGTCACTGTGGTCACCGTACCCCGCAATGAGACTGATGATCGTCGTTTCACTTTAAGACGTCGGTTGGGCACGGCGTGCACACGAGTGGTGCAAAAATAGTCCGAACATACTTCCACCAAAACACACCAGAAAGTGTTCGGTCTTTTTTTTCGCACACCTCGACACAGCACCTAGTGTCACGGTGACAAAACTCCAGGGTTCTGTATCGTGAGTTCATTGTTTCTTTAGGTACCTCAAGAGCTTTTCAGACACCACATCATACCATTGAACAAATGTTATCCAGCTCTCTGGACATCATCATTCATCTTGCAAACAGGTGTGGATCGTGACCAGGGACTGATTCAGGGGGGAAGTAAACAAAGACCAAATATGCATTCCACTTGCAAGGTAGGCCAGTGGTTGCCAACACACGAGAACCAGAGTACCATGTGTGTGCTTAGATGAAGATATTGTCTACGAATGCTCAACTTGCAGATTTGCTATGCCTAAACAAACAACAGGGTCCTACGCCAACGCCAATCTGACTCCCGCATAACCTATTTGAACCTGTATGCATCCATACCACAGTCTCTTTGACACCAGAACAATTCCTGTAACACGAAAGCTCGAAAAAGGAAAGGAAAAAACTCAAAGCAAAAACAGCGCTTCAAGCAACATAATGTCACCTCCCCCACACGTTGTCAAACTCCTCTTCGCCACCAACGGTAAAATGTGGGCTCCTCTCTTCTTCGCCGTCCCCTTCGGTATCCGTAGCATGACCCCAGTGGTTAGACACTTCCGTGACCGGGGTACTTTTTCCGTCATCCTCAACATCATGTGAAGCATCATGCCCGGGTGATGTCCCGTGCGGATGATGAGGACTGACATCGTCGACTCTGAAGTCGTCTTCTGTAAGTTTGGAGGTTGTGCCCATCATGGGGCCATATGCGATCTCCAAGGGATCCATGCCCTTGTCTGGGGTAGAGTTCGTAGCCCGTTGACCATTTGCGTCCGCCTTCTTTTTGCCTTTCTTGTCGTTGGGAAGAGCTTCAGGGCCTTCTGGTGCCTCCTTCTTGCGCCTTTCGAGAGGATCCCTGGGGTTAAGCGTGGGCACCGAGCTTCTGCTTGAGGACGATCGATTGTAAAAGCTCCCGGTCGGAGTGTTTTGGAAGAGACTGGGATGAGGTGATCGATAACGATCTCTCCACGGCTCGTTGGCTGTAATGACGGGATACTAGAGACAAAGTCAGTCGATGTTGATTATGCCATGTAGCAATGAAGCAGTTCCTTACGTTCCAGTCACCAAACTCGAGTTTCCTGGCTCCTGCGTAGAGTTGTTCTTCCTCTGGATCAAGTATAAGCTCGTCAGAATCATCGTGGTGCGGAGAGGAGGAATTGCTCCTCCTGCTCGGGCCGCCGTTTGCACCCAACAGCGGAGTGTTTTGGTTGATTTCGTCGGGTCTTGGTATCCAATATTTGCCCTTGCCTCCTCGCTCATATCGCATGCCTTCCTTAAGTCTGGCCAGTCTCGACCGTGACTGCTCATGTGCCATGATCTTGTCGCCCGAGTCAAAGACCCGGTAACCGTACTTGTCGCCCGTAAAAGTTTCCTTGGAGTCCTGTATCAAGTCGCGAATTCCGAAGGCGTCCCTCATCGCATACTTGACCGGCATTCTTGCGGCAGACACTCTGCTGTCGGCAAAATCGTGCCAAGAGAAGGCATACCAATGAGCAATGGCAAAGGCTGGCATCTCGAGACAAATGAGGAAGTCCTGAATGGCTGCCGCAAGGCCGTCTTGTGTGTAGCCTTCGACATTCGGGAAAGCGCCAAGGAACACCAGAATTCCAAGGGCAAAGCCTTGCCAGTAAGATGCAAAGATAATGGCCTTTACACACAGGAACTTGGGCATTGGTCGGAAAGGCTTTAGGTCGTTGTTCATGCATACCCAGAACAAGCCCAAAGAGTACAAGCTGACTGTGACGCTGATGTTGTAGATAATGCCGCTCCAGAAATAGCCCGAGTTGAGTTTGATGTCTCCCTCATGGTAGGTCCCAGTTGCTTTCATGATAACAGCCGCTAAGGCCAAGACTGGCTTCATCCATGCATATTGCAAGATGCCGCGCTTTATGGCGAGGAAGGTATGCGGATCGGAAATATCAACTCGAGGGAGGACGTGGTTCATCGGCCAGAGATGATGAATCGGTTCGCGACCATGGGTCATGATAATGAGGGCTCGTTCTCCGCCCAAGTAATTGATTAACAACTGGAAGAATGTGTAGATGGTGAAAGCCTCGTATATGTCTCTGATGGGGTCGACAAAGGCTGCTGCGGTCCGTGAGACCATGCTAGTCCACGAGGCGATCGAGTATATTGGAACCCTGAAGATGGAGAATGATCAGGAATTCCGCCCACAGAGTAGTCCCATAGTCCCATAGGGTGATAATATGTGAACTCACATGAGAAGGATCCGCACAACATAACGTTGCAAAAGCGGCTTGCGATAGTTTTTGCTGTTGATTATCAGTGGCCGAACTTGGGGATGAGGAAGACGTTCGCAACACGGGCGATGGGTAGGCAACTCACGTTTGGAGCCATATCGACCTGTTACAAGCTTGGTCAGTATGATATTCAGGCGCTGGAGTTAGAGTCGCGACACGATGCGTATCTGTAGGGTAAACATACACCATGGAGAGCAGAGTCGCGACAATAGACGCGACGCCTGCGACTATGGTTGCCACATCGGCGAGCTTTTGGCCGGTGCCTCCCATGTTTCCTATCTCGGGATCCTGGCAACGAGGTATCTGGATCGAGTAGCCGGGCTGGAGGGAACTTTGGGCCCGAAAGGTGCGCGGCAACGCCTTATTGATCGCAAGTAGAGTAAAAGCCGTTCAACCTATGGCATGTTGCGCCGGCATGGTGGAGCGAAGAAGTACTGGTATTGCACCTGGAAAAGGTGCAGCCTAGGTGATGACGGGAATCACGATGTCACCGGCGTAACCTCAAAAATAGGTGGGATGGAGGTCGTAGCTGGCCCAGCGCCTCGTGGTCGTGTGGGCAACCGGAGGTGACGATGACGGTCGGGAGGAGCCCGCAGGCCATGCATGACGCTGGGCTGCGGGCGTGCATCCACCACTGCCGCTGCCCTGTAGCCCAGGCGGCTATTATTTGGCACCCCACTGCCGTTGGGAACCGCACCCTGGAATAAGTTCCGACGGGGTCTGGACTTTTGAAACAACAGTGCGGGCTCAAATCTGCACGGTTTTACTGATCTCAAAAGGCAGAACAAGGTGAGTGAAGCAGATAAGCTGCACAGTATCAATACTCGACATGGATCAGACAAACCCCCCTACCCATCAAGGTTCGTCTCCCTACACAGCTCTGTCCAATGGAATGTCAAGAGCGCGGGCCATTCGGTGTAGCATCACGGACACCCCTAAAGTGTTGACTTAGAATTGGGAGCTACCTGCAATTCTACGTCCGCCATCCTAGCCAGGCAGGTACCACTTGCGATTGTCAACCTGTGACAGCTTCCATCTTGGTTGAACTTCGATATGTCGTTTGCTCCTGCGCTCTGTTTTCTTTAGTTGACGTGCGACGACGTCTACCTATTCGCAACATCTTGCCTTCGATTTGCTTCAAAGCGACACCATGGAGAGCGGCATGAATACACGGCGCATACGGAAACTGTCCAATCCACGTTGAATGTTGGCCGGAGGAGTACTTCTCTACGTCTGGCGACTTGATATTTAAACACAATGGCCATCCGAAGCAACTTCTTTGGCGACGAAGGGGGGTTCAATGGGTGAGTGGCTCCAGGCCGGACAGACAGTTATGCGCTGCGGTTGTTGCTAACTCTGGCCGGACCAACTTCACAGCTTATTCTTGGGATCTCTAATCATATGCGGCGCATTATCAATATTCTCCCTCCTTTACTTTAATAGAGTCTTTGCATCTCTGCTGTCGTGGGCATTGCGGACATGGACCTGGCATCAGTACAAAGTCTACATCGACATCCAAGCTCTCCAGATCTCCCTACTCGGCGGCCGCATATTCTTTACTGGTCTTCGGTACCACGGCGCGAACGAAACAATACTGGTCCAGAATGGTTACATAACATGGAAATACTGGCTGCGCAGAGTACGGGGCGTCAAGATCTCAGCCAAGGACGCACGAGGGCATAACGAGACCGATACCGATTCCGACGCCGATCCCATCACTGAACAGCTGCCGACGCCCAAACTTCCTTGCCGCATCAGTGTTTGTCTCTCTGGCCTAGAATGGTTCATCTACAATCGTAGCCCGGCCTATGATTCGATTCTGTCTGGGTTGACGGATCTACAGGAGGATGCGGTCCCGGCTGCTTCGGGGACAGAGCCTGTCGGGGCAGGTGACGGTGCAGGAACCCATGAGTCGGGCAACACACGAAAGCGCCGGTCCAAAAAGCGTGAGACGCTGAGAAAGTCGGAACAGACGCAGAGGTCGGGCGCCACCCAATACAGGAATGGGCGACCAATACAGGATAGCAGTACTGGGCGCGCGTCTACTATGGCTTCTTCCGACTCTGAGGACGAGGAGGAGCATGAGCGGGACGGACAATTCTCGCATGAGCTCCCCTTGTTCTTGCAGATGCTACCATTGCAGTTGGAGTGTACCAAGGCAGCTATGGTGATGGGAAACGAAAACACGAAAGCCATCTTGATTGTCAAGACCGAGTCAATGGAAGGGGAGGTTGATGCTTCAGCAACGGAAACCCCAGATCCGTACCGCCAATTCTTCCGCTTCAAGTTCAATCACCCTGTGATCGAAATGAAGGAAAACTTGGATTTTAAGGAGGACCAGGCAGATAGGGCTACTCGAGACAAGCAGACGACAACCCATGATCCCATCTCTGTCCATCATAGGCCCTTCCTCAAACAGCAGATGCGCAGGTTGATGGGATGTCTTCACCGGCTTCGTCGCATCGTGCCTTTCCGGCGAAATAGGTCTGTAGAATCCCTCCCTCTGGATGCAGAGAGGGATATCAGAACCGCAACTAGCCCCATATCAACCTCAAATCCAAATAACTGGCAAGGGTTGTCGCGATACCTCGATAGCAAGGCCCACGATGTTGGCGGTACGAGACCAGGCTGGGCCTCGTCGGAATACGCAGCGGTACCGACTATCTTAGACAGCCCCGAAGCGACGCTTACCATCCTATGGGATGTTGTAGGCAAAGTTCGGCGTCCTCACACCAATGCAGGCGAAAAGGCGACAGGGTCCTTGCACAACATTAATGGCGAAGAGCCGCCAGCATGGTCTATACAACTCTCAGTCAAAGGGGGTTCCATCAACTATGGTCCATGGGCGGACAGACAACGAGCAGATCTCCAACGCACTTTTGTTCCGAATCTTTGCAAAGATGCAACTCCGGCAACACGATTGCCTGTGGGCGCGTATCGTGTTCCCACCAAGTTCAACTTTTACGTTGAGTTCGAAGACACAGTCACCCTCCGAGTTCCCGTACGGGAGGAGTCCAAAAATTGGAAATGGAAGGGCAAAGATCCTGCCACTAAGCCACCACCCGAACCTCAGACACGTAAACACCGCGGTCGACCCAAGAAAGCAGAGCAGCCTGCCACTATCCATCAACGACCATATGGATGGCTTGATATCAAAGTTGCCAAAGACGCTACTATGTCGTATACCATGGATATGGTAGCTGGCGTAGCAGGGTTTTCAAACCAGCTCGTCCTGGAGTTGCCGAGCACTGAAATCTCGAGCAGCATTAACCATGAACTGCTTTGGAAATCAGGGAAGCAACAGATATCTTGCGATCTTTCTACTCCCTTGGGCTGGAACGCCCTTCGTGAATGGCGTTTCAAAATCATCAGCAGTGATCTGGACCTCTTCATCTTGCGTGACCACGTCTTCCTCCTGACTGATTTAGTTGGTGACTGGGCAAGCGGGCCGCCGCCTGAATATCTTGTCTTTACCCCCTTCAAGTATCACGTTGAGTTTCAAATGCAGAACCTCCGACTGTTTTTGAACCTCAACGATGCAAACATCGTCAACAACCCTATCGACCTAGACGACAACACGTACTTCATCGTTGCCAGCCCATTGCTTCAGTCCAAGTTGACTATCCCGATTGACAACTATAGGCCGAACAAGAACGCCATTCCTTTCAATATCACTGCTAGCAACGCTTCTGTTGCCCTTCATGTCCCCCCATGGAATACCCAAGCGTCATTCCTAGACACCAAGGAAGTTGGACGGCTGGAAAATATGGTGGTTGATGGCGCCTATCACTACCATACGATAACTTCGCCAGCAAACACAGATACGCTCATATTGAACTTCAGTACGCAATCTCTATTTGCGCGTGTATACGGCTTTACTGTGCGGTATGCTATGAAGATCAAAGACAATTACTTTGGCGAGGATGTTCACTTTAAGACCTTGGACGAACATCAGGATATGCTACGCTTGAAGGATCAGAACCCCGATGCTGAGACTACCAACAAGCCGCCCCCTAAGAAGTCGAGCGATTTGGATGTCATCTTAAGCGTCAAGTGCGACGAGCCAAAGATTCTGATACCGGCAAATCTGTATTCTTCAACTCGTCACGTTCTGATCGACACAGCTTCTTTCGGGGCTGATCTGCGGTTCACAAATTACTTCATGGAAATGGACTTGGAGGTGGCACCTTTACAGCTGTCGCTGGGCAGTTCAGATTCATCGGGCGCAGACACACCAAAGAGTGCCACTGGCTCCAACACACAACTGTTCATAGATGGCATCCATCTCTATGGGCACCGACTCTTTGGGCTTCCCCATGCTGAGCCAACATACCTATGCAACTGGGATCTCTCAGTTGGTACCATTACCGGCGAGTGTACTACTGAGTTTTTGACAACGCTGGTCAGGGGCGGAAACGCCTTTGGGTTCTCCTTCGATGATGACGAGAATGCGTTAATCTCTGCCGCTTCAATCGTCCTCTACGACATCACATTCCTTCGTGTTTATGTCCAGTCGGTGGGCATCTGGCTCCATGTCGAAGACGCTGCTTTTCTTCTTTCTACTGGGTCTATCAATGTTGACTTCAACGATTGGGCACGGTCCCATTATTCCAGACGAGCCAACATTAGGATTCCCAACGTCAAGGTCTCTTGCATCAATGCTGAAAATGCCGCAAGACACAAAATGCGAGCTAACCATCCTATTGAAACCGATGCGATTTTGGAAACAAGCGTATCATTGGCTATCATTGGGAGAAAACATGACTTCTCTGATCAGAAGAGGCGGCAGCAAGAATTCGTTCGTCGGGAGGACCAAAGGACCCATAGAACGCCGTTCCTTCTTCTTTCAGAGGCGCCTGAAGATTTTATCCCAGACATCGTAGATCCTCCTGCTCAGAGCGTTCCGCCTATGCCGACCCCTACAAAGGCGGATGAGGTTGAGTCTGACAGGATGACAACATATTCACGCGCAACCTCGAAACCATCTAGGAGCCTACGACACAAAAGTTCGTTCCTGTCTTTCACGAGCGAGAGCAGTGTCGTCAGACCTCGCTCGAGACGCTCGAGCGTGAGGGTGAAGCAAGCAGATCGTCTTTCGCCGTTCGCATCTTATGGTCGTCAATCTCGTGGTAGCCGCGGACACATCAGAGATATTTCGCCCTCGACCCGCCACTCTGGCTTTTACAGTACTTTCGGTGACAACGCTGAGCGGCAAGATCTCATGCACAATACAGTAGCATTCTCGAGCCAGTACTTTGCACCATATTTTCCGTTGGAGAATCTGAAGATGAATTACAAGGATGCGGCAAAAATCAGCGTTGAAAGGGATGATGAAAGCGAAGCTGAGCGTAACTCTCTCACCTTTGATCTGGGGGATATTGACCCGGATTCTATCCAGGAGGATTGTGCTTACTCGAGCATTATCCTGGAGATGCCTTCAGGTGTGAAGGCAATCTGCAATCCTACCGCACTGCGACACGTTGTCACTTTGCTTTCATCGCTCCAGCCTACAGATCCGGAAGATATTCTGGACAGCATACAGTCAGACTCTATGAAAGCCATTTTTGGTATGCAAAAAGATCAGAAGATGAAGGGCCATGTCGAAGACATCCTCATCAAGATACCGCGGGCCGACATTCGTTTCGCCAACCCATTTGATTCTGATCCGGCCAACCCCTTGGGCGAGGAGGAAGACCAATACAATCTTTCTATAACCCGACTCGCATTGGCATCTCGATCAGAAATCAAGTGGCGAGATGCATTCAAGCCTGAGTCCAAGCAGACACGCAGCTCGTTCCATCTCCGGCTGCAATCGATAGAAGCTTCAGCAGCGGAAAGATATCATGACGCCTTCAATTCCCCAGCCGCTGTTCGAGCTTCGGTAGAGAACATCATGATCTCGATGGGGACTCGCGATGTCACGTATCTGGACGTGGACGTAGGCACGATCACGAGCTCTACGTCTTCGGAAAAGGTAGATTATCTCGCGTCCTTGATTCACCGCACAAGCGTCCTAGCTTCCGATTTCGGCAGGCTCTTCAACGAGAAATCAACTTATGAAGAGAATATGCCGAAAAATCTCGTCAAGCGCCTCATAGAAGACGGCCAAGGTGCCCCCGACCCTGGGTTTTTTGTTCGGCCTTCTGCCATTCTTCGTTCTGCGCCTGAACATTTGAGGTCCTTCGATTGCTGGAAGCTCGTTATGCGACTACGGCAAATGTGGGCAGTTCGGTCTCAATGGGAGAAGGAGCAACTGGGTTATACGTGTCTCGATAAAACTCAGACCCCTTCGGCTAACATACGAGAAGAAGTCATCGCAGCGTTTGAGAAATGGCGCAGTTGGGACCTGGGCAACATTTCGGACAGTCCGCTCATAAACACGATTTTCGGCCCAGCCAAAAATGGACCGGGGCCAACCAAGGAGAGGCCGACTCTCGCTGTAGTCAAGATCAAGCAGATTCAGTTTATTCTTGATCCCGGACCGAAACAGAACGAGATAATGGCCGTCGCGCTGTCGATCAGAGCTGACACAAGACGGGCAAGCGACGCCGAATCCAATGCCAGGAATGCCGAAACAGCAGGGCGGTTAACCATCTTAAATATCAACTGCAGTGACGCTGCCATAAACCTGAACTGGGAGTTGTGTGAACTGGCTACGAGGCTGCTTGAGCTAGTAAACAAACTTGAGTCCAAACCATCAACTGCTCCGAAGATGGCCTCTCTTCCTTCTACCAAGAAGACCGAGGATCATACCATTCATTGCGTATTGGCCATCGGCCATGGGTCCATCGCTCTGGAAACCATCAACCTGCACATCTCCTCTATAGGGAGTGGGCTGAGTGCATCGTTACTCTTACAGCTCGGGCAAGAGGAGAAAATGGATACAAACATGATCTTGACCTGCGATTCCGTAATCTCAAGTCTTCGAAGTCATTCCGAAGGAGTCGCAAAGCTTGTCCTACAAAGACCAAGCGTGTTTGTCTCACACGAACTCAAAAAGTCACAAACGATTGACAGCCATACCATCAAGGCAACAGCAAGCAGCCACCATCTCAGCTTCGTTGTCAAGCAAGACCCGGTTTATATCACAGAACTCTTGGATCTCGTCGTACGAGATGAGGTTGCTAAGATTTACAAGCTCGGCAAAAAGGTTCCATCCTCGGCCCCCTCTGATTCAGCACCCAAGAAGATCGTTGATCGGCTTTCTGCCTTCAGGGTGAACGTTGCTATGTTTATGGACCAATATACGATCAGCATACCGTTGCTCCGTTCACTGACATATACAGTCAATGGAACTGTTGCGCGAGTAGCGATGGCGGCGAACTTTGGCAGGGAGATCATCTTTGATTTTGATATCAAGGAGAACTCCCATGAGATAAGGACAAAGATGAACAACGTTACAAAACGGATATCTCTGCTACAGATTCCACCGACAAACGGGCAGATCAGGAACCATACGACCGACAGTGAACATTCGGTGACTGTTTTTGCATCTCTGGAGCTAGTAGAACTGGATGCATCGGCAGTGTACAGTTTTCTGTCGGCGTTGAACCGCCCCGAGGTCTCGAGTGCTATCACTGAGCTGCAACAGCAAGGCAAAGCCATCCAAGAACACATAAAGGAGATAAGCGGAAGCAATCAGGCCTCTGACATGCGCGCCTCATCTCCTGGAACCCCTCAAGCAGAGTCAAAGTTATTAGTTTATGCTATAAACCTGACCTTTGCCGGCCTGAGAGTGTTTGGGAATAGTCCGCTTAATTCGGAGGTGGAACCGTTTGCTCATATAGCATTCCAGCTCGACAAGATACATCTTGGTACGGCCAATCGAGTGGAACAACAAGGGCCACTTCTGGCATATCCCGAGTTTCATGTCAACATCCGAGAAGTTGCTTTCGAGATCCAGAAGGGTGATGCTGAAACCATGAGATCGTGTGGAAATCTCGGCTTCGGAGCTCTTATAACCGCCTCATCAAAGCATGACGATGACGGAAAGGAGCAGAGGCTGTTTAACGTCAAGAGTGACGCCTTTCATATCAATCTTTCACCTGACACAATCTCAACAGTTGTCGACGTCCTTGGTTATATGGGTGACAAGATCAAAGATCTTGATACAACAAGAGAATTGGAATATCTGCGAAAGCTCCGCCAGTCTAAGCCACGCATTGCCATCAATGATCTGGAAATGGAAGAGGAAGACCAGGACATCGTCGATGTTTTCCTGTCTTCATTCACGTACACGTTCGAGATCTGCAACATACAACTTGCCTGGCTAGTCAACCATAACCACCCAAGAGAACTCCCGGACCCTGATAAGGAGGACCTTGTCCTGTCGCTAGACAAGATTGAGTTCAGCACTCGCACAAGGAACTCGGCCAGGCTCACAATTGAAAACCTACGGCTCCAAATGGTTTCGCTCGAGCAGGAACGGAGGCTACGATCCCCGAACTCTGCTTTGCTGCCGGAGATTATGTTCAACATTGCCTACGTATCCATGTCTGACACCCGGCGGCTGGCCTTCCAAGCTGTGGGCAAGACGCTCGACATTCGACTTACTTCGGGTTTTATCCTACCGGCAGCTCATCTAACCAGGTCAATCAGTCTGTCGATAAACAATGTCCAACAGGCTTCACAAAACTGGAATCCTTCTCCGCCCGCTGCAACACAAGCAGCAAGTTTGCCCGAACCACAAGAGCAGATTCGCAAAAGGAGCATTCTGGGTAGCAAGAGGCTTGAATCACTCCTCGTGGACGCAGACTTTGCGGGTGCCGTCGTACATTTGACAGGCAAGAGAACACCCAGTGATCTAGTCAGTGCCTCAAGGCTAGGCAAGTCCAGCACGGCTGGGAAGTCGGGACAGTTTGGGCAAGAAGAGTGGGTGAACAGCGTCACGACCCTCAGGTCCCCAGGCCTTGCCTTAAAACTCGAATATTGCGATGACGGCAGGGAAGACCCTTCTCTGTTTGCTGAAGTGAAGATCGACGCGTCTAGCAACATATTGTATCCATCAGTGGTGCCTTTGATCGTGGAAATGAGCAATAACATCAAGTCGGTGGTCAGCGAACGAGGAGATGGTGCCAACCCTCCCAGTCCCCCGCAAGCACCTCCACCCAAGGCTAAACCAGCTGAAGAGGACGGGATTCTCGGTGCTGATCCCACCGCTGTGCTGGGTCGTGTGAAACTCAATCTAGGCCTGCGTGTCCGGAAGCAGGAATTCTCGTTGAGCTGTCAGCCTATCGCTCTAGTGGCGGCCACCGCCAGTTTTGACGATGTTTACTTTACCGCCAACACCGTCCGGTCGGCTGACCAGGGCAACTTCTTTGCAATATCTGGAGCCTTTTCAAACCTCCGGGCTTCTGTCCAGCACGTCTATTCGCGGGAGTCGACCGGCAGCTTCAACGTTGACTCAATAGTCCTGTCGCTGATGAACAGCAAGCATGTAAGCGGCACCAACGGGCTGTCTGCGATTCTCAAGGTCAGCCCGATGGAGGTGTCGATCAACGCAAAGCAACTTCAGGACTTTATGCTTTTCCAAGAGATATGGGTCCCCCGTCAATTTACCGAAACCACGCCGTCATCACCAGTGGCCAAACTGGTCACAGAGACCTCACAGGGTCATCTAGTGCAGCGCTATCAGCAGGTTGCGGCAACTGCTGCTTTCCCTTGGACTGCCACCATCTCTATCACCGCACTGAAGATTTCTGTGGATCTAGGTCAGGCCTTGGGCAAATCTACGTTTTCCATTGACAATTTCTGGATCTCGTCCAAAAAGACGTCAGACTGGGAGCAAAATCTCTGCCTCGGCTTTGACATGATTGGCATGGAAAGTCAAGGCCGGATGAGCGGCTTTGTGGCACTGCGAGACTTCAAGCTACGTACCTCCATCAAGTGGCCTGAAAGAGAACAGGCCTTGAATGAGACACCTCTTGTTCAGGCGTCTGTGGCATTCAGCCAGTTCCGGGTCAAGGCTGCCTTCGACTACCAGGCTTTCCTAGTTGCAGACATCACGTCCATGGAGTTCCTCATGTACAACGTACGGCGCAGCCGACAAGGAATGGGAGACCGTCTTGTCGCTATCTTTGACGGCAATGCTGTCCAGATCTTTGGAACTACCAGCTCGGCCGCTCAGGGCGTGGCCATGTACCAGGCCTTCCAAAGGCTCATTCAAGAGCGCAAAGCAAACTTTGAGAGCTCTCTCAAGGAGATCGAGCGGTTCATGAGGAGAAAATCGGTCACGGCACCAGCAGCAGTCATAAAGCGCCTTGATCAGAAATCCAAACTCGCAAGCGAAGCGGACGATACGCTCTCCAAATCTCCCATCTCACTGGACACCGACGTCGTGGTAACCCTCAAGGCTCTCAACCTAGGTGTCTTCCCCGGCACCTTTGCCGACAGTCAAGTGTTCAAGGTTGAAGCCCTGAACGCTCAAGCCCGGTTTGCCGCGAGCATCGAGGACCGCAGAATCCACAGCATCCTAGGTCTGACACTAGGCCAGCTGCGCATCGGCCTCGCCGGCGTGCGCGCTACTGGCGGTGCTCCCAAGACGCTGAGCGAGCTCTCGGTTGAGGACGTAGTCCAGAGCGCCACGGGCTCCCGAGGCGGCACCATTCTCAAAGTGCCCCAGGTCGAGGCGGTCATGCAAACATGGCAGCGGCCCGACAGCCGCTCCATCGACTACATCTTCAAGAGCGCGTTCGAAGGCAAGGTCGAAGTGGGCTGGAACTACAGCCGCATCAGCTTCATCCGCGGCATGTGGGCCAACCACTCCAAGACGCTCCAGCGCACTTGGGGCAAAGAGTTACCGCCCGTCACGGCCATCCGCGTCACGGGGGTGCCCGAGGGTCCGGCTGAAGATACTACTACTACAACAACCGCAAGTGGTAAAGACGGAGATCAGAAACAAAAAGACCAACGACAGTCATCTACCACCACATCCACTTCCACTCCCGCCGACGGGTCTTCCTCCTCCTCCTCCTTTGCACCTGGATCTGCTTCCCAAGAAACAGAAAAAGAAAAGGACCACAAACAATCACAATCCAACAAGATCACGGCCGAAGTCAAAGTGCCCCAGTCCAAATACGAGTACACGGCGCTCGAGCCGCCCGTGATTGAAACCCCCCAGCTGCGCGACATGGGCGAAGCCACGCCGCCGCTCGAGTGGATCGGCTTGCACCGCGACCGGTTGCCGAACTTAACGCACCAGATTGTTATTGTGAGCTTGTTGGAGCTGGCGGGCGAGGTGGAGGATGCGTATAGTAAGATTTTGGGGTCTACTTGAGATGTGATATTTGGGGTGTCGGAAAAGGAGGGTTGTAGCATCGTGGGGGTGAGGGGCGTGAAGGGGGGTGGTGTAAGGAGGGGATGGGCGAAGTGTGGGAAAGAACAAGGAGTTTTGGTTGTCTGGCGGTTTAACCATGTTTGTTCAAGAATTGGAGTTTTTTTTTTCTGGGGGTATAGCTTAGGCTGTTCCTCGTTTTCTTACTGAACTTGCATCTAATTATAATATGCTATTATTACGTTACATATCTTTTAAGCCAATGTTGCTCTCTTTCAGCCAGTCACAATCTCCTTGGAATATTCTCGTTTGTCTAGCAAGACTTTAACTTGCTTCTGCTCATTACAAAAGATCACAACCTCTATCTCGCTCACTCGACTACATACCTACCAGATAACTTTCTACATACCTCTACAGCCCTTGAAGCTCCCTCTCACCACCCCCCTCCCCCCAACCCCAACCTCCTCTCCCACCTTCCCCCACGCCCCCGGCCTCATAACCTACACTACTGCACCCAAGACTTCAAGAACTAGGCACCGCAAAACCCAATGCACCCCACAACCGCCACCGGCCCGAAGCACCGGACCGGTGCTCGTCAATCTTGATTTTTGAGATTTCCCTCCATTTGATCTGATCTGAGTCTGCAAGGGTAGTTGCCCGGAGGCGCACGAACATAGGTACTTACGTAGTAGGCATAAAGGGGGTGGGGGGATGGTGCCTTTCGTTCTTCGGTGTCTGCCTTTTCCCCCTCTTCGGTAGATGGCCCATTGGTGGGCTTGTCTTCCGTTCGTTTTGGGTTTGGGTTTGATTTCTAGCTAACCTGGACTACGTAGTGTGGTTCCTAAACAGTTGCCCTAGGGTGAGAGGATTCGGAAGTCGGGAGGGTAGAAGCGAGCGAGGCTTGTTCCCGAAACAAAAAGCGAAAAGGCTGTTGAATGATGCATACAATGGAGATCTGAGGTAGGTAGCTTGCTAGTGGGTGGTTTTTGTGCTCGGGATTTTTTCCGAGATTTAGTTGCTTTCGAACCTCAGCACTCCTTTTTTCCATATCCTTAAAGATAGTTGATACGCCCAGGTAGCAAGTGACAAATATTGGTCAGAGATTCAAGTATGTGACGAGGGGTATAGGAGCAGCAACAAAGCTCGGCGAGGTCTTCAGCTAAAAGAACCATGACCCTCCGCGGCTATGTACCGCTAGTAGCAAAGGACAGCTTCGGGGGAGGATTCCGAGATCTTGAAAAAAGTGACTTGGCTGGGTTGCCTGGCCAAGCCCACGCATGTGACTCTACAAAAGCCTGATGCGTGAAAAAGAAGGCATGGTTCGGCGTCTATGGATTTGTCGGGAGATGCTTGGTTTGGCTGTTTCGAGGGAGCCGTCGACAAAAGATAGATAACGCTCCATGGACGTTGGACGGGAGAGTTGGTATGCAGCGTGCGACTAGGTGACGGCGGACCAATTATCAAGTGATTTGTTGAGGCGCCTTTGGTCATTGTTTGGCGAAGGCATTGTGCGGGAGTGAGCAAAGAACGAAATGGATCTGGCCGCCATGGTTACAACTTGTCCGTAGCCGCCAGTGGTGTCTTTCAAAGAAGTTAGATTCTTTGATGGACTTCACGATCCCGTCATGGCATACTTAGTACGGGTGTTATTTGGGATCTCGGCGGTGTTTGACTTCTTTGGTAGCAGTCCCCCCCAGTCGTTGGGCGTCAATCAAACGGGCCGTTTATAGGCCATCGAGGAGGTTGAAACGAAACGCCAGGATCGCATACTGGGAAAGGGTCGAATGTCCTGCAGTGGTAGGGAGATATGCATACCACTGTGGCTCGCTGTCGGAAATTTCTCCGTTTCTTGTCACTCTGAGGAATCCAATTGTCGCATACGTGACGCCAGAAAGACAGATGCATGCGTATGGGTTTGAAAGCGTCGAGACTCGACGTTGGAGAGGGAGGATGGATTGCAGAAGCTATTGCAGTGATTGGTGGTGAGTGATGTCAAGAGTGACAAACGATGGCCCTCCATGATTGGTCATCTGGCAAACCCCACAGGGTCCACTTCTGGTACCCTTGCCCCTGCATCCCCACCAATCTTCCCCCGCTTGATGGAGCGGCAGTGGCACTCGAAGCACTGCACCTTCCCTGCACGTTCCTGAACTCCTGTGAGGCGCCATGTCTTGGCACTTGTGCATCTCCTGTTGCCATTCGTCCTGCTTTCCGACTTCCATTCACTTAAGCACTCGAAGGCCTCTTACACTCGACTCAATATGCTGACTGAGAGCCAACTGAAACGCCAACCATGCTTCTGACAATGACGCCGACCGCGCACAACAGACGACGTTGGTCAATGAAATCGTCCACCTGCACTAGCTGAAAGACGAAGCGTCGCGCCGCTCGAGACTTGACTACCAACCCAACATCGTGGGACGTCATACAAAGATGAATTTCTCCTTGGCCCTGGCTTACTGAGAGCCATATTGCCCAACCGCCACACCAAACACCATGTCCATCAAACGGCGCTTCACTTGCAGATGCAGCTCCTACCGTGGCTTGATATAGTCTGAATTCCGGGTAAACTAGCGCAACTCGTCGGTACCAGAGGACCGTGGGGCCACGCGGAACAGCCATGGTACTTCCCATTCAGGATATGCTCGACATCTTGCGTGCAAGGGCGGAATGGACCATTTATCACGAATCAGACCCAAGGCGGAATTCTCCTCCCAAAGAGTCGGCTCGGGTGAAGCGAGTTCATGAGGGCATGATGGGGCTTCTTTGACTCTCGATGTCGTGACCCATTAAGCGCGGCAGAAGCCCATTGTCACTTGTCAGAGTCGAGTGAATGGGAACCGTTGGCAGTGAATGGTATTGTCTTTTCGTCCCGTCCTTGAGGTCTTGCAACTACATAAATCCTTCCCACCTCCCACCGGTTCTCCTCGGTAATCTGTTTTTCGCTCCATATCTTGATCACTTCTCCCTCACCAAACAGTCTCCGATATATCAGTCGACAGGTCGACACAATGCTCTACAAGACTTTGGCTGCTGGCGTTATCGCCTTTGGCTTGCCCACCTTCGCGTCGGCCACCTTGATCTTTACTACCTCCATGGGTACCTCTGTGACGAATCCTGGATTTCTTAGCACGATCAAGTATACGGACGGGAAGCTTGAGGTCATCAACAATCAGACCAGCGTCTGTGGCGTTAATCCTTCATGGTTGGAATTTGCCGGCGACCACATTTACTGCCTCGATGAGGTTTGGGCCAGCGGCTCAATTGGCTCCCTCTACAACTTTCAGGTCACCAGAGATGGCACAAATCTCACGCAGATCAAGAAGCTGGATACGCTGGGAGGCCCAGTGAGCACCGTCCGCTATGGAAAGAGTCTCAAGGGACTGGCTATTGCCGCCTAGTTAGTCCATCCCTCTGCCCTCCCATCATTCACCCTATTCTCTGTAATAAATTATGTGGTGAGCTAACCAAGTCTCTGACATTGCCACTTCGTAGTGCGGGAGGAGGTTTTCAGTCATTCGATATCTCGAATCCCGCCGCCCCCAAGGCTATCCAAAATAGCACTTTTACAATCTCACAGAAGCCTGGCTCCGGTGCCCAGCAAAAAACATCACATCCTCATGAGGTCATCCTGGACCCTACCGGCGACTTCATTGCAGCGCCCGATCTTGGCGCGGATCTCATCCGCATTTTCAAGGTAGACAAGAATACCTTGAAGTATGTTGAATCCAAACCGGTTCCGACACCCGATCAATCCGGCCCAAGGCATGGTGCTTTCGTTAAGCTCGACTCCGGGACCTACTTCTACGTCGTGACCGAGCTCTCCAACCAGATCATTGGGTGGAAGGTTAATTATAAGACCGACACCCTTGACTTTGGTGAAAAGCTGTTTATCATTCCAACCCACGGCCCCAATACTTCGGTTCCTCCAGGCACCGCTGCTTCAGAGCTCGTTATCTCGGTAAGCCTGAGTTGTTCTCACGTTCCTACGGTCGATTAACGTTGTACTAACCATTTCGCGAAATGCGCGTACCTCATGTACAGCCCGACAGCAAGTTCTTGTTGGTAGCGTCACGCAACGAAACAACCTCATTGATGGACATCCCCAACCCGGAGGACAAGGCGGCGGGACAGATCAAGTCAGACCCCATCATCAACTACGCAATCCAGTCAAACGGCACCATCAGCTTTCAACAGGTTTTCGGTGCGGGTGGTAAAAACCCGCGCCATTTCTCCCTCAGCAAAGACGGCTCACTCGTCTTGACCGCGTTGCAAGATGACGGCCGTGTTGCCCTCATCAAGCGTGACGTCCAAACTGGAAAGCTCACGGAGTTCATTGGTGCTGTCCATCTCGGTGGACTGCCCACATCTGCCAAGTTCAAGGAGTAAGTCCATCCTTTTATACTTGATTTGAGGAGAAAAGAGACCCAGACAGTCACAGAAAATCTAGCTCTATCATTCGGCTGTTCACGTACTTCCCAGAGGGGAGTTGATAATGAGGAAGACAAAAACAGTCCCCTCATTGACCAGGATTACGCCGGAAAAACGGGGACAAGACACGGTTACTGACAAGATACTTTGCTGTACAGGGATACGAACTGCGCCTGAATTAGGGGGTGAACTGGTCTTCGGTTCGAAAAGTGATGGCGGTGCGGATTTGTTTTCCCACTGGAGACCGTGAAGAACGAAAAGAATGGAATGAGAGAAGCATGGCGTTGCGGGAAGGGACACTCTTTGAAGGGGATAGGAAAAGTTTCGTACTTGAGCCGGATAGGTATGCCGCATATGTACCGGGCTGGATTTCCCGGTATGCTACCTACGTAGGCAAGTAATGAGAATGGGAAATGAATTATGAGAACCCCAGATGCCGAAGTCCCAACTGAAGGCTGACTTTAAATCTGACCTTACAACGTGTGAGTCTCAATCGAACAAATGCCCTCCAAAAGGTCTGTCTATGTGCGTGTAAGTAAGGCCAGGTAGTATGCACGTGGATGGGTACCTGCATACGGGTATGTCATGTCAAAATGATGACAATGCAATTGTCAAATCGACAACAATGCCAAAGTCGGGTTCAATGGCATTGTTCAGATTGGGAATCGCCTCTCCGCCGCATCAAAACCCTCCGTTCGGCCCCAGGGGTCCACGGGTCCTTCGTGCGTGCTTCCGCTTGCTTGCCTGCCATGCCCTGCCTTACCGAACCTGTCAATCCGATTCGGCACATCTCGCTCCTTGCCGGGTTGGCATACCGTAGAAACTCGGGAAATTGGCAAAAAGCTAATGCCGTAGAAACCTCGTTTTTCCCACATAGTACTGACGGGTCTGTACGGTACAAGTCCAGTCCTGTACATTGAAACGCAGGTAAGATAGTGGTAAGCAATGTTATGGAGCTTTCACTAACAGGGCGGGCATATGTACAGACGTATGCTGCTTGTAATGCTTACTGTCGGGCGCTCAAAGAGGGATAGCTTTTTGCCAATTTCCCGAGTTTTTACGGTATTTGCATGTGAAACCTATCTGACTACATCCCAACAACAAATGGAATTGGTGATGCTCCATTCTTCCCACACAGACTGCTATGCATCAAAGCTAGGTACTGGGTATGTACCCGGAGGATCGAGTCCTTCAGTCCGCTGCCAGTAAGTCAATTTCCAGGCTATTGCGGTGTATGGGAAGTAGTGTCTATGGTATGTAGTTGGCGATGGTTTTGGTGAATGGGAGAAAAAGAAAATGACCTGGACTGGATGCAGTCCACGTGCCCGGGCCATGTGAAAAACCGACTCAACTACCATTGCAACTCTAGATCAAACTACCGAACGATGGGAGAGAAAGATGGTAGCGAGCTACGTTATGCGACCTTTTGCTGAGAAAGAGGCCGATGGGAAAGCTCATCTGACCATTTCCGTCGTGTTTGCTAGGAGAATGTTGGACTGCGTTGCTCGAAGCCACAGGCCCCCGACCTACCTCATTTACGTTTAAAAGCTTGCTTAGCTACTTGATCTCATGACACGGGGTGGTCTCGTTGGGATGCCCTTAAGCGCTTTCCAACATCTTGCGAGTATACCACCTATTCTACATGTGGGCTTGTTCAGCGAACCTTCAAATTGCATATGTGATAGCAATCAAATTAGGCGCCTTGATGGAATTGCAAAGAAAGCTTGACGACACCTTCTATGTAACTATAACACGTTTATGTTCCATTGGATCGGTCCGTCAACGTGAAAAGGATAGGTACCTTAGTAACGCCTTCGCCACCGAACATAGCAATGTTCTTTCCATCTTATATAACTTGGCATTGCAGACTACCTGCCTGCCGTTCACGTTCACATATGTGGGTGGCCTCATCCGTGACATAGGTATTTGCACGAAATATGAAGCCAGTCCCTGGACCAAAATACAATTGGGATATATGATTACCACCATTATCATCACGGTATATCAACCCCAGGATCTACCAATTATCACCCGCCAGGAGGAGCTTCTCCGGTGAAATCGAAGCGCGTGGCGGCGCGCACTGATGCACCGAAGTACATACAGTAGTATCTGGCATGTAGTAGTATGCACGTGGAACGTTGGACGATCGTCGTCGTCGTCCGTCGCCCGGCAAAAGGCCCGCGTAGGTGGGACTGAATGAATGAGAAATGGAGAGAGATCCTCGACTTTCCTCCGATGAGATGGTGGTTACAGATTTGAACGTTGTGTTGTGGTGTCCCTAGGTCCCGAATGCCCCGAGTGTATTGTACACTGCCATCACTCGGGTATAGTGCCAGTCTAGCTAAGGTAGCATACATGCTGTACCTATGTTTGAAATGGTGGAAAGGGGATTAGCGAGCTCGTGCAGTGCAGGTTTTCGATACCGGCCGGGCCTTGCAAGGTGGGACATAAAATAAGGGAAGTATCGTGGGGAATGCGGCAAGTGCGTGACTAGTCGACGTCTCGAAAACACCTGTACGGTCAGGTATAAAAGCCGGCCGGCTTTGTCGAACGACTCTTTGATATCAAGGACTCGGGTTTCAAAACCCAATAGTAAATTCCTTGATAGAATTGACAACCCGGTTTCTCCACATAAACCTAGATAGTGAAAGACAATGGTTGATCACCACCACTTCCGTCCTCCGTCACCTCAGGCCTGAGAGCGAGAGAAGGGCACGGGAAGTTGTGGAATTTCCGATTTCCGATCCGACTATCGAAGAGCCCCAGTGAGTTCCCATCCACTAGCAAAGATCGTCGCTTCTCGCTTGTGCCCCAGATTCTCAAGGTCCCTAGCGAGGCTAGCGGGTTTTGTCACGGTGGGTTTTGACTGTCTTAGTGCTTCGCGCTAGACTTTTAGGCTAATTTCATGGAGCGCCGCTAGAAGGAAGTCAGAAACAGGGGTTGTGAAAAAGGAAAGAGAGCCGGTTGACAGATTGTCACGACGAAAGGGAAGTTGACAGCATTGTTGAAAGTTGTGATTGTTGAGCAACGGTTTTCGAAAGTTAAGTTGTCGTGTGTTAAGAGATGGTGCCCCGAAAACTTTGAATATAAAACCACCCACCCGTCGTCAACGATGGACGCTTTTGTTAAACTGGGTTGCGGCGACCCAGAGATGCGATTCTTCTGGTTTTATTCCAATGTTGCTGTTCCGTCTTCCTAGTGTAGTGTTGCAGTAGTACTTAGGAGCGCCACTTTAACAATCGTCAGTGTCGATGTCCTCGGCTCACGCTCGGCAGAGTATCAACGGGGGTGAACAACAAGGGAGAACCTGAAATGTTAGGCCGTCCTCTCGAGCCTCGATGCTAGGCAAAAATTGCGTTTCATTCGCAAGATCCTTGCAGTGTGGCCTGTCACAACACGCCGTTCGAGTCAAAACGCCACCTTCTATGTCCAATTCCCATCATTCAAATCCGCGTCCGCGTCCTTCAGGACCTCCCTCGGCACGGGCTGGCAAGGAGAAGAGGAGCGGTGTTGTTTTCAGCAACCGAAGCGCAGGTTCGCGAACCCCAAAATGTAGGCGTTGGGGGTTTTCCTCTCAGACCGGAGAAAACCAAAAAGTGTTAGCATTGTGATAGCTCAACATGTCTAAACACGCGCCTAGCCTTAGCAAGGCTTAACGTGCTTGGCCTTCCGCAAACCGTTACATAATCGGGGGTTATTGAACATGACCATCACGATCAGCCCGGGGCCTACCTAGTGGATATTGTATTTGTATTCGGAGTAGCGTAAAATACATACTTACCTGTAATAAACATGATCTCGAACAGCGCCAGAGCGCCTACCCCCCCGCCGGAGAAGGATGACCGGAGCGGCGACTAACGGCACTTTTCAAAATTCCGTGTAACTGAGGCTGTTCAGTTCACGGGTACGGGGTACCGGTACAGAGGTATCTCGAGTTTCCCTTCCGACCCCGCTTTCTTTCGGTGTCCGGGCTATCGAGGTCTAGACATGCGGAATTGCGGAGGTATGCAGTGGCTGGCTTCTCCGTGACAACATGTGCCGGTTAATATATTTTAGGCGGCAAGCCCCAGCCAGCGAGACGCATGACCCGTGCCTCGCTCGCTGCTTCTGACCCTTTTTCGACGATCTTGTATCGGTTTTGGACAGGCCTTCGCAAGTAGCAAAACATCACGTCCTGATTTGTCCAGTTGCTGCTCGGGATAAATATAGCGCGGGCTCTTGTCGTGCCTTGGTCTTGTCTGTAAGCTAGAGTCGAGAGTCGGATGCTTCCAACACTTTTACTTATTTTCTTCATCCGGCTTACCGGATGGAGGAGTCTCCATCCCCCCCTCAAACTCTCAAACACTGGACCTTCCTTGTAGTGGACCCCGATGTAGTTGCCGTCTCGGTCCGATCCTATTCACTTGTCATCGATCTGTCATCTTGATCGAGCTGAGGTTGCTAGGTTGAAATCGCTGAATGCAATTCAAAAACCGGATATCAGCATCTTCAACCTTTCCGTAGATTCAAGGGGTTTGTTGCAAGTAATCGGACCGACCGTCTTCGAGGTGTGATTTGGTACTGTGCTGTGCATGCAGACGTCAAAGATCCAATGTGCCTCCATGGAACTCTGGTAACTGAATTCCGGATTACATACCCAGTGGTACCTGCTGGTGTACATATAGAAAATGGTCTGTTAATACCCTTGGCGACCAATCCGTCAGCAATAGCAATGCTCAACTGGTGACAGGCTGTCGAGCTATAGACCAAATGAGGTGTACGACAGGTTGATGTGCCCTTCCAGAGTATCGCACATCTCGAATTAGTCCCAGAGCTTCCAAGGTACGTAGGTATGTACCTAGATACTGCGTAGGAAGAGGGGTCCCCGTTTTGCTGTCGGTAACATCCAATATCTGTCAATCTTCGGCTACCCTGAAATAGGACTGGCTTGGCGAGCCCTGCGTTCTGTTCATGGGACAAAAGCTCCAACCAGAAAGGAAGGCCAATGCTCTTGATGTCTGATGAAGAACGGTTCTTCAATCCATGGTGATTGCGGTGGCAAAGAAGCTCTGACATGTCCCAACACATGACGTCTGTTCCGTTCGAAGGAGCAATGAAGGTGGGCGCGGAAGAGGACAGTATGGAGACGAGGCCAAGCGAGCTAATATCTGTGTCCAAGCTCGGAGATATCGACCGGTCTTGGGTGTCCGTTGATGACCGGTCAGTCAGCCTCCAGGAGGATGGGTGCTGGAAGGCTTGTCCTGGCTGCCCGGATACGGACAAGACGGATCACCGGAGCCAAGGGTGGAGTTATGCCATGTACACGCACGTACACTTGTCGACGCCCAGAAGCTTGTTGAAACATGGGGCAGCAAGTTCTGGAAGGTGTGGAAGCTCGGAAGGGTAGGTGTGGTGTTCTCGGTGAGACACGCACCCGGCAAGATTAGAGATGCTGGCCTGGTGGGAAGATTTGACAGGAGCAACGCCTTCGGTTGGCGAGTTTATGCTAAATTGCGACACGCAGGGTTCAGACAAGCGTTATGGGCTTCCATGTGGTTTCAAATGGCGACCTCGAGAAGGGGACGTGAAGGACGAATCGAGAAGGGTGCATACAATAGTAATACCCAGACAGCCAGGTGCTAGCGTGTAGGTGTGTATGTACCGAGAACCGTAGGAGGAGAGAGATATCTTGATCCACGATACATACGAGTATCATCAAACCTCGTTTGCATGGCCCGGATCACCCTCACCCATCACCAGGAGTGCGAGCTGCGTGATGCACAATGCTGGCCGCGACTGAAGCAGTCTCCAACATGTAAGGAAAGACTGTAATGCAAGTAGAGGTAGCATGAAAATGCCTACGTATTGAGGGTGTGATGTGGTGACTGTGGTTGGGGACAATGACGGATGGACTCGAGTTGGATGTGATCGACAAGAGGACGTTCGAATTGTCAGTTGGAGTTTGGAGTTCCGTTCCTTTGGCAGCTGCTGGTGGGTCTCTCCCCGCATCTGCAGCGACCAGTTGTGCCTGTCGTTCTTCGTCTGATTCTCCCAAGCACGTGCGGCCATGCCGCCTTCATGTGCTGGGCAAGGAGCCTGGGGTTCGTCTACTGGAGTTCCGGGGTGTCCACAAATGAACCTTCTGACTTTCTCCACACGGTTCTCCGCAAATTTTGGAGACTCCACCCAATGTTACCTCGTCCTCACCTTCCACGCTTCCATTCTTCCCTCGACATTTTTGTTGCTTCGGTTCGCAATTGATGCTGTTGTTGGCCTCAAGAACTGCCGTACAGCAGATGGCTTCGGTCATCAGTCAGATGGAGTAGAATACCTAACGTATGACTACAGAATCATCATTTCATCAGTATCCACTTGGGACTGAAATGTGGATGGAATTTTGGGATGACGTGAATTCGGGTCGTCTAAGTCGATCCGGTCCCGGATGTCTGTAATACGGTAACTATACAAAACCTCACGCCAACCTCACGACGTCCCGTCCTCCAGCTCGCAACCAAGCATTTTGAACAGAGGCAAGCCGGACTGACACAGCCAAAGCACCACACCCGTGCACATACAATGGCTGGCTAGCCACAAGACCACGACCAGCAGAATGATCTCGCAAAGAAGGTTGAACAACAAAATCCGGCGATTATGTCTGCTTTGATCGCGAAAACGCTCTCCCCTTAGTGCTTGAGCGTATTCCATACAAGTGTTCAGTTCTATTATATACCGTACACTGTAATACGCAGTACCGTACTATTTGCAAGCTCCGAGTCCGTCCCGTCGCCAACCTGAAGTGACTCCAGTCCGGGTACAGGTACTCCAGTCCTCCCCCGCCCTCCACCTTCCTCCGCACCATCACCCGTCTTCACCTCCTTACCTCCACCCTCCGATTCTCCCAGACATTGACGGGAGGCACGATCCAATCCATCGCGACCTCCAAGCTTCAATCTCAACTTCACCTCCATCTCTCATCCCAACTTGATCCAGCCTCAACCTCAATACGTGAGAGTGTTGGTCAGGTGTATACACAGTAACACAGATTCGTCGTCTCTCATTCCATCCTCCGGCTTCTACTCCTTGGTTCCTCTACTCCCCTACCTCCTCTGCCTACCTGCTCGCCTCCTCCACCTCACCGGTACCTACCGGGGCTTCAAGGCTCTCAAGGGTTGCGGTTGGTGGTTAACCAATTCCGCGCTACACTAGGCCAGTAAAGGCTCAGGCTCATACGGGTTCGTCTAGGGCCGTTCAAGGGGCCCCATCTTTCTCTGCCTATAGGGTGCTGAGTTGACCTGCCTGGCTTGTCTCAAAGCCACCGGGGGTCTGGGGTCCGCGCTGCAGAGAGCAGAGAGAGGCACCCAAGAGAAGCTCAGTCTCGTCACCAAGTAGGTCCGCGGGTACCTCGACTTGGTTATGGTAGGCTGGACTGCTGGCTTACCATTCATATCTGCAAGCGAAGCTCGTCCCGTATGACGAGATATCAATCCGACCTCTCCCACGGCTTTGGATCACTCCTTTCTTCTTCACCCTTCCCCCCACCCTCCTTACCAAAGGAACATATACCGACTATCAGACACGAGACGGCCCGCTTATACACGACGTTCCTCACTTTCGGTAATCCTTTCGGTAATCGAAACACACGGTGGATATCTGAGGCACTCCGGTCTTACAGATAGTCGCGTCTTAACCTGTCGCCAACAACAAAACAGTTCAACAAGTTCTGGTTCATGCTGAGGTGGTCTTGACTCGGGCTGGTTGAGGTGTGTTGGGCAAAGGGTCGACCTTTACATCACTGTCTTCTGTCCACTTCGGTCGACCACCAAGCAGACTCTGACCGCTTGAATACGACATGTCGCCGTCTTCCAACGGCGACTCTCCCGCTTCGGTAGTGGGCAGCATGACCATGGCCGCCCAGGCCGTTCCTAACGCTGTAAGGCAATACCCTCTGCCGAATCGAGACTTCACAATCGAAATACCCTCGCCCCAACTTGCACCCACTGCCAATGGGGTCAACACCATCAAGTCACCATCCACTCTCAAGTCTGCCCGTGCTCCCAACTTCAGCCGGGAAGGCATTCTTGGATCGGCCCAGAAAGCCCGAAACCTCTCGCAGTCGTCCGAAAACCGGCCTGACAATGTCAATGTTTCTAATGGTTATCAAAAGGCTCCTAGCGAGGAGAGCACCAATCCGCTGAAAAGAAGGAATACGGATGCTGGTGTCGACTACCCCAGAAGAAGGGCAACCATTGCGGTATGTTTGGGCTCTGGAGCAGTGGGAGAACCTGGCGCGGTGAATTGACACGCTGACATTTCGTTGAATAGTGCGAGGTATGCCGCTCGAGAAAGTCGCGATGTGACGGCACAAAACCAAAATGCAAGCTGTGCACAGAGTTGGGCGCCGAGTGCATATATCGCGAGCCTGGTATCAAGCTGGATGCCGGCGACAAGCTCATCCTCGAACGCCTCAACAGGATAGAAAGTCTGCTGCAGATAAACATGGGCTTAGCCGGCCATACCAATGGCCTAGGACTATCCCATAACTCCCCGGGGATGAGCAACGGGACAGGATTGAGTGGTGACAACCTGATGATGCAAAATCCCGACGCCGCCGGCTTTGTCTCGGTGATCCCAAGCGGAGGCCTGGGCACATGGTCTGCCACCGCTACCAACAGCTTATCGACAATGCCCAAGGTCCACACAAATGCCGCCCTCCATTTGTTGCAATGGCCGATGATTCGGGATCTTGTCTCACGACCTTACGACCCACAAATTCTCCTCCAACTCGAAATGGCCAGGGAGCCACTACACTCTCTCACAAAGACCCCCTGTGTGGACCTCTCCAACACCACCGCATATATCGAAGCCTATTTTGATCGTGTCAACATTTGGTACGCCTGTGTTAACCCTTACACATGGAGAAGCCACTACCGGATTGCTCTCTCCAACGGTTTCAGGGAAGGACCAGAAAGTTGTATTGTGCTTCTCGTCTTGGCTCTCGGCCAGGCAAGTTCAAGGGGGAGCATATCCAGGATCGTGCCACACGAGGATCCTCCGGGCCTCCAATATTTCACTGCCGCATGGGCCCTGCTACCGGGCATGATGACCTCCAACAGCGTTCTTGCCGCGCAATGCCACCTTTTGGCCGCCGCCTACCTATTCTACCTCGTCCGACCTTTAGAGGCATGGAACCTTCTCTGTACAACAAGTACCAAGCTGCAGCTCCTACTCATGACGCCGAACCGGGTGCCTGTCGACCAAAGGGAACTGAGTGAGAGAATCTACTGGAATGCTCTGCTGTTCGAGAGTGACCTCCTCGCTGAGCTGGACCTTCCGCATTCTGGTGTTGTTGCGTTTGAAGAAAATGTCGGTCTGCCAGGTGGTTTTGAGGGGGATGAACAAGAGGCAGTTGGTCGCGATGATTTGTGGTATTTCCTCGCCGAGATAGCACTTCGGCGACTACTCAACCGCGTCAGCCAGCTCATTTACTCCAAGGACTCCCTGGCCTCTACAACGAGTCTCGAGCCCATCGTGACCGAGTTGGATTTCCAATTAACGCAGTGGTACGAGAGCCTGCCTCTACCGCTGCAGTTCCCTTTTACTCGGACAATGCTCCCAGATCCTGTCCAGACGGTGTTGCGGTTGCGCTTCTTTGCTTGCCGGACTATTATTTACCGGCCATACATTCTCGCGGTTCTCGACAATGAGCAGGCAATACTGGACCCCTCAGTGCGTGACGCGTGCACAAAGTGTCTGGAGGCTTCAATCAGACAATTGGAGCATATCAGTGCGCAGTAAGTCTTTTCCACTTAATGTTCCGGTCTTTCATTGGCTATCTTTTCCTTTTTTTTACGTCTTAATCTAACAAAAGGCCGCAGTCACGCCGGACACATGCCGTACCTTTGGCAAGGGGCACTCTCGATTGTATCGCAGACACTTCTGATTATGGGTGCCACCATGTCACCGTCACTTAACAGTATTCTGGTGAGCTTAGTCTCACACCGCGACGTTATCGACCAGATCATCAACGATGTCGTCATGGAAATCGAGCGTTATTCCGTACTCTCACCGAGTCTGAGCCTATCGGCGGAGATTATCAAGGAGGCGGAGGTTAGGCGACGAACGTTCCTGAGTGGTTGAGAAACCACTTTTACTACACCCGATGCCATAGACACAAAAGGTCGAACAATCCCATCAAAACCGCCACATCCAAACCTTTCAGTCACCTAAAAGTCAAACCAACAGCGGCTGAACCTAGGATATTCTGTCATGGCACGAAAAAAGCTACAGGTGCATCTGGTCCTCCACGGATGCAACGCCGGCACAAGATCTATTTTTTCACGTCTGGAACGGTCGACGTCCAAGCCGATAGCTGCATCGACTATCAAGTCTATTTCTGCGACCGAAACAGCCATTCGCTTGACCTTTTTCGCCTCCGGAAGGACGCTCACCGAATGATCAGAAGATCATACCAACGTCCATGTTGATCGACCAGCCTTACCTGACAAACTATGGCCCTGACTTTGGGCACGCCGGTTTTTGCGAGCATTTGACCTGCTGGTATCTCTTTACACTCCCGTTGTAGCTGGCTACACAATGGTACCTGGACTGGAAACCCCGACCAGCGGCCGGCCGACAATCCCATACCTTTGTTCTTCACGACTTTGCACAGGGCGATCACCCTTTGCCTCTTCCCAGAGACGTCGATGACCAGCAACGGAGCGCCAAGCAGAACACCCCGCAACAAAGTCTGTGGAAGCCGGAGCATACGGCCTGGGGTAACACACCTTGAACGCAGAAGAATATGGACAGTGCCCGATTTGCCTGTGGTTGATCACGGGCTGGGTGTTGGATGGCACATTGATGCGGATGCGACGGGCCGAAAATCCGAAAACACCCCACCTCTTCGACCCTTGCTTTTTATTCCTTCTACCCCTCTCTCCTCCTGTTTCAGACAGCGACCGTTTGTGGGAACTTGTATTCCATTCCATCGAATTTTGGTCTTGAGGCGGTTTCCTGATGGGCGGGCTGGAAGAAGAGACAAGAAGGGGGCGACTTTCACATATCATTATTACTTACAAATCCTCTTTTACCTACCGATCACACCAGTACCAAAGTGGTAGGCTTGCAGACGGGCTTCTGCGCATGCATGAAGGAAACTTGGGAGTGATGATCATTTTCAGCCCTTCTATTCTCGACGCCCGGTGGACGAACAACTATCTGCAACTATTTACGGCATTCATTCGACCTCCAGGCTTTGTTTTTTTCGGGTTGAAGCTTTCGTGGTTACAGAAGCCTTTTAAGGCTTTCAGCGATATGAACGAGTATGAGATGAAAGGCAAAAGTTTACTCCGTCATGTCGCTGTTTTGGAAGCACTTTGTGCTTATGGCTGGCTTTTGGTTGGATGGCATCGGGAAACGAGACAAACACATACAATTTACATAAGGACGAATAATCTGTACCATAGTCTGCTTCTCTGTTTATTTCTTTCTCTTCGTTGGGATGATTGGCTATCTCCCCCCTTTTCTTCCCTGTTGATTTACAAATAGGATACCTCATACACCTCACAATACCCAATCCTTTACCAGTTGTTTTTACAAACTCTTCAAGTCTTGACCAAAACCTTAGAGTGTTGCCACAGACACTTGAACGGTATGAGACTTACATATGCGCGTTGTCCTCTTCCCATTTTTTCCTCGCCCCCTTCCATGGTCCCTCTACCTTTCGCGTCCGAACGAGGTAAGGAGGCTGAAGTGAACTATCTACTATTCAAGTAAGATGGTATGTAGCCGACGCTATCGATGAGGTCTTGTCAAGGAAAACTTACCCTGACTGGACGATGGATAATATGAGTTATCTATCTACTATATATCTCCCCACTCGCCGCCCGCTCGTTTGTCTGTCTGCCTGTCTGTGTGTCTGTCTGTGTGTATCTGTGTGTATTTGTGTGTATTTGTGTGTATTTGTGTGTATTTGTGTGACCATATCGCAAGGCACGGGGGACTACAAGAGCACATGAAACAACCGATTGCGCTACCTGACTGAAGATAATGAGGGAACGGAAGGGAAGGCTGGCTGGCAAAGTAAGTACTAAAGTTTCAGGCGCCAAGAAGAGACAAGATGAACGGGGCAAGTAAGTTACATAAACTCCAGTCCCCTTCTTAAACGTAAGTTCCGAAAAAATTCAAGTGGTAGGTGATGAGAGATGCATGATTTCTAAAAAAAAAAAAAAAAAAAAAAAAAAAAAAAAAAAAAAAAAAAAAGAGTAAAGTGGGTAGGCTGAAGCTACGGACGGAGCGAGGGGGCTACTCACTCACTTATCACTATATATGATACCTATCGCTCAGAAAAAGAAGGGTATCTAAACCAGCGAAGATGGGAGTCTCCTTGTTGAACACATGGAGGTGCTGAATGAGGTTGGTTTACGACTACCTCTGTCCCAATCGCTTTGAAATGTCATGTGTATGATGTGTTCAACCGCGGCCCTAAATCTACTACCCAAAAGTGCACACGCCAACCGTTGCATTTGGTTGACGGTCATTCATTCGGTGACGAACGGTTCTGCTCGGGTTCAGAACCCGAGATTGCCTTTCGGTTACCGAAGTGTACGTTTGAGGAGTGGTTCTCGCCCTTTTGTTTGTCGAGTGTCCCATCAGACCGCTACCCTCCACAAACCCTCTACCCTCTACAGTAATTGGTTCCCCGTGTCATGTCCCTTGAAAAGAAAAGATAGAAGATATCACTCCCAGCTAACAGCCAGCATCCATTCTGGAGCGAAGGCACCCTACCTACCCTCTCTCCTCCCAAGCCTCGTTTCCCCCTACTATCACGATACGGAAGGAGACTAGTGGGTGCTTTACAGTACGTTTCAGATCATGAGGAAATATAGGTAGTCGGGAAAAGGGATGACGACGTCGGTGGTAGTCAAGGAGATGATGGGTGGTTGCACGGCGCTTCTGCTTTGCCTGGCTGTATGTATGTGCGTATGTATGTCTTGGAAAATGCCGTAATATGTGTGCAGTGGTATGTATGTATTTCTTCTGCGCTGCCGCCGTTTGACCTTCTTCTTTTTTTCTCTCCCCTCTTTGGGGGCTCTGCTCTGTTTTATGGGCTTTGTCTGTTGTTGGCGTTGCTCGAATTCGAGACCGAGACCAGCTTCCCGATCATATATGGCCGTCTAAAGCGGTCTTTCGTGACAATATGTCGTCTCGAAACCCGAATGCCGCGTGTACTGTGGGGAGGGAAGCGATGAAAAGGACGGGAAACATGAGGTGACAGCCAACGCTTATGCAGGTACGTACGTCGGGCTTTCAAAACTCGGGAGAGAGGCAGCTGTCGCGTCATCGGTGATTTGTCGGTTTGGTAACACGTCGTCCCGGCCTTCACCTTGACCCACGTTCATGTAGATGCGGTGCGGGTTTGCAATCTCGACGTTAGTCGGCTAGAGGCCACTGCAGCCGCCTGTGAGCTCCGCGATCACGGCGTCTCGTGGTCCGTCCATGCGCCCGTAGGATGTTGAGGTTGTCGAGTGGAAAGGGGAGCTCCACTGAACTGGCCGAGGCCGGGGACGGGAGCTGGGGAGCTCCGTAGCACTCCGCTCCCAGTTGCGGAGCGGGAGTCGAGGTCACATCGATGGGGACGGGAGTGCGGGGATGGAAATCGGGTGGGGGTGACTCGTTTGTCCCGCACCCGTCACGGAGGGTCCGAGCTTTGGTGGTCGGCTGTGGAACGCTGCAGCGCAGTTGTCTGCGGGGGACTTCCCTGTTTGTTGTTTGTGACGGACGGGCTGACGGCGCTTGCGAAATGCTCGCTCGGCCAAGCAGCACACCACTGCACGCACGCACGGCGGCACACACACGGCACTACGGTACGAGGAGGCTGTCACGGTCTGACTGGACTCCCGTCTCACCACCCCGGACCAGAACTTGATCTCGATACCGATAACAGTTGAATCATCGCCATCCATAGGTAGTGTATCAGATAATTCACTCTTTATACCCAAGTGAGTGATCTCACGTGGAAAATCATATGTACCGGCCGTTGGGACGCAATGATAACCGGATCTTATCTTCTTCTGGACTGAATCAGGCATCGGATGTACATTGATTGTCAGCTGCTGGGCTGTGAGCGAGGGGTTGCAAGGGGGTAGTATCGGCGAGGAGGGGATGTGTGGTTGCGCCGACTGGAACGGCGATGATGGTGAGACGGTTTGGTTTATGCCTCGTTCCTCCGTTCCTCTCCTTCTAGTGGCCCATTTTGAATCTCAAGGTAAAATGGCTGGGTGCGGATGATGTTCGTATCGGAATTTTTGTTTTCACAGCTTTGCATCAGGTAGGGTCCGCCAAACACAAGACGACACTGCAACAGAAGAAAAGTGGAAGGAAACAACGACAGAGAACATCAAACGAGATTGGGAGGGAAAGAACCTCCAGGCTGCCGGGGTCTCACACTTCTCACTTGCATCGCATCGCATGGCATCGTCGCTTCCCGGCGACAGGTTTTTCTCCCCTCTCGCTCATGTCGGTCTCTGTCTCCTGACTGGACTCCCGGTCGTGAACAGTCAATCAATTCCATATCGGATATCTTTTTAAAGACTATCCTATCCACTTGGACTGCTGACTCTTCTGCCGCTACTGTCCAGGCTGCCAGTCATCACACACTCATCACGGCAGCAACAGCAACCTCGTCAACGACATTTCAACGCCAGACGTGGAAAGCAGTATCCTGGAAGTTTCCGAGCCTTTCTGCTGAACCTGTGCTTCCCTCATCGTCCTCGCTGAATACGTATGTACATGCTCCCGGAATCTTTTGTCGTCGTCTTACTCTGCTCCCACCCTTCCACTCGTTACCCAATCCCGTTTCTTCATCATTCTCGCGAGAAACCTTTGGTCGGGTTGAGAGATCGCGAGGTCCTCCGGTGCCCAAAAAACACTCAGTCCTTGTTGCCTTCGTCCCCTCGTCCTGTCACCTCAAGTCGGGTCCTCCCCCTGTCTCTGGCTCTGCTGGTTCCCGTTGCGAGTGTGCCCCCTGTCGTTTGTGTATGTGTGTACATGCTGCGTACTCGGAACGGTATCTGGGCTGACCACAAGGGCTGGGGTGGTTTTCGATCCTCCAGCGCGAGGGGCAACTCTCGTTAGGTTAACATCAGGCCTCAATTCCATCCGTTGCTTTGGTTAAGGCCTGTCTGGCCCACAACGAAGCCGCACAAGTGCTCACTCGATTCGCTCCCTTGGACTAGACGTGCATTCGACTGCACCCATACTGCACCCAGGCTGCAACGAGCCTGCATTGGAGACGACTTAGACGAGCCCAATCGCACTTGGTGGAGCCAGAAACCCATTCACGCCATTGACATCCATTCTTCTTCCTACCCAACCACGCTCAACCATCTGGTCATCGTCTAACCTCCCGTCGAATTGCCGCTACTGCCAGACCTCCCTCTCAGGCCTCACCTCTTACACAGTACTACTCTCTAGTCCATATCGGCGAATGCTGCCTTCCTGAGGCTGATGCAGGGACGAATGGACCGAAGGGAGCGGATGGAGTCTTTCCATCACGTTCATGCCCGCCCCGGCATCTTTATGCCTAAGCACATGCCCATGCCCATGCCACCGGGCACCCCAAGGCGCGAAAGACACACCAGGGACCAAGAAACGCCAGAAGAAGAAGACTCTTCGCCCTTTCCTGACGTTGATTGGCCACCCGAAGACGATCTATCTTCTGCTCCGTCGCCTCGTGAGAGACACCAGGACTCAGACGACTTCCCCGAGCATACAAGACCTTATCCTCGCCGTACAAGGGCCCCAAGCGTTGAGGAGACATCGACCACTGCGCGCTCTTCGTCATCTTTTATCGACATAGGCCGCCCTATACGGCCCCGAGTATCACATACCCGTGCTGGCATGCAACTTCGTGACGACACTCTTCCTCCAGAAGCAAGACTCCGCCGGCCATCCGTTCTCTACGACGAAGACGCAGAAGAGATCTTTCTACCCCGTTCTACCATGGACAACAGATCGCGGCCGGTGAGCCGTGCCTATGATTCTCGCTCACGGTCCAGAAGTCGCTACGACGCACCGCGCAATAGAAGCCCGTCAACAAATCGTCAGCGCTCTATGCCAGACTCAAGATGGTCTCCAAGGTCGTCATCTGATAGAGAAACTCAGCTCACCGACCACTCTGGTGATGAAAAGCTCGTTCGCTATGGCATCCCTCATGCGCCGCCTGCTCCGCCCTCAGTTCACGAGCGTCCGAGCCGTAGGCTACCTGCCCCCGAGGTAGGAGAACCAAGGCCCTCAGGATATGCGCCCTCAGGCCGCCCCCGTTCACCGTCCCGCGTTCGTGCGCAATCGAGACCTCGCGCACAATCGAGACCTCGTGAACAGTCTAGACCTTCTTCACCTTCTCGCCGCCGTTCACCCTCAAGGCATGGCTCGCCATCTCGGGATCAGTCTCGGTCCAGGCCGTCTTCTCCACCACGGGGTGCTTCACGGGCTCCTTCACGGGCTCCTTCCATGAGGCGGGCACTTGTTAGAACCTCAGGAGCCCCTGAGCACCAAGCTTTGGATGATGAGGAATCCGATGCTGAATATGTCTATGAACAAGACATTTCGGATGACCTACGGTCCCGTCCCAGGCCTCAGAGGTGAGATTCCTTGCCTATTTAGAGTACATGCCTATTGAGAGTACCATTAACTAACAAGCTTATCAGGCCGTCAAGGCAAGACTATGAGTCCGACGGGTTCTTCCCCGGCCCTTCATCTTCTAGGAATCAATATTACCCCGGTGAAGCATATCCCAATCCGGGACTTAGGCGCGCTAATACTTATGATGACGTTCCGAGAGGCCCGTCGAAAGCATACGCTCGAGAGAGCTTTAGCAAAGTGTTAGTTTCTGTTTTAGGCTTTCCCCTTTCTTCGATGGCTTAAGATTCTAACTTGCTGCACAGCGATTCCTGCAAATCATGCGACGGTCAATACGGGCAAATAGCTCACAAGCTGCCGGGCTGCGAGCATCGTTGGTGCAGCACGTGCCTCAAACGAAGCTTCTTGTTCTCCATTGAGGACCCTGCAAGGAAGGCTCCAGTATGTTGCAAGCATTATATCCCGCCTCAGCTCGTGGCCGATCTCTTTGATCCCGCCTTCAAGGAGGAATGGGACAGCAAGTTTGTCCATTCATCAATCTTCGTGGGTGCGCGTCCCCGTAGCTTGGTTTGTCCAAGCCCAAAGTGCGGTGCACCTATCGAAGACCAGGATATACTCCGTGACGAAGATGGAAGGAAATTTGGTGAATGCCACTACTGCGGTACAGAGGTTTGCGTTGGCTGCAGTGGGCGGTGGCACAAAGCACTTCAATGCCCACCGGATGCCATGCCTCATTGCGGTCGATGCAGGAAAAAGCTCCTGCCTGGAGAACCCGGTTGCAACTATACCACTTGGTAAGACGGCGGCCTTCTGGTGTCACTGGACGGCTGAATTGCTAATCTTCACCGATAGTCAATGTAATACACCTTGCTGCACTGTCTGCGGCCTACGGTGGAAGACATGCGACTGCCCTTTCTTCAATATCGAAGAAAGCGAACCGCTCGATACACTGTTAACAGCCGACCCTCGATCGAATCCGTTTACCCATGGGATGCAGCTGGAGTCTGACCCACCTTCTCCGCGGACGTACCGTTCAAATGGTGGGCATCCACGACCAGTGGTTGCGGTCCACAGTCGACCCCAAAGCTACGAGGAAAGACTGGTGACGGATCGTCTGCGTGAAAAACGTAGCGATGATCCCCTCAGCCGTAGGTTCCATGTTCCCGGGGCGTTTGAAGAGTTTGACGAGCGAGAAGTGGACGACGACTATCGCAGAGGAAGGGATGACAGAGATCGTCCTCTGAAGTCCGTTAACCATGTCCGCCGACCTGAAACGGCCGTGCCGCCGCCTCTAGTGCACCGACATACGATGCCGCCGCCTGCCCACTCGGCGTTTGAAAGACCAACACCTAACGACTGGATGGGCGCTATAATTCCACATCCCTCTGACAGACGACGCTCCCCTTCACCGGAAAGGTTGCGGCCCCGGATGTCTCGCCATGCATCGCTCGAAAAGGAGAGGCTCCGGGCCCCGTCACTTCCTAGACACGCATACCCATCCGATAGGTGGGCAGATGTATCTCCCGAGTTTGGACGTCAGTCTCGACCCCGATCATTGGAGAGGCAGCGAACTTCATCACGACACCGAGATGCTTCTCCCGACATGCGCCACGCCCCTTCATTTGAGAGAGATCCGGACCGCTCGGCCAGTAAGCGTAGAACGATCACACCCTCGCTCGAAAAGCGGAAGCTCGCAAGCAGATTTGATGCAGACACCAGACAAGGCCCCGGCTACTCTACCATGGCGGCTCCGCCTATGATGGCTGCAACACCCCCTTCCCACGCTGCTACTGCCCCTATCATGTCTCGCTTGCCCGTCAGCGCGGCTCCACCACCACCACCCCCTGGGTTGAAGAGACACCTGACAGAAGCAGATGACTTCTATACAACAAGTAGGAGCACTAGATCGTCGGACCGCGACAGGATGCCAATGCCTGCAAGACACCACTCCTACCACGAATCAGCACAGCAACCTCGGTATCCCGCGTATTACGAAGGCGGAATTCCGGCACGTACTCCCAGCGGGAGACGCCGATCCGGCCAGGCGACGAAAGAACACGTCAAAGACGACCTTCCGCCGTCGGTCCTTGCTGGGCTAGGGGGTCCCAGCAAAGGTATGGAAAGAGTGCAGGAATGGAACAAGTATGTTGAGCCTGGCCTTCCGTTGATTGAGGGTAATTTACAGTTAAGTGTGTGATGCTGAATAGTTGCAGGGATGCCGGAGAGCGGATTAGGCACGTCAGGGCTCCTTACTCAGGACGGGATCGCGAATCCCGCGACAGGGCTTGGGAGTAGATTGCAGTGGTGGTTATCATGTCTTTACTTCACGACGTTATGAGTTGACATTTCTGGGCATTGGATATAAAACGATTTCGTACAACACGAAACGAGCAGTTGGTTTACGAGGCGAAAACTTGACGAGAAATGATTGGATATCTTGGTTTTTCGGTTTATGAAGGATAGCGTTCGTCCATGGCTCGAATTGATCTGGTTCTTAGTTTTAACAAGTGTTCATTTTTATGATGGTCGGACAGTTGGGGACTAAGTGACGATGAAAAATTATCGGTTAGGAATTCAAGTGAGCATTTCATGATTCATGTACTAGAGGTCGATGCTGTAAGCCGGTGTGCGCAAACGCTAGGGGATCATGTCTATAAGCAACGAGTACGGTTTGTGGCACTGCATTACGAGGAGCACGGCATTGAGAGGGAAGATCCTGGCGTTTTCCTTCCCAGTCAATAGCAAGCCAGAATTTGGATGAGACGGAGACTGAGTGGGCGAGAGTAGAAGTGGAAGAGCTGGATTGAATTTGGAAAAACTGAATCGATTAGAATTGAGCGAGTGCTTACGAGGCCGACCTGCTTGACGGACGAACGGGCGAACGAACTGAACGAATGAACTAGAAAGAAGCTGACGAGGGACCAAAGTATACTTAGCTGGGGTATCTTGTGAGAGAAAAGTTACGGTTGTTGGGCGGTTTCCGGGCGGTTAAGAAGGCACAACCGTTACAAGGGAAGAACGGTTTCTGAGAGAAAAACCATAAGGTCTCCTCAGTCCCCGGCCACCAAGAACACCCAGTCGGCAAGAACCCTTTCCATGACAGGTACACTGGCAAAATATCTGTTAGAAGGGGTAGTAGAGCGTTGAATTTTTACATACTTAAGCATGTGCCTCACTAACAGACTGGAGGTACATCTGCCCTCTCCCTGAACCCTCGCTCCTTCCCTACTGATCCATCCAGTCGTTGCTGGGCGGTTATTGAGCGGTCGCGGTCAGGAAGTCGCAACCGGCGTTGCGGATGCCTTATGGTTGCTAGTAGTGCTGGATGGTAATGAGATATTTACGGGTTTTCTCCTAACAACGGTAGATGTACTTCCTTCCCGGCCGGCTGCACCAACTGCGTGAACTAGTACGCATCAGGACTTAAGTTCAGTTCGTTCGTTCCACGCGCGGCGTACTTAACTTAAGCTCACCTGAAGTGACTGCCAGAACGGTGCAGTGAATGATGGACGGACAACGAACAACTTGAACTAACACGTCCGGTCCGTCGTTAAAAGAGCCCGATTTAAGCATTGATTGAGCCAGTGCCACTGCAGTGGACGGAAAATACGTACGGAGAGTTGAGTAACAAAGACTTCCTGCACCCCCAACCAACGCTTCCGACACTGACCGACAACTTTCTCCTAACACTCGATCGCATCTTGAAACTTCATTGGTAACGGCCGTAGGAAAGTTGTTGATATTTAGTTCTCGCGAATGTGTTTCTTTATAGCGGTCAGTCAACAAAGCTGTTGACGGACAACTTGTCTGGGTACGGTGATTGCATGTGCAGCGCCGAATTTGTTGCAAGCATGGCAACCTAAGTATTCGAGAGACGAATGGCTAACCCTGGATGGACTTCAAGCTGCAGTGACCCAAGACTCGTCCTTCTTGCGCACTGACTGACTACAGCAGTTGGACGAGAAACATCTTTTCAGTTACAAAGTGTAGCGAATATCTCATACTGACAGTTCAGTGAGGTCAAGTCAGAACTGACGGAACTTATAATGACTAAGGTACCTACCTAATGATGAAACTGAAATTAACCGAACCGATCTGAGTGAGTAAGTAAGACTGCGTTTGTTCTGGTACGGTTTTCGTATAAAGGGCCTCATACGACATTTTTTATACTCAAAAAGGCGGCCAATTCACTGGCTGTCCCGAGTTGAGTTGTAACTCGCCTTGGGGATCTCGAATTGAGTTTAGTTGGGTTGAGTTGAGTCGAGTTGGTTGAGTAAGTTGAGTTATTCCAAGCGCTGTACGAAAACCGTACGAGAACAAACGCAGCCTAACTCAACAACCCGCCCCGCCACCTGTATCTGAAAGTTTACGAGGACGGACCTAACATGAGACGAAAGAAAGAAAGAAAGAAAGAAAGGGGCCGTAGAAGGCAGAGAAGCAAAAGAAAGTGACCCGCACAGGAGAGGAGTCGAACCTGCAACTAAACGGTGATATTGGATTGTTTCCAACTGTCAGTAGTACTAATACGCTCATAACGTATATTCGACGACTCTCCCACTTGCATCAACGAACGGACCACGGATTGTACCACAAGAATCGCATCGGACTACATACCTAGAAGCAAGGCCACTGTACGTAGTCGGAAGCGGCATGACATAATTACCTTGTGACATCGATTCTTATGTAGTGTGCACATCCGAGTTCTGCTGGCAAGCTGAACATCGTCCTATCTTTTATTTCCCGTGGAAGGTACCTTAGGTTTGGCCGATCTGGTCATTGTGTACACCAGGCCTGTCATAAGTGGCTTCCTAACCTCTCTTCTACGTACTTACTACCAGAAAACACTTATATCTACGAGAATATCAAAGTCAAATATTTTGTCTCACCAACTCTCAACAGGTCATCTTGTGTCAGTAGCAAGCTGTTGACGAGTGTCCTAGAATAGGAGGTTGCGTGTAGTAGGTTTTGTAGGTTTTGGGTGGACGCACGTTCGCGTAGGGTTTCTATCTCTTCCTTTAAGAAGTTACCTACAGTAGTATACAAGTGATTATGACCACAGGCCCGTTGCTGTTGAGCACAAGATGGAATCAAACGTGGGTATTAACTGCTAAAAGCTAAGAAAAACAGGAAGATTCATTCATCGTGGTGTATCATCAAATCAAGCCCTTGCCCAGGCTACATGCTACATGCCCTCTGAAACTCACAACGCCGTTATACCCCTTCCTGCTTTCCTCCCATGCTATGCCTCCTTCTTCCCCCTAACTCCCTTTCAATGACAGTACTAGCTTAGAAAGTGTATGATGTGAATGTTTCTAGTAATACATTGATCGGTGCCCGGTCACCTCGAAAGACTGGTGTAGGCGTGTAAGGTAGCCCAACCTGGTTGCTGTTTCTCCACCATTCGACCAAAGGCGGTAGGCGTTTATCGTTGTGGTGAAAGACACTTGATAGTGTATAAAGACATTGGTAAAGATAGATTCTGTGGCGGCTTAACGAAGCTGGTGTTGAATACCTGTATGCGGGTGCCAGCATGGTGGGAGACCAACAACAAAAGATAACAAAAAAGGGAAAAACAAAGGGTATCAACAGAATTTCACAACAAATCACTCGCTCCCCATATCAACACTCTCACACCATCTCCTGACTGCCTCTCGCAGTATGCTTCCTGGAATCCTTTGGGCCTCCAGGCTCTCCCTCTCTCGCCTTCGACCTATTCCTGAGCTAGCTTCCTTGTCGCCAGCGGTGCTTTGCCCTGAGCTTGGGTCCAAGTCTTCTATGACTTCACGGATAATTTCTTCTAGAGCCGACAAGATCACCGTCTTGCATTGTGACCTAGGGACTTCCTGAGGGACAACAAGCTCCCTTGGGCGATGGTAGGTGTCCTCTGGGTGCTGCTGGGACGACGTGCTGTCACTCCTCTCTCGCAGCTTGCTGGTTGAGCGCGAAGAGCACTTGGAGCTTCCTTTGCTGATATCGGCGGCGGTAGTAATGACCTTCTCCACAGCTTCAACCAAGGCATCATCTGAGCTGAGTAATGTCTCTTCGATAAACTCATCCTTAACGTGTGGTTCGAATGGATAAGGCGACGGCAGTGTGGGTGCTGGGGAGACAGCTACCGGCGTCATAGTGGAAGGCGTGTTCGGGCCACTAACCAAACTAGCCTTGACGAGACGACGATATCGTATTCGCGTAATCGTGAACGTAGTACTATCGGCGATGATGGCCGTGCTGACATCTACCCACTTCTCCGTGGCACTTTCAGACGAACTGGGGACCCACGTCGTGGGTGGTTCGGCTTCCATCGAGGCCTTAATCTGCTCCTTGAGGCCTTCTTGCACCGGCACCGCCTGGAGTACGAAATCTGGATGGTAACTCTTCAACCAACCAGCAGCATTCAACGGCCCATCCCCATCCACAGATACGCGCGACGACTGCTCAAACGTATCGAATGCTGTGCCAAACCCAGCGATGGATAGGTATCCACTGCTCGATGGCGAACTCACTGCGGTTTCGAAGGAGGCAAGATAGTCGGGAAAAGGGATATCGACGTCAATAACTCCGTCATCGGTGATGGACGTCTTGACCGGAGACTCAAAGGCACCTGAAGGATCGGGAATCCTTTGGGGCTTCTGTCCGGGAGTTGTTTGGCCCGAGAAGCTTCGGTTCTCTCCAGGCACTTCAACCGGCGACTTTGGATTTCCCCTTTGATCCAGGGCAGCACGAGTTTGAGCATCCCCAGGTTGCCGCATAGAGCTCCGTCCGGGTGTTTGGGGTGGCATGGATGCCCTGTCCGTGTCCTTCCTCATCGGTGGGGTTGTAGCCTCGCCTTGCCCAATGCTGCCACTACGAGGCTTTGCTGAGACGATGGAGCCCCTTCTTCGCGTGCTCCATAAGCCGCTGATAACACTCCCCCACCTCGAAGTCTGCCGTTGCTCACCGGTCATAAAGCTCTGCGAACCTCCACTCCCAGTCCGCGAGATACGCTTGAGGTCGTCGGCAGCAAAGCTGTTGCTGCTGCTCGGTCGAGTACTAGCAAAAGAGTCGGCGCGATGGACCATGGCAAAATGAGGGATGCTCATTTCAGGGGTAATGGCTCCAGTTGTAGCAGCACTGCTTTTCCGCATAGTCGGATCGATGCCTCGGATTGGGAGATGGGTTGTCCGTATCGAACTGGCATCGGAGGCTCGCCTCTCGTGCCTCGATTCCATGCTCAAGTGCGCCAAGTTAATCGGAACTGCGGCAGTACGTGCGCCTTGCGACTGCAAGCTGAGGTTTCGCGAGTGAGATGCTCGCCCGGGACCTGTACGGCGGTTGATCCTCCTCCGCAGCGACTCCTCCTTAAGGATAGGCACAATAAGCGACGGGGGAGACTGCGAAAAAGTCCCGAGTGATGCAGCGGTACTTGGCCGGTGAGGACGGACACCGGGAACCTGTTGGGATGCCGGCAAGAATGCAGCCAGTAAGAATAGTAATCTCCTCGCGACGCTTTTGTCTTGGGCCACAATAACAGTCCGACTGGGAACCGACGCATCTGCGTCCAAGCGCCCTTTCTGCTGTATACAATAGCGACGCCGATAGAACGGGGGACTTAGCGCTTGTAACCAATCGGTATGTGTCGCAAGAAAGCCTGTGAGTAAGTTGAAAAAGAAGCCCTGCTCTTTGCCGCCAGCCCATTTGGCCACCCAACGAGCTTCCTCCCGCCAAATGGGCCAACGGTTCTGTCCAGTGACGACCCGCGCCGCTCGAATGCCATCAACTATCCTGGCCTTGGCGTAGTCCGTTTCCCGGCTGATATGTCGATTCTCGAGAAGACAGTTCGGAGGTAGTGTAACGTGTTTTGCATTTGTCTTGGGTGGTTTGGGTGGAGGTGGATCGCCGCTGCGCCGTCCAGCTATTGATTGGCCTTGTGCGATCTGAGGGGGGATGTAAGCCGGAAGAGGGTCAGGGGAAGCGAGATCCGCCTGTAGAAGCATCGATAATATAACCTTGGCAACAACAAATTGCAGCTGATTTAGCGTCCTCATAATTATGTCCCAATGTTTTGTGATAACATCGATTTGGTCTTCGGTGTCACTGCCGAAAGTGGTCTCAAAAGACTCAAATCCATACCCTCCCTGGCCAACCATAGTCCAACCTGAAGGACGTGTTGAACTAAGGGAAGAAGGAAACGAATCTTGTTCTTGGTAAGAACTGGATCCCCGAAACCCTTGCCTCGACGTGGTGGTAGGCGTGGGGTGAGGGGAGGACGGAGGAAGGTTGATAACTAATGCAACCGCGTACATGGGAGTTCTCTTCTGTTTGGGCTGCACCTTATTCTTTTTACTTCTGACGTCTTCGGCGGCCTGTGGAAAGGGGTAACCTGTGCTTTCTTCGGTAAAGGAGGCCCCCCGAGGACTGATCATATCTTCCTCAACAGGTAGACTCACGGGGAACAGTCTCGTAACGAGGACTCGCTTACGATCTGGCATACGGTTTGCTGTAGTAGCGCTTTGAGCTCCGGCATAAGACGGCATGGTCTCCGAGGAAAAGGACTGTGAGAGCCGACTCGACCTCATACTTGCCCTCCCGATGGAGCTCCGCCTGTCAGCAAACGCCGAACCGGAGTCGGTCTGTCTGGCTTCTGCCGGTACCACGTGAACCTTTGTCGATGTTCCTTTGTATGCCATGAGTTCAGAATTGCCGAAGATGCAGCTGGAGAAAGTGGCAAGTTCCTCACGATACTCGCGCATGTGGCGTTGGGAGTCGGATTCGAAGTGACCATGGCCCGGAGTTCGGCCATGGAGGGAATTTCGATTTTCAAAAGCACCTTGTCGTGTCTTGGGGCTGCTGGACTGGATGACCATAGGACGTTGTGTATGGCTGAGACTGGACTTCCGTGGAGAGGTCGGGTTCCGGCGGTTATCTTGGGCGGAATAGAGGGATGAAGGACCGCCCATCAACGGGTTGACTTGGACGGCAGGCGGCGACTGGCTGTCGTAGAGAAGGGAAGAGGTGAGGGAGCCTAGAGCATCCTGCATAATGATGACGCGAACATCGCGCACGTCGAGCTCAATACTGCCATTGTAGTCGTAGGCATTGGTCGAGGGGCTCGCGGTGACAGAAGAGAGGCTTGATAGGGGGAAAACGTCGTTGAGACGCTGTTCGAACAAGTCCTGCGGATCGGGAAAGAGAAGATTTCGAGTGTGTATGTCTTCTTGGACCGAATCTAAGGAGGTAATGGATTTGTAGGAAGCTGTCTGGGCTGAAGCGGAATCTCCGGCGCCCGAGACAGCACCGAGGTTGAAGAGTTTCCCGAGCATTCTTTGGAGAGAAGAAAGGGCTGACAGTTTTGTTCGTCTTTGTATAAACAGTCAGTCCAAGGCGAGAACGGTCAAGATGCAGACAAGTCACGGAGTGATCGTCTTCAACAGCATCCTCTTGGGGCGGCCAGCCGAAGGGGTTGCATTCTGAGCGGTGCGGTCGCCATACGGAAGAGAGATGAGAGTAAGGATGTCAACAAAACAAGTAAAGGGGGTGAGTCGTCCTCACAAGCAGGTGGCTTGATTCCGTGGGGTTCGGCGCAAAGATGAAATACCAGACAGACGAATGTCTTGTAGCTTTCCAACAATCCTCGTGCGGACTGGCTCGGACTGGCTGTCCAGTGATGAGCAGGGCTCAGAGGTTTGATCTACTGCGTAGTGCGCGTGGAAAGATGGAAGAGGAAAGCAATCGGCACCCCCGAGTTGCTGGCGATGGAGTTGTCGATAGCTAGACGGTGGTGCGTGGCCTCGACGACCGATACCCACGACCGACGAGGGACAGAGGAAGAACGGGGGCGCGAGACGAGATCGTGGGCGATCTGGACTTGTCTAGGACTGCCGTGGATCCGGACGTCGCGGCTCCTCGGTCGCAAAAAGTGGTGAGGCGAGGCGAGGAAACGCAGTGAGTGGATGGGATATAATGGGCCCAGTGAGCCAAGGTCTGCCAGGTATATAGCGTATATAGCGGCGGCCACCAAGTCTCGGCAGTGAAGTGTTGTATGTGTACTATGGACGCAGTTAGGTACACATACCGTCGACTGAAGGAGAGAATCGACGCGGTCGGTCTTGTATACAATATCCACACTGCAGGTTGTGGATGAGGCTATCCGGGACGGGGACGGGGACGGACGGGAAGTGGAAGTCATTGGAAACTTACCGAGTTGTGAAAATGACAGGGTAGAGTTAGGGTAAGCCGTGTAATCGGTAATCCACGGCGACCAGGTTCCTCTTGATTCGAACAAGATGAATGACACGGACACGCGCGCGGGGCACCTGGGGGAGCAGGGAAGGTAGAAACACACAAACGCTGTTTCCCTCTGTTTTCACGGACACGTTGTGACGACAGGGAGCATGAGTACAGGCTTCAATGGTGTTTGTTGTTCAGTTGTAGATAATGTTGTAGTCGAGACCAAGACTCCCCGCCGAGACTGAGATGTGAGACCCAGACTCCCGTCGAGACTCACACCCGGACTCTCCTCTGGCAGTCACGGTCGCGAATGGAACCTGGCGGGGGTTCGGAATGGCGGTGACGACGTGTGAAATCCGGTCGAGGCTCCCACGCTCCTTCAGGTTCCAGCTCAATTCAAAAGCCCGCGCGGGCCCCAAGAGGTCAAGAACCGCAAGGTCACACTGGGAAGTCGCACTGGAGTCGCACTGGCATCCAACTTCAAGGCTCCACTGACTGTGGATTCACTGGTGGATGCAGACGAACTGTGAGCGGCAGACAAGGCTCGAGCTCGGAGCTCCAGCACAGAGGCCTCGACCCAATGGCACGAAACACAATGGGCCTTCCATTGGGGTTGATTTGGTACATGAGTTTTCATATTCTGGATACTAATCGACACCGTTAAAAATCGTTCAAATTGCGAAGTGGACTGCGCAACCCTACCCGAAACGGGTAAGGTGACCTCACTAACACTCGAGTAGGGAAACTGAAGCGAAGAGGTACTCAAGTGATCGCTGCGTTCGGCGGACACTGAGGTGGTGGCACATATCAGCGCTACGTGATCGATACCTCAACTCGTCACAGCAGGGGTAGTTCATGCAAAGTACCCTTGAGTACCGGAAGATAGGTGCATGTAGGTATCTGTACGACATCCAGACTCGCCGTCCCCACCAAAGCCCACCTCAAGCCGATGACCCCTCTCGAGTCTCCGTCCTTGCCGTCATCCAGATGCTGGAGCTCGACGTTGGAAATTCAATTTTATTCCCATCCACTTCTCCAGACTCGTCGTTGCTGGCGCATGGCAAACACTTTCACATTGCATACCCGACATCCAATGCTTCTCTCATACCGCTTGCTTCAGTTACGCACACGACGTTGAGGCCTCGATTGCCGAAGACTGCGATCCCAGATCCGCCAGAACCGAACTCGGGCCTTGCCTGGTGCCTGGAACTGGCCGTGCTCCAACGTCAAAATGGATGCCCTGAAGCTGAAATACGTACCTTTTCCCTAGATCGCGCTTATGAGGTTGCATCCTTACTTCACGACTGCAACCCAGGTGGACTGCTGGACGATCAATTCCAGCAACGTTATATTACTGCCACCGGCGACACCTCCGAATATTTGGACCCCGGGATTATTCCGCATCAGCTGTCACATGATGGGAACCCTTTGACGTGGGCAATTCGAAACCGTGGTCCATGGCATCCCGCATGCTTGCCGAGACCCTATTTCACTAATTACTCAAACCGGCAGCATCAGGAAGAAAGAAGACGGGATCTCACTTCAATTCCGACTACAGTATGAAACTTGCTATCATCCGATCTGACTCGCAGACCACAGCCTCGCTTTCAAAAGAACGTCCAAGTGGAGACCCCTTCTGAGCGGCGATTCAAAGACATGCCTTACCCGCCCGATACAACATTAGATCTAGATTTGTCGGATTTGTCTCGCTATTCCCAACGGGAAGGGTTCATGTTCCAACAGCTCGACATATCCCTCACGTGCCCACATCATGAAAAAAAGAACCAGAGATGTCCCCCTCCTTCTCTTTCGCGAGCTCCAAGGCCAATGGATTTACACAGGTCTCAGACCCTTGCAACATGCACAACCAATGGCACACCAACCAATAGATCAACAAGAAGGCGTACAAATATGGCCCAAGGAGGAAACCAAGGCTGACGTGATCGTTAAGGCTCATCATGTACGGAGTTCTAATTTCCCCCGACCGGTATTGGCTACCCCTCACTGGCGATGTTGCTTGAGTTCTACCTACGGCAAAGACTTTCCACATCGATTGGGATGGAGAAACTATTCACGTCGCAGTCAGAGAGGTACAGGTACAACCGCAGAGCCTCTTCTTCAACCCCTCCGCTCCGTCCTCTTGGGTTTTCCTATTCTGTGCCGCTTTTGCCCGACCATCAGGGTCTCATCCGAAAATTCGCCAACTTACATAATGTCTACCACCCTTCGGCATCCGCAAGAAAAAAATCAAGAGGCGAAGATGGCGCTGAGAAATCAGGTACCAGTCAGGTACGTACATCAACAGTTGGGGGTTCATCCCTGTGTGCCGTTTGATCTTCGTTTCTCGTTTCTCCGCGCCCTCGCCGCCCTCTTTTCCCCCTCTGTTGATCACTCCGTATCACTGGTCGACTGTCCCCCATCTACTACGCACAACACACAATCTTCATTCTTAACCCCCACGCTGGCACGTATGCATGAGACGTTGTTGCCGTTGAGCCGTTTGAATCGAACAAAGTCTTTCAACGTAGGGTCTGGTGTACCTACGATGCAGACACAAACGTCTATGCAGAATATCGTACATACACAGTATGTTAAGTAAGCTGAAGAGATATATGGTACAGATTAACGCGCAGCACATGTGCATCTAACAGCATATCAGATGCGACACCCAAAAAATGCCTACTTCGCACATAGACTGCGACTAGGAGAGATCTGTCAGGGCATATGCTGGATGCCAGTGTCGTACAGTTGACTCTGCTGCAATTCTTCTCTTCCGTCTGTTTCATTTCTGTCCTGACTCATATCGGCGGCCCGTCTTTGCAGGTTTTCGAACCCACAGCAAAGACAGAGAGGCAGACCGAGAGACTGGTTTGGAAAGCTTGGTAGGAGGCAAGGTCTCACAGGGTAAGGCGAACCTTGTGAAGTCTCCAAAGATCACCTCAATGGAAATAGGCAAAAAAAAAAAAAAAAAAAAAAAAAAAAAAAAAGGAGGGGGGGGGGGGCGAGTGCCCTTCTAACTTTTTTAACTGATTGCTCAAGAAAAGAGCAGAGCGTTCATCAAGGGGACTAATTGCGACTTTTCTCACGTCTCTCCCGCGACATGTTATGTATTGTGCTTGATCACTCCCCACAACCTTCGTCAACCAACAACATAAACTAAACGTCCACATGGTGTATGGTGGCTTGCTTGCTTGCTTGCGCATGTGTGCCGCTGCAAACAGAAAAGAGGCAGAGAGGCAAGGCGGGCGGGCGAGCTACACCCACCACCATTGTTGCTAAAGCGAAGAACAGTTGTTTGCTTCGGATAACCGATATACCGTCCGTCATAGGTACACACATCAAGCTATCAAGACTTGACGACATCAGGGAAGGATCCTTGAGATAAAACTTGAGTAAGGGTTGGTAGAGACTCGAGAAGGCTCTTCACCGCTTCGAAGAAGGCAAACGCGATATATACTTGAATTTGACGGGCTCATATCCATAATGTGCAATGTGGGTGGGCGAAATGCTGTGATCCGGCGCAGTATCGTGACTACTTACCATAGGTAGCAAGCATACATACGGCGAAGGGAGATTGTAAGTAGTGATGAGAAGTGGTAACACCACATCGATGGACATTGTGTGACAAAACAACCTAAGCCTATGGCCAATTGAGAAGGAAATACCTAGGAGCTCAGTTTGATGAATGAATGGGTAGTTAACGTACGCCAGATGAATGTACTTGTATCTTATTGACTAACTTACATATGTACAACGAACTAGTCTACAATTGTGTATTTTAAACACTCTCATCCAGAAAGTCGGCTTTGTATTAGCGACCTGTTCTGGTAAACGGGTCGACGGTGTGCACTCCATGAAAGCCGGGATTTTGTCACTGTTGCTTCATGGAATCCAGGCACCATAGGCAGTTTCACTACAGTGCATGCCAGAGTAAGGATATTACCTAGAGGTCTGGATATTACATAGAACAGAGCAGACGGGTTCAGATGATGTTGATAAATTGAAGAGAAACATATAAACATTCACTACTTAACGCCCCAAGGAAGAAGAACTAGACCACACCTCCAAGAAACGCATGGGAAACAAAGAGAAAAACAGACCAACCCTAACCTGACGTTGTGAACAGAAGCATTTTGAGACCGAATCCTTGATATGGGACCGGCTAACAAGAAAGGGTTACTCTAATCTAGTCCATTGGGGGTTTTATACTTGCGCGATAATGACCATGTACAAGATAGATGCAGAAAAGGGGTGTCGTATGCGGGTGTTTGGTTGGGAAGACAAAAAGAGTGGCTTCCAGAACAGAGATATCAAAGAAGGTAGATGACTGGAGAGGAGGGATGGAGAAAAATATCTACACGAGTGTTTTGAATGCCAATGTTGTACCCAAACTAATACTCTGACAATAAAAGCTCACTGCTCATCAGGGGCAACAGGCTGACAACACGCGAGCCCAGCACAGGATCCCCTTCCACACACCAGATGGCAAGTCGTCGCCGTGCTGGCCCGTCTTCTCTTTGCCAGTGAGACACTAGTGGTGGTGATTGACGAAGACGCGCTAGTAGCGCCACCGCCAGGTGTTGTCATCGTCGACTCACTTTCGTCCACAAGGCCGTCTCCGTCCGGCAAGGCTATGGTTATGGTCGGGGGTGCCTTGCAGGTCGGCACAAGCTCGTATTCTTCGTATCCGGGAGGCAACTCGGGTTGAATAGTCGCCGAATGGATCCCGTAGGCGTGAAGACACTCACCGATGGTTCTCGCTTTGTCCATAAAATTCACGATACTATCTTCGGTGAGGACGACGTGGACCGAGGCGATGGCCTTGTGCTGGTCGAGTCTCCAGACGTGCAGCTCGTGGATCGAATCGACTCCTGGAACCTGGTTCGTGAGGGAAAAGTCAGTTGTTGTTCTCGTCTTCTTGGTTTGGATTTGACATACCTTCTCAATGTCGTGCTTGATATCCTCGGTTCTTACTCCCTTCGGAGCGCTTTCGAGAAGAATCTCGCCGCTGTTCTTGATCAGGGGCACAGACGAGAGGATGATCATGATAGCAATCCCAACACTAACACCGGGATCGGCATAGAAGCGAGCATCGGACTTGACTAGCCAGATCAGGAGTGCGGCCATGATGACTCCAAGATTGTTGATCGCATCGCCCATGACGTGAATGAGAGCGCCGAGCATGCCCAGGTCGCGACATTGAGGCTGCTGGATATCAGGAAAGGAGGAATGCCGATGTTGGAAATGAGGGTGGAAAGGCTTTTGTCCAACACAACTGATTAGTGTCCGTATCAAGTAAGCGTCGACTTTTGAGTTTGCCATACAGACTCTGTATCTCCACCCGCCCGGCAACATGTGTCGAAGTCAAGAGGTACTTCATGGCCATGTCCATGCGAATGCCCTAGAGAATGACCGTGGCTCATATGGTCATGTGGCTCTGCGAGTGAACTGTCAGATTTCTTCTGGCTCATGGGTCCGCGACCAACCTACCATGCAGGAATGTGATTGTGATAACGTTGAGCGTGAATCCCACACATCCCATAATCAGCATCAATTTTGGGTCTTCCACTCTTTCGACGGTGATGAACCGCTCAATGGACTGGAGGAAGATGCTCGTTCCGAGGGCAAGTAAGAAGACGCCATTGAAGAAGGCGCCGAGAAGGCGGGCGCGCTGCCATCCAAAGGAAAACCCTACAGGTGAGCCGGTCCCTTCGGTCTTCTAGGAAAGTGTCAGTGCCTGAACCGGGTAAGATGACACAGAACTTTGCAAGAGGAGGAGTCTCATGGGAAAGAAACGGAAAGACAACTTACAATAATGGCGGTTAAGGTGACAGCGAAACTGATCAGGTCGTTCAACTGGCCGGCAAACTATTAGCATGGGCTACCATGGTTTCTAGGGTACGGATTAGAAAAGTACATAGTGAAATGCGTCCGCCGTTAGAGCCAAGCTTCCTGTCTTGAAAGCAACTGTGAGGTTGTTGTCAGCAACATATTCCATTGTCACTTCAAAAAAAAAAAAAAAAAAAAAAAAAGACAAGTGGCAACAGAAGTAGACGAGAACAGACCAGCAAGTTCTGATACAAAAAAGGCAGAGGATATGGCTATTGTCGCGGCTAGCCTCTGCTTCGGTCCAATTTTGGGAGCCATTGCTTAACGAGCAAGTGGCGGGAGATGTCGAGGTCGGTCGGAAACCAGTTATAGGTGTTTACATGGACGGCCTGGAAATAAGAAGGCTAGTTTGATGTCGATGCTGAGACGATTGAGGTCCAGTTGAGATCGAGGAGGGGACTCTGGCACCGTCCCGCCTTCCCGGGTCGGCTCGATTTAAGGGAGCAGGTGCATTCTAGCCCGGTTGGGTACAGCAGGTGCAACGGAGACGGACTTGCATGTGAACCGTGAGCCATGAAGGTCCTCTCCCTTCCGGAGGGCATTTGAAAGTAGGGAGCCGGTCGGTATCCATCGACGTAAGGCGGCCATTGGACGGGCTGGTGATGCTATTCTCAATGATCAAGTCGAGCAGCATTTCGTTGGTGAGTGACTAGCAGCCAAGAGATCAAGATGGATGACAATGGCACGTTGGACCGTGTACCCTCTTCGACGTCAAAAGCGAACAAAGTCGACACCGGTTCCAATGAAAAAATCCACCCCATTGACGAGGTACGGTACAAAGCTTCAACCAATAACTCCTAGGAACAGTCGATGCTGTGAACAACTTGCAGCTTGTGCCTTGATGGCTTCATGACTGGGTGAGTTGAATCAGATCCGCTTTCATTTTCTTGCAGAAAAGTGTCTCTGATCCCTCCCCGCTCGTTGGGCATATGGAAAGCGCGCATCCTCAACAAGATATGTCGTGGTAGGTGACCACTAGCTTGAACCTCTTGATGAGAAACCGACGGCAGCAAGGCATGGGCAAGGTGTGTGGTTTAAGACCGGAAAATTGCTAAGCAGACGTGGTCTGTCTCAGAGGGGCCTTTTATGAGAGACAGCGAGGCTCTGACAGACAGCTGGAGGTTGGTCATTGACGTCGTACGGGCCTGGGCTACGGAGCACGGCGGCGGCGCTGCCACCTCACGACTTTCAGATGGATACACAAAGATTTCCCATCATCAGACAGCCGTTCGACTTTGGCGGGCAGCTGGCTTGGCACTTGGATCAACAAGCGTATGAGAATCTTTACATTTGCCGTCGCGGTCCGAACGGCCGGGAAGATGATGGTGAAGTTTGATTTGTAAATTGTTGAAAGGTGAAGAGCCATCAAGGTGCCTCTCTTGGAAATGAAGTCCAATTGTCATATGGTCCGTGCGCTATCAAGGTGCCGGCATCGCAGTAGCTGGGTGCAGGAGCAGGGCGGTGAATGAGAGGACACTGAATTCTGCCTCATCCCACTGTCAGAGTGTCAGTACAGGTACCTTTATGACCGTACCTGCAGCTAGCACAGATGGTCCGAGCTCCTCTGAGGACGTCGTCTCTTTGCGTTTCACTCCCAAACCGAGACTCGATCTCTCACGGCGACATCGTGCCAACCACTGCATGTATTTAGACGATGAAATAAACTCAGTACACCCTCAGCAACATCCGTCTTACATATTCTTCCCTGATTCCCTCGATCTGCTCCAGCAGACTCCGATGCGTCTCGTAGGCATGGTGGCCTCGAGATCGCAACCACCGACAGCGAGCTAGGACCTGAGCATCTGACATCAACGCATGGAACTAAGCCCATGATTAGTGTCAGACGGCATTGATGGCGTCGCGCAATGTCTCTTCGGGGGTGCCGGGACAGGCCAGGCCGCCCAACTGGTCGTCGCACCTCCGGCAGTTCAGCAGAAACAGCCTGGAGCGCATCCCGGATATGCCCCGGTCCCCGGATACCGTCTCTAGTAACTCGACCATCCGTGACCGGCCCTCTTCATCCTCAAGGCGCTTACGTTTTGAGAGGAGATGGACCGTCACCGTCAACGAGTCCTTTGCCCGCGATGAAGTCTTGCTCAATCTTGATCTCATAGGCGATGAGGCAAAACCAGGCAGCCTCATGGCTATCGACGTCTTCCGGCCTGATTCGGAGAAGCAAGCGCAAGGTTCTCATCACCATCACCACCACCACCATCATCACCATCATCACAAACAGCCCCCACCGGACCGCACGAAAGAGGCTGCAGAAAGTCAACAGCGTTACATCTTTGTCGTCAAGGACATGCCCAAGGAACTCAAAGCCCGCTACCCGAGTGTTGAAGTCTACGTCGCAAAGCATATTGCTGATGTCTTCGGCATGAGGAAGGGTTCGCAGGTTACCCTGACCCCAGTACGCCCCCACTCCTTACTTGTAGCCGCGTAGAACCCTTACTAAACTATTTAGATTGATGATCATAACCCAGCCATCGAGGCCTCTCATGTCGAGCTTTGCTTCAGAGACCAGTACATGTCCCGCTCCGACATGTGGCAGTTGGCTGTTCGTGAGCTTTCAGAGAGGACTGTCTACAAAGGCCAAATGGTTCTGTTCATGGGCACTCTCAAGGCTCAGGTTACCGCTGTCTATGTCGAGGGCCGCAAGGTACCATCCGCATTCTTCGGCCACAATACAAAACCCATCTTCCGAAGCGAGTCTGCCCGGTACGTGCTTTTTATCCAGATGGCGCGCGAAATGTGGGACTTCGATTCAGATGGTTCTGGTGAGATCATGTTCAACAAGGTTGTAAACGGCTTTCTGCCCGCCTTGTTTAAGAAGTGGGCATCACTTAAAGTCAGGCACCTTGTCAGTATTGTTCTCTTTGCTCGGGTTGAGTATGACACAGGCATCTCCACCGAATTGGGCAATCCGGACGTTCATAATGACTACTACACCGGTGTCCAGTCGTCTGGCGATCGTCGCCCCTATAAGGACTTCTACCGCGTTGTTGTGAGCGACATGGGTAGCGGCGAGTGGACCAAAATCCTCTACCAGTTGAAGCGCGAGTTCAATTACTTCCGAAGAGATATCAGCACCTTCCATCAGAAGGCCATGCACTCCTTTTCTTCTTCAGACGACCCAGCCGACCAGCAAGCAGCCTTGAACAGAATAAAGGCCGAGGCGTCAAGGGCCATTTATGGCAATTTTCTAGAGGCAATCAACATGGCATCCTCGCTGTTTGCGCACGATTACATAGATCGTGATCTGATGCGAACCGGCATATCTGTCATCGTCATAAGCCCTAGTCCAGGTATCTTTGAAGTCGAGTACGACGCACTGCGCCGTACCACCGAAGCCTTGGTTGGAAATGGGATTGGTATTGATCTTATATGCATACCCAAAGCTCCCCTCCACTCCGTGCCCTTGTTCCGGTACCGCAACCCCGAGTACTCGACAGAACCGACACATCATCACAAGGCAAAAACAGCCCCGAGTCTTTCCAGTACTCCCAAACAGACAGCGCCGATGATTGGGAGCTATAAGAGCTTTAACAGCATGGCGGGGTCATACTCCCCAAGCAGAGGCACCGACATCACTCTTCATGGTGATTATGCTGGCTCTGGCTCGGCCCAAGACGAATGGAATTATGCTTTGCCGCAATGGCTACATGTCTCGTACTGGACAGGCGAGTCCGAAGAAACCTTGTCATACCATGGCATTGCTCTATCGGTCTCTGATGTTTCGCAAACACAGTCAGGGGACGACTTCTTAATAAGATGTCGCATGTATGACTTGCAAATGCGCAGCGTCATGGAAACCAACGAGATCGAAACCAAGCCGTTGCACCTGGATCCTTATTTCCCTCATAAGGCATTGCAGGCAAGCAACGTACCGAAACCGTACATTGATCAAGATGGCAACGTCTTCATACAGAACTCCCGCATCCCAGAAACACTCTTTGATCATGTGTACGGGTTTCAGAAATTCGCCCCGGATAAGCACGCAAAGTTGGGGGAAAAGTCACTTTGGAAGCAATTGCAGGACTACGACGACTCGAGAGCGCGCCAGCCGTCATTACGCCGCACATTGGCGCTTCCGAGACATGTACGGGAGTACGATGATTCCGTCAGGCGACACCATGCTGATGACGCGAGTCTTCTTGGGACATCATACACTGAGCGTAGGCCGTCTACGAGTGCCTCACAAATGACAATAACTGGGCATGGATTGGGTCAGCGCTTCAACGCCGACAAACCCGAATTGCGTAACCGTAAGACGGTCGACTTCGACAAACTCAACTCCAAGCGTTCACCTACAATCATTCCAAAGGTTCCAAAGTTCATGAAGCAGATCAGCCTTGGCAGCTCCGGTTTTCGCATTGCTGCACCAAAAGCTGCGACGGCAGAACTTAGCATTGAAAGTGCGAATGCTGATAGATCATTGACATCTTCAAGGGCTCTGATGAGTGCGGGCACTGCTGCAACTCCAGCCAAAGCAGTAATCAACCGGTCAATGTCGCCCCAGATGTTTACGAGTGGAACTCCCGCTTTCTCCCCTTGGGGCGCTACACCAGGCTCGTTCGCGCCCGGCCATCAGTACTTCGAGGGCACTCCAAGCCGGCCGATGCCAATCAAGTCGCAACAGATTCCAACTGACCCTGCAGCCAACATGCTATCAGGCTCAATGCTCGCCTCAACACTACGGGCCGATTACGTTCCTGACAATCGTGATCTCTTCTACTCAGATGCAATCAGAGCCGAGGATGCGAAGAAGGTTTACAATAACAAGCTTTTGGCCGGAGCGGTACCGGAATTACCGTCAACTTTATCGCCGACAACCGCGTTGTCACCTTGGCTGACGTTGGTCAACCCGTCGAACCCTGATAGCAACAAGGTCGATATTGCCACGTTGTACAGTCGTTGGCAACATGTCTTTCCTAGGCCAAACGAGACGCGGGTGATGAAATGGAAGTCTTTGTGCTCCCCCGCTGCCGTTCCACTTACCACAGAATACTTCCCTACCAAGGCACAGTTCGAGTCAGAGTACCACCGTCAACCGTACAATGTCTCGCAGAATGCCGATGATGAGTTGGCCGAGGAACCCAAGTCACGCGACGAGATGCTGCGTGAGATGATCAGTCTCAGATTCTGCCAAGGATTCCAAGTCGTTGTCGGCCCAGCTGTTGCTAAAGCCTTTGGCCAGAAGCAACTCAAGGTTACCGACATATTCTCCCGCGACCACACAGCGGAGGATGGTACAAGCATCTTTATGTCGGTTGGCAACACGATTCACCAACTCTCGTGCGTGAATGGCACCGAAATTGAAGTTAATATCTTTGTCCGGAAGCCGATCGCCTCGCCGGAACTGTACGATGACCGTTACTTGTACAAACCGGCGATACGAACCCTACTTGATTACAGTTACAAAACCCATCCCTTTGACATGGTGGCTCCTACGCCCGATAGAAACTGGAATTATGTTGATGCATTCGTTGCAGGACATAATGACGAGTTGTCAGAACATCTGAGGTTCTGGCGCGCTAGGTTCGTCCTGATACCAATGACTGCTAGACACTCGTTTTTCCCCAAGACGCAATATGGGGACAGTGAGGAAGAGATCCGCATCGAAGGTATCCGGAAACTCGCCCAGATGTGGCAGAAACACAGGTACGTCCCGGCGAGCGAACGGAGCTTTCAAGCATCGCGCCGCAAAAAGGATATGAACCCCCTTGATATCGTCTACAAGACAGAAGACCCATCTGTAGTCATTGCGGCCGAGCTGGAAACCCTTCCGCTGTTTGAGGGCCTCGAAGGTGGGCACAGGAAGGGTCAGCTGGTCACAAGCAGAGAGAAATTCTCAAAGAAGAATTTCAGTCTCGTGGCATTGGCAGAGGCTATCCAGCAGCCCGTGGAGAATGGAGGCATTCGTATGCAAAACCGGCGCTGGCATTTGCGCCTTCATTATAACTGCTTCATTGGGTCTGACATGACCACCTGGCTCCTCGAGAACTTTGAAGACTTGGAAGACAGAGAGGAAGCCGAGGAGCTCGGTAACCGTCTGATGGTCACTTCAGATGACAAGTCAAAGGATGACAGCAAAGAGGGAAGGAAGGAAGGCGGCGGCCTCTTCGTGCACGTTGAAAGGCGTCATCCTTTTAGGGATGGCCAGTATTTCTACCAGATCAGCAGCGACTATGCAAAACCTAACCCGCCAGGCTGGTTCAACACAAGGCGGGTTCCAGTGTCTGTCCCATCAACACCGCATTCGGAAGTACGGGATTCGCCAAGGTCCAATGTGTCGATGTCGAGGCCAACGTCTATCCACGAGGACAGTTCTCCCACGTCTGGAACGGTGACCCCAACGGCAGCTATGATGGCCGGTGGCAAGAAGCCCAGGGTGGTTCTGAGCAAAGTCATAAAATACGACGTAGACCATCGAAAGCGCTCTTACCGGCCCGAAGTGGTTGATCTGCATTACGATAGACTTCACAACCCCGACAACTGTTACCACATCAGAATCGACTGGATGAACGTAACCGCCAAGTTGATCGAAGATGCTATCGAGGCATGGGCTCGTGAGGCGGCCTTGTATGGGCTCCGGCTTGTTGAGGTTCCTATCGCTGAAGCTTGCGATATAACGGAGATCAACCCGTTCCGCCGACCGTACGTGATCAAGCTGGCTGTCCAACCACCGAATCAACAGCCCATCACCTACTTTGATCCCAATTCGTTTACTCCTCAAGCACAGCCGGGGCGGCATTTCTATCAGAGGGCTCTCCTAAGAAAGTTTGACTTTGTTCTCGACATGGAGCCAGCGTCCAGCTTCCCCTACAACGTCGACGTGTCTTATTCATGGGGCAAGCCAGACTTCAAGTACACGCAGTTCATTCACCGATCTGGTACTCTCATCGCCGAGATCACAGACGAAGGCGACATTCTCATCTTAGCCAACCGTCTCTACAACAACCGCACCGCCGCCCAGCGCGAGAAGGAGATGCAGCAGAAGGGAGGCGGAGGCGGAGCCGGGGGCGACAACCTCGGTCCCGGCCCCGGCCCCGGCCGCATCTCAACACCAGGCCTCTACGGACCCAATGCCCACCCAGACCAGCCGACCGCCGTTCCCTCCCCGCTCGTCAAACCAACAACAGCCTTCCTCTCCCCCGCCCTCCGGCCGCACCTGATGGGGCCCATGGCCAGCGGCCCCCCCTCAACCAACGGCTTCGGCATCACAGGCCAATCCCTCAACCGCTCAACCGTCACAGTCCCTGTAACCCCCATGAGCCAAGACCCTGAGGTGGTCAAAGACGAGCTCGAATCCTTCTGCCGCGACCGCTCCGCCCTCGAGGCCTTTTACCGCGAAATCCTCGAGCGCGAAGCGCACCCGCCCGCACCCAACACCACCCCCGGCCTCGCGCCCGTGACGGTGCTGTCAACCACAGCAACGAAAGACTACTCAACCCTCGCCTCCACTCCTCGTCACCTCGGCACTGGCACCGCCACTGGTACGGGTCACACAGTCCCCGACACCAACATCCCCACCCTCGGTCTTCCTCCGGGCGTGCTAGCCGCAACAGGCGGCACCGGCCTCAGCAACTTGAGTGATTTGCAACTGGTGGGCAGCGGGACCGGGTTGGGAATCAGTCCTGTGAGAGTGGGAAGTCCGAGCTTGTTGTCGGCTGCGTCGGCTCATCCCCATCCGATGATGTTGAGGAGAGCGAGCGTGCAGGAGGGGGTGATGGGGAGTAGGATTGGTTTGGGGATTGGGGGAGGTGCGTCGGCTGCTGCTGCGGCTGCTCAGGCGGCGGCGGCGGCGGCGGCGGCGGGAGCTGCGGCTGGTGGTGGTGGTGGTAGTGGAACAAGTGGTGGAAACAGTGGTGGTGGTGCTGGGGGAGGTGCTAGTGAGGACTGAGGGAGAGTGTGAAGGAGGGATAGGGCGGTAGGGGGAGATAGGACATGATGATGTTGGGAAGTGGATGGGTCAAGATGTTTCTTGTCCCATGATGTTTGAAAAGATGTAAAAGTATGGATGGAGATTGAATGAAAATGATGACAGGCAGCGTATCGGAACATGATATGAAAATACGAAGTTGAAGTATTACCTACTTACTATAACAGTGACTGTTCATTCAGTACGATGCCAGGTCAAAAGTGTATATAGTGAATATCAGAGCGAGATGAGTGTCAACTGTCTTGAGCTCAAGTATCCTGCATGCTGTCTGGTTGTACAAATTCTCACAGTCGCAACTATTTCTGGCTTAAGTGGTCGCTTTCAAAGACTGACGATGGATTCGTTTCGCTTGTCGTAACTGCTCCTTGCACATTAAAGAGTCCACCATGTAAGCTTTCCCATAACTCTATTCTGCAAGGCCAACCGATAGAAATCTCTACTACCGACGACGAACACCTGGAGTTGCTCAACATATGTAATTACCATCATCCTGTTCGATATGACATGATATTCGCCGGCAGGACAGAAAAATACAACAACCGTCTAAAAAAAAGAAGTATCGATGAGATACAGCACGGTTACGCCCCATCCCTGCCTGCACTGCATCGCATCACCAGAATCCATACCGCTTGCAGACAAAAATGACGCAAAAAGAAGAATTTCAACCTCCCTCGGTAAGGATCGAACTTACAGCCTCCAGATTAACAGTCTGACGCGCTAGCCAATTGCGCCACGAGGGAATGTTTCCTGATTGTTGAAAGTTGGTTGTTGTTGTTGGGTTTATATGTTCTAATTTGGAGAGTTGACATATCTCCATTTATGCTATTTCCTCCCATTCCTATTCTCGTCTCTCCCTTTTTACCACTATGATTCCTTCTTGTCCACCCCCTTGGGTGGTTTATCCTTTCGTGCATTCCCTTCCCGCTGACAGATACATGGTCATCAGCCTATTAGTAGTACCTCGACGCCCGATCATGAGCCTTGGAGGTCCCTACTTTAAAATATGTACGTCGGATAGGATAGTGTAACTGGGCTGCTTGCTTGCTCGTTTCTAGTAAAAAATCTGGCGCGCGCTAGCTAAGAAATGTTGTGTCGTTAGAATCGAAAGAAAAAAGACCGCGTGCCAACTGAAATAACGAGTCATTGCTCTCAAACGTATAATATGTGTCTAATCGAAATTGGGCATCGTATCCATCTTCATCAAGTTGTTTTCAGGCCGTGCTTTACCCTTTGCACTCAGGACCCTTTGCACTCAGGGCCATCACAAGAATTCGGGTAAACTGTAGAGAAGGAAAAACACATTAGCATCAAAGAGTGCCAGGGAGGTTGGGCAGATATCATCAAACTTACACCAAGCGCAGACAGCCACGATGAGATACAGACAAATAAGCAGCATCCCCTCGAGCCAATGGCTCTTTCCGTCTGCAATGAGGTAGTTAACCAGCAGCACCGAAACGAACAGCACCGCCACCTGAAACGTGTCGAAGCTGAGCGACATATCCTCGATGCCCATTCCCCAGCCGATAATAACGAGCAGAGGGATGACGAACAGGGCGACCTGCATGCTCGAACCGACGGCCACACCGATGGCCAGATCCATCTTGTCCTTGATGGCGACCGTGACAGCAGTGGCGTGCTCGGCGGCATTTCCGACAATGGGCAGCAGGATAAGGCCAACGAACTCTTTGCTGACTTTGTCTCCGGCGGTAATGGCACTGATGCCGTCGACCATGTACTCGGCGCAAAACGCGATGATCACAGTAGCGATGACCAAGGTGACAACGGCGACAATGAAGTGCAGCTGCGGCTCCTCGCCTTCCTCCTCCTCCTCCTCCTCCTCCTGATGGGACGCGGTGTCCAGGTGGTTGCGGATGCTCTCATTGTTGGCCTGCGAAGGAACCGCGTGGCCTCCTACCATACCAGCAGGGCCTACCAAGCCCTGGGAAATGGCGCCGTCCTTGAGATCCTTGCCGCCTCGTAAGTTGAATGGCTTGGCCGCGACCTTTTGACTCTCCTCGGCGAAGACGGCGGAGTGGGTCTTTAGCTGGAACAGGAGATAACCACCGTAAACGAAAAGCAGAATAATGGAGACGCCGCGTGAAATTTGCGCCACCTTTTTGTCATCTGTGTTAGCCGCCATGTCAAAGACCGTAGGTACAATGACACTGGCGACGGCAAGCGCAAGTAAACTCGCCGCTGTTTGGGCGACGGTCGTGTTGAAAAACTGTTCCCGTCTGTTGAGACCACCGCAGAAGAAGCACATTCCCATAACCAGAAGAAGGTTGGACAAGATACTGCCGATGAGTGAAGTCTGTACGACGACAATCTCGTTGTGCGTCAGAGCAATAACAGCCACAATCAACTCAACAGCATTGCTGTGGGAGTGTTAGCACTGTTCTCTACCGCCCTAACCAATGAAGTTGATACTTACCCGAAACTGGCATTCAAAAGTCCGCCCAGTACTTCGCCCGTTCTCAATGCAATCTCCTCCGTCGCAAAACCCAGCATGGCCGCAAGAGGAACGATGGCAATGAAGTTGACAACGAACACCGCAACGCGGGGTACCGACTCAACATAGTTGATCGCAATACCTACCGGCGCCGCGACGAGTAGAACGTTGAGCCACGAGTTCAACAATGTGCGCCGAATCTGATTTCCCACGGTGAACGGCTCCTTGGGCTGGAGGTGCTTGAAGAAAGTCCTCTCCTTCTTCTCATTTTCCTTCTCGGCCACCTTTTGTCCTGCGCCGTTCAGTTCGGTCCGCGAATCGTTGGCGCCTGTCCTCCTGCGTATAAGACTGAGGCTACCGTTGCGTTGATGTGCGGAACCCGTAGGGACCTGTGTTGATTCCACATTTGTCTCCCCCGTAAGCCCAGTCATCTGGCTGGTGGGCTCCATGTCCTGCATCTCGATATTCGCGTGGTTGTAAGAGGGCTCTCCATTTGCACTGTTGTAGCCATTGGATACCCGTGATGGCGCCGTTGCTGAGTGTTTGATGGGCGACGTATCGTCGAGTCCTTCGAGCGCCATCGGCGGCTGAGAGTAGCGTTGTGACTCGGGCACGTCCCAGGTCGAGCTTCTCTTGTTTCGCCAGGGGTTCATGATCGAGTTGCTGTCGCGGCTCACGCGATGCGCCTCCTGCCTCACCCTGAAATTGTTGACTAGATTAAAAGACATTGGATTAGATTTTGTTTCATAGCGTGGAATGGCTCCTGTAAATCAAGGCCCTTATCCATAGATTTTGTGATGCCGCACTCGTGAGCCAAGGGTGATATATGTTTGTTAACCCGGCCACGGAATTGCGCGTTGGGAGTTCAATGGTAATGTTGGAACAAAAAGTGATGAGTACACAGCCCCGTTGGGCGGACCATTTGCGCATGCGGCAGGGCGGCCGATTTTGTGTTGGGCACAGCGTGGAGGGCATGAAGGGTTGGTATTCGGGGTTGGCGGGTGTTGATGTAATTGGGCAGATGCAAGATACTTACAAGCCATGATTACTCGATTGCTCTATTCCTTCTCAACTTGCGCTCGCACTCACGCTCAGTCAGACCGCCTTAAAAGCCTTAGACTCGTGTCGTCCAGTCGATGTTGCGCCTTCGGAAGCAAATCGCAGTCGTTTTTTTTGGCGATGCGTTCGGGTGCCGGGTCAATTCGAATTTGGAATCCGGGAGAGATGCGCAAATCGGTGTGAATGTCTCGGTCTCGGTCCTACGAAAGGTGAGCTTGCTAGCCCCTCGGTGCTGGTAATTCTTGGTCGTTTCTCCGCCAAGGCGCCCTCCAGGAGCAAGTCTTCGGCGATGATGTTGAAAACGTTACCGTGCGGGATATTGATTAGGAGAAGAGTTGTAGGTTCGAAGATGTAGAAGGGGATTCTTCCCTGCAAGTTAGGGAAGCGCCGAAATTAGTCGCTTAAAACAAAATGAGGCGTGGGACGATCCGATCCCACGTTGACAAGCGTCGAGGGATGGGCAGTGTATGCGCAATAGAGGAGAGGCGCGATAGCTTGCCGTAAGAAGGGAGAAGACTTGGACCAAAGGTTTTGTTCGAGAAGTGAAAGGTAGTCACAGGGAGAAAAAAATCTGGATTGAAAGAGGTTGGAATGGTGTGTGTGGCCGATACATGTTGCTATGAACAACGGAAGTGACAGGGGTGAAACTTGGTTATTGATAGGTACACGTAGTACCTCGAGTACCTATGTATTGTCATCACGTGAGCTTTCCCTTCACCCAATTTCAGCATTTCTATTCCCAACAAAGAAGACCCTACCAACTACCTACTTTGTTGGTGATTCTTCGTTGTGCGCCGTTCATACTTTACGAACACCACTCGAGCTCCAAACGAAGGGAGGCGGTCTCCCTCCGTCTCCACATTCGACGATCGTAGCTGAACATTCTCCATGGCGGCTAGACTGACTCCATTCCCAGCATCAGGGGTTTCAGGTTGCTCGAGGGATGGAGCAAAATGGGGTGCAACCCCTACTAGCTAACCCAAGACGTAATCGAGCACATGCGATTTGGTAAGTTTGGAATTGCAATTGGATATCTCTGGGAAACAATGCGTAAAAAGAGGAGCTTATCCAGGGACTCCAGGGTCCAGTCGCAATGCAGATGTCGTCCATTCCATCTGTACGTACATTACCCGGTAATTCACTCCGGTATCAAGATTCTCGTGCACACCTCTATACCTAAGGTAACCTCGAAACATCGTCTTGCGAAAAAGATATTGTGTCCCAGTCTCATACTTCTTCTTTCACACCTTCCACATTTCCATCATTCCTTTCATTACCAACTGCTGGCCAGGCAGGCGGCATCCCTCACATGCAAGGAAGTAGAAGTTACTTCCTCCATACGTACCGGTACCTGCCCGTTCGGAAGCTGCCGAAAAAAACTTGGCCGTACGTCAAAGACCACAACCCCTGTATGACGTCGATACCCAACGTTAGAATTTACTCTATCCAAAACACCAAGGGCATCAAGATTTTAAAACTGCCAGTACCTAGAGCCAGGAAACGAAACAAAACAAGATGATGTCCCACCGCCGGCGACCTACAGGATCTCGATATGTTTGAGTGCCGACAAGAGACAAACTGAACTCCTACCCACCGGCCACCGCCTTTCTTACGGGGCACCGAAGGTATGTACACTACAGAAAAGTCTTGACAACAATGGAAAGTGCAATCAAGCTTTTTCGCCAAGCGATTGCCATGAAATGCCATGAGATTTCGAGATGCTGATGGATGGCGAAGGCTTGTTTTCCTTGGCCGAACTTGGCTTTTTCATGTCCTTCATTGGTAACACCGTTTGCCCTGGATGTTTGGTCACCAACTGCCGGAGGTCAAAATACTTCGTGGTTGTGGTGTGTCAAACCAAGCCAAACTTTCCATGTCTGAACAATCAAGGCCCCGTCTTTACTATCTACGCACCACAGGCAACACATCGAAGCGATGTATCAATGCGCGCAAAATGATAAACCAATAGTATCCTCAGATGAAGCCAACGATGATACCCAAAAAACCGGCTTTGGGCTGCAGTACCGTTTGCCAGTACCTTACACTACTGTATTACAACGTTGCCAACGACCAAAGACCATTCGTGTTCGGGCAGCCTATCCGGTGTATGACGATGTAACTGCTTGAAGGCACCAGTTTCGGTCTTCTGTTGGGCTGTTGGCTGCGCCTTGCGTTGGTGAGGTGTGAGACGCATCGATAGGCCCGATGAATTGTTGGACGCTCAGGGTTAGGGTAAAGTATGCAACGAATCCCTGACGTTCGAATATTCAGATCGTCATGAAGATAGAGCCTGAAACTGATAACCAATTGTGCTAGCTAGTGCTACTTGCTGCTGCTGAAACAAACCGTCCCTTGGTATTAATTTAACAACCGCTTCACCTCTTCTGCCTCTTAGCCGGCCTAGCGTTCTTCTCCCGCTTCTTCTCCGCGACCGCCCTCGCCTTGCGGATATCCGTAGCAGTCTTGAGCTCCCTCTTGCTACCCTCACCATCCTTGTACTTGCCGATTCTCTTCTCCTTGGCCTCGGCAACGCGCTTCTTGCGGACGTGGTAATCATCTCTGAACTTATCCGCATCCTTGGGCGCCTTCTCCATCTTGTGCTTGTACCGCGGCTGGCCAGGTTGGCCGCCAAAGTTGCGGATGAGCTGCGACTTCTCCGTCTCGCCGATCGTCGGCAACTTGCCGAGACGGTTGTCCTTGCGCCAGCGGTCGAAGCGGCCGCTCTTGAACGAGGCGGCAATCTTGACACCGGACTCGCCGCGAATCATCTTGGCGCCCTTGGAGCCGTCCTCGTCGTTGGCGACCGCCACGTACTTGCTGTGGCGCTTGTCCCAACGCATCTTGGATTTCGTGGGCACACCGAAGTTCTTGGCACTTTCGTCGTTGGTCAGGTCCATGGTAACGTCGCGAGCGGCCTCGACGAAGCTGTTGCCGCTGTAGCCGCCCGAGTGAACACCGTAAGCCTTCTCCTCCGCGAGGCTGGTGGTGCGGGGCGTGTAGGACATGAAGATCTCGGGATCTTGGAAGTTGACCGGGCCACCCTTCTTCTTCGTATGCATGCTGCTGGATACTGTGACCTCCATCTCGGAATCCGAGTCGTCGGCATATGGGTCTTCCTTGTCCTCCTCTTTGTCTTCCGCCTCTTCCGCCTCTTCCTCATCCTCAAAGTCTTCGAACGCGTTGGTCTCCTCGCCATCAGGCTTACCCTCGGCATCTTCCATGTCCACGTCCTCATCATCCTCGTCGTTAGTAGTCTTGCGCTCCTTGAATCTGGAACGCATATTTCGTACAACTTCCGCGGCCTTGTTACGGCTAGACTTGCCCTTAGGGCCAAGTTCGAAAATGGTTTCCTGAGGCTTGAAGCGGTTTATCCTGCTGAGAAGATCATCACGAGCTGCCTGGGCTTCAGCGGCTTCCTCTCCAAACAAAGGATGGAGCTGTGTCCAGCCCCTGGACTGCGCAACCTCGCGGGCTCTCTTTGCGCTCTGGCTCGAGGCAGAATTCCTCGTCTTCATGTAGAGCTTCTCGGCCTTTGCGGCAACACCCTTCAGCGCATTGAGATCAGCACTCTCCTTGAGCGTCTTCTCAACCCACTCAATGCTAACATCCACTCCATCTCTCTTTAGTGTTCCGACTACGACATCTGCCGCAAAGGAAGGGTTCTTTTGGTCGTGGCCGATGATAAGTTTCCTTCCCAGGAAGAGCTGTAGATCAAGTAGATATGGAAGGTCTGACTGACGGACCAAACCATAAGCCCAACCACGCTGACCCGCACGAGCTGTACGACCAACACGATGGACAAAGATCTTGGGCTGAGATGGGAAATCGTAGTTGATGACGTTGGCGAGAGCAGGCATATCGATACCACGGGCGGCGACATCGGTGACCACGAGGATGTGTGTTCTTCCCCTACGGAAATTGTCGACTTGGATCAAACGGGCCGTCTGGTCGAGTGAGCCGTAAACGTAGGACACGGCAAAGCCTGCAAGCTTCAAGAGGTTCACAATGTACTCGACGTGATGTTTCGTTGCTGTGAAGACAATGGTCGAGTATTCCGTCGGCTTCTCCTTGGGATTGGGTCTATACTCGCGTTTCCTTTTCCTCGACTGCAATTCGTCACTCTCTTCCTTTGTGCCCTCGGGCGGACCCAGGGGAATCTTGATGACGTCGTGGAGAATATGAAGAAGGGCACCCTCCTTCTCGCCGCCCTTTACTGCGAAGAAAGCACTCTCGAGATCGGGTGACACCTTGGTTTCGGCATCCAATCTGACGAGGCTTGGCTCTTGGAGACCGGCTCTGGCGAATTCGACCAAGGACGATGGGAGTGTCGCGGAGAAAAGAAGCGTCTGTCTGGAAGGAGGGAGGGCGTGGAGAATTTCGGACAGCTCGGTAGCGAAACCCATTTCGAAGAGGCGATCGGCTTCATCGAAGACGACGTATTTGATGGAGGCCAAGGACAGATTCATTTCAACCTTGAGATGAAGGAAACGACCGGGTGTGGCGATGATAATATCGGGGTTGGACGCCATCATACCGAACTGCTCTTCCAGGCTGTCACCACCGACGAGCAATACGGTCTTCAGATCGGTACCTCTGCCGAGTTCCTTGACGACCTTGAGGGTCTGCAACGCAAGTTCACGCGAGGGGGACATGATGAGCGCCCTCGCGCCAACACGCGGACTGTGCCCCTTCAGCCTCTCAATCATGGGGATGACGAATGCTGCAGTCTTTCCGGAACCGGTTCTGGCCATGCCCACCACATCCTTTCTCTCCAAGACCAGGGGAATCGCTTTGCGCTGAATGGGTGTCGGGACGGAGAAGCCTTTTCTGGTAATCGCTCGGAGGAGATGGGCGTTTAGACCTAGGAGAGTATCAGCGTCATGCCTCAAGTATTATGAACTTGAACCATGGGACGGGAGACTACGCACCCATTGCCTGGAAGCCTCCACCCTTTTTGACTGATTTGCCCTGAATATTGGAGGACTTTCTTTGCGAGCTCCGTGTGAGCGAAGCGATAAAGGCCTCGTCATCATCGCCCTCGCCGTTAAAGCTAGGTAGTCCATCATCGCCGTTACCGAGAAGATCGTTGAAGTCGAGCTCGAGACCGCTGTTCGTAACGGCTCCCTTCTTGGTGTGGTGCTTGCTGCTGTTGTCTTCGAAGTCGCTGTCGTCGTTGAACAAAGCACCGGCAATGTCGACCTCGTTCTCGGACGGTGTGGGGGACGCCGCGCGTCTAGGCATGATGGGCGAAGGTTGTGTTGCTGTCAATTGCAGCACAAAGTCGCCAAACTGAAGATGCAAAGACGGACGGGGTTGTAGGTTGTAGCGATCAATGCCTGCCCGTCACCCGTAAATTTTGGATGGTCGACTTTTTAGTGGGGCCGATGTGACGCTTTTCACTTATCAGCTTATCAATTACACCCAAGGGTCTTGGCAGCGCCGCGTGCGTTCGCTGCGCTTTCGCGCTCCTGTCGCAAGTCGCAACTGCCCGACTTCCCTGAACTTCCCCAGAGTTTCATTCCGTTTTGTTGACAGAATTCATCTATCAACCCTCTGTGATACAACAAGCATCCCGATTGACCCTAGTGTTTCCCGGCTATCCAAGTTCATCTCTGCGACAATATGGCGACAGACACCAAGGACGCGAAGGACGTGAAAGACGTCAAAGATGAAACTCCTGCCGACACTCGGGATGCGCTCGAAGTGCTAGAATCCGAAGCCAAGGAGTGGGACAAGGCAAGCCACAACAACAACAACGACGCCCAATTTCACCAACCTTCTCGTCGTCAATTGCATAATTGCTAACAATCAGTTTCCCTGATAGGATGCCGAAATAGACCGTATCCTCAAAGCCTTCCGGCTCGACGCCTACACAGTCCTCGGCCTCAAGCCCGGCGTGACCGAATCCGACATCAAGATCGCCTACCGCAAAAAGTCCTTGCTGATCCATCCCGACAAGACCAAAAATCCCTTGGCGCCCGAGGCGTTCGACCGACTGAAGAAGGCGCAAACGGAGCTGATGGACGAGAAGCACCGCAAGAACCTAGACGAAGCCATCGCGGACGCGCGCATGCTGCTGATCCGCGAGAACAAGTGGACGGTCGACAGCCCGGAGCTCAAGACGGCCGAGTTCGAGAAGAAGTGGCAGGAGAAGACCAAGTTCGTGCTGATCGAGAACGAGCAGCGACGACGCAGACAGCTCAAGGCGCAGATGCAGGAAGAAGGTCGCGAGCAGCGGAAAGCTGACGAGGAGGCTGAGCAGCGCAAGCGCAAGAGGCAACACGAAGAGGACTGGGAGAAGACGAGGGATCAACGCATCGATAGTTGGCGCGCGTTCCAAAAGGGCAAGTCCGGGGATTCGGATAAGAAAAAGAAAAAGAAGTTGAAGCCTATTGGCTGAACTGATTGACGACACAAGAGAACCTGCATGCTCTCTCATATGAGCGTGCGCAGCAGTACTTTACGGCAATTGCAACATGTGTTCGTCGACGACACAGCAGCGGAGCTTATAACGGGTCGAAGGAAGCCATTTTTTCAGGCTTGGAGGAATGGGGGTGTTAATACGCAAAGCTGGGGTCGCGACTTGGTCGCTTTTGGGAGAAGGTGTGCTTATGGACATACATATACACGACAGAGAATCATGTGAGTCCGAGAACTTGAAGAGATATATCACAACTTCTTACCTGAACCTGACCAAAGCTTTCAAGGAGGCATCATCATTCTCAGGTATCTTAGCAGCTACGTCATCTGATAGTCGAGATTCCCGCTCAAAGATTGGTTTGTCGTCCCGCACATGCGATGAGCGTGAATCGCGCTATTTATATTGACTCCTCTCTCTATTCCCAGCTTTGCACCACTCTCATATTTACTAATCTTTTATCAGCTGACAAGTTTGACGGTACGTCGGGTATCTCCCTCCCCTCCTGCTATATTTTCTCCATGAACTGCCTGTCTTCGTCTTCCCTCTTGTAGATGCTCCAGCTCTTTTGTAACTTGTAGGTTGTGCATGCTTTGTTTGAGTATACATCGCAGATTTGTAGATTCGACGACGAAGATTCCACCAATTCTCATCCACTCCGTGACACAAATACCGAAGGTTTACTCCTTCGCCTCCTTCACCTTGGGCGCATGCTTCTTCTTGTACTGCACAAACCTTCCCAGGTTTACCAATGCCTCATCGGCCTTTATCCTGAGCTCCTCAAAGGTCCTCTTGTTGATACCTTTGGCAACGGCCTTCAACTTGGCCTGAAGCTCCTCCAAGTGGTTGAGGAAGCCGTCCTTCCAGAATACCTCGGCATCACATGTGTACTCCTCATCACCGTAGATATCAAACACTTCGTTAAGTGCCTGGATGATGTCCGCCGGGGCAGCCCCAGGCTCCCCGGCACTACCGAGAAGAGTCATCAAGAAGAAACCGACCTCCCTGTTGATATCGACAGGGGCGGGATCGCGAGCAAGGGCGCCGAGAATGCCAATGCACTTGACGCCAAGGCCCTGGAAGGGATCCTCCTGAGGTTGTTGCTCCTTGTTCTTATCGTCTACATCGGGTGTGATGGCGTTTTGTTGTTGGGCCCTGGACACTTGGTAAAGAGACATGAACTTGCGGTGATCGTTCTTGCCGAGAGGGGTGGTGCCGTTGAGGCTGCGGGCCACAGCCCATGCGAGGCTGGTCACTTGGGTGGCAAGCTGCAGGTCGGCGCTGTCGGCTTCGAGGATGGGGGAGATGGTCCGCTGCCAGATTCTCTTGCCGGCTGGCGCCCACGCCTTCCAGATGTTGGCGTTCTCACCATCAGAGAACTCAATGCATGAAATGGTCCAGGCAATGTTGTTGAGCGCGCTGATGGCGTGGCCCTGAATAGCTATGCTGTTGTCGTCATCCGCGGCGATGTTGGTCAGCCGGATAAGCTGAGGAATTGCCGTGTTTATAAGTTCGCGGAGGGTGGGTAGATCATCGAGGTCGTCTTCGTTGTCGTCTTCGGAGTCCATGCCGGTCACCTTTTCCAAGTCGGCTTCGTCGAACTCCTCATCATCTGAATCACCCTCTTCTTCATCGCCTTCCTCCTCCTCCTCCTCCTCCTCTTCGTCCTCCTCCTCGTCCTTATCGTCACCAGAGCCTTCGTCAACGTCCATAGCGTCGTCGTCCTTCTCGGTTTCCTCGAACCCATTCCACTCTTCATCCTTGGCAGCAGCACCAGGCTGAGGGCGGTTACCCTTTTCCAGCGCGGTCTGCAAGTCCGTACCTATCGAGGCCACGATCTCGAGAGCAACCTGCATCATCTGAGCCCAGCTATCGGCCTGGCCATTGGCCTTGTTGCTCGGAGGAGGCTGCTCCAAGGCCTTGGATAAGCTTGGAACAAGCATCGCATCGCAAGCACCATCCTTGCCTGGGCTGTGATCCAACCACTGGAGCGACGCGAACACATTATGAAGGACTCCGCAAGCGAACACGGAGCGGGGGCCGCCAGCAGCCACGAGCTCGAGGAGTTTGTCGTAGCAACGGGTCTCTTGATCGTCGGTGATGGCTTGACCGAGTGGTAGGTTGTCTTCGGAGAGCGTCATGAGGCAGGAGAGTGTCTCCTCGAATGTTTCTTGAGGAACGGCATCGGTGGCTACAATGCGGAAGAGGAAGCGAACAACGTTTTGATTGGCGACAATGGCTTCGAGAATCTCATCACGAGCGAGGGCGAGGGAGTTGAGAAGGACGAGGAGCGAATTGCTCATATCCCATACGATGCGTTGCTGGCCTTTGGTGAGCTTCGCAAAGGGCGGCTCGGTTGACGCAAGCGTTTCGTTGAGGGCCTTGGCGGCATGTTCGATGGCGGTTAGGATGTCGAGTCTGTAAAGGTGGACGCAGAAATCGCTCTCCTCCTCCTGGACGAGAACCTTGAGAATCTCCCAGCCGGCGGCGCGGCTGTCGATGCTGTTGTCGGTAAGGGTCTCGGTAAGAACGATGGGAACGATTTGTTCGCGGAGCAGCAGCTTTCTGCACTTGGTGTCCTGAACAATGTTTGCGATGGCACCGGCAGCAGCTGTGCGAGACTTGATATCGGGGCTCTGTAGGTCCTTGACGACGGGGAGAATGCGGCTCTCGCGCAAGGCAGCGAGCTCGGGGTCCGAGGGGGGCTTCACAGGCTTCGCAATAGGGTCGGCGCGATTGGGCCGGACTCTGTTCTTGCGAGACTTGCCCATTGTGTAATGCCGAAAGGTAAATAGACAGTTGTTGAAGGTATGAAAAGGTTGGTATGGTTAAAGATGATATACAATTGTCGATGTGGGAAGCAGGCAAAAGAAAGCTGTGATGGTAGTGAATGGACTTCAGAAAATGATGGAAGAGAAGAAATGTGCAAGAAAAAAAACCAGAGCTTTTCTCCAATTGCGATGGAAACTGTTCGTGCCCCACCCTTCCCGTAGTGGGGCTTCCCCAACTGCTTGGAACCCCGAAGCTTGTCTTGGCAAGTGGGGATGAGATCGACAGGCGCAGCTGCGGAACTGCCCCTGCCGTCCTCTGCGCTGACCCTTGAGCCACGTTTTGTTACCGTTATCGCAGGATCAATCTTTCATAGCTTTCATGTGACATCAGACTGGAAGCAGATGGGCATTTTGCTTCCATTCCGAGTTGCCGACATCATCTGTTGAGCTTGCTGTAGCAGGTCCACAGGGATCTGAAACATCGGCAGTGGACCCGAGATCAATCGAAACTGAGGGACAAAGACGTTCCTCGCCATTGTCTTTGCGCGGCGCAACCGCAAAACGTACGCGAATGACCTCACAATAACCACCTCGAAACATCAGGCGCGAGAGGTGTCAACACTAATATTTGAATCGCAAACCTGGGGCGATAATATCCATCGATACCTATACAAAGCGCGCCATCTTCTGATCTCGCCTAAACCACCTTGAAGCCAGCCAGCCGTTCCTCCGCAGCCCGACCTCGACCTGTCTTTCGGCTTTAGGTCGCCATGGCCAATTTGTTCATGACGAACGAGGAGCTTGGGAAGAAAGACGACGATCACAAGCGGACCAAGATCCCTCCAATCCGATCTTCATATTGGAATGCCGCTCGAATTCCTCCCCGTAAGACGCTGAAGCGTCTCGCTATAGCTTTGACCGTCGCCATCTTCGTCTACCTTTTTATACACAACATACCTACAGATAACCCGATTCGAGACCACCGGCACCCCGTCTATCGCCCCGTTCCCGCTCAACACCCCTCGAACGCCCCGAGCGTTCCCAAGTTGAATCCCGATCGTCCTTGGAAGCCACCGACAAAGCCCGAGACGGTTAAGCAGAAGCCAAAGCCTGTTCCTGAAGTCGACCTAAAGCCTGTCTCGGATGTTGGCTACAATGGCCCGATTACGTTCCCGAACCTCGCCGTGTCGTTACAAGCTATATATGAGACGCAAGGAACGTCTCCCAAGAATAAAAACATACTGTTTGCGGCATCCAGCCTTAAGAGCGCTGCCAAGTTGCTGCCAATGGCTTGTCAGATGGGAACCGAGTTGAGGAGCTATGTGCATTTTGCGCTCATGAGCCGAAGTGATATCGATATCGAACAGCTGCAGGCTATCAATGGCATTGATCAGTCTTGCCAGATCATATTTCACGGTATGATAGAGCTCTCTTTGTAGCAGAGAGTGGATAACTATGACCTGTGTTGCTGACCCAGCTGTAGACGCCCGTCTGGATAAATCGACCGAGTCGACCAAGACACGCCTCTCCAAGGGCATATCTCGTGCCTTCCGTAACTATGAACCTCTCCTACAAAAGTTGTTAGCTGTAGATATCTGACTTGTGGCTGGTAGACCACGTCCAAACGTATATGCACCCGCAAGCTGTGCTTGTAGATGCTTCGGGCGAAGAAGAGGAGTATTTCCTTTCCGCTGCAAGAGCTCAGGCCTCCGAAGAGGGATTTCCTTTGATCGAACTGCCTGAGGGCACACAAAAACGGCTTGCTTGGATGACGAAGCTGGATAGCGCTTCTTTAGCAGGTGAGGAGACAACAGCCCGTTGACTGTTCTTCAAAATGATGATTGCTAACGTCAACAAACAAAGCCTGGAACAAAGTCAATGTCGAGATCCTAGTCTACGCCTCGCTTGGCACCTCGGGAAGCCTTATTCGACTGCTTAAATCTCTGTCGGCAGCGGACTTTACCGCTTGTGCTGTTCCGCACTTGACCATCGAGCTTTCTCACGATATCGATGCCGCTACGACTCAATTCTTACAGGACTTCCAGTGGCCGCCTTCCCGAGCGTATAATCCGACTCACGTTCGTCAACTGACTCTTCGCCACCGTATACCACGTAACAGCTTGACGGAAGAAGAGAGCTCAGTGCGATTCCTCGAGTCTTTCTGGCCCGCCAACCAGCACTCCCATGTCTTGGTTCTCTCTCCGAATACCGAGTTGTCCCCTCGGTTCTATCATTGTAAGCCGCCGAACCCTCAATTGTTACATATATGCTTTGGAAAGCCCCCAACGCTGACAACATATGATAAAGACCTAAAGTACGCACTCCTTGAATACAGCTACTCCGTCCCCGCTACCATGCAGCAATGGGACTCTCGCCTCCTCGGCATCAGTCTAGAGCTTCCCTCAACCCACCCAGGCGATGCTCTCAAACCTTTCAGCCCGCCCTCTGCCTCCAAGAAGGCTACTACTGCGCAACAAAAACAACAAAAGAAAACTCCCACCGAAAACAACACCCCATTCCTCTGGCAAGCCCCCGGCAGCAACGCCATCTTGTACAGCGGCCAAAAGTGGACGGAACTCCACAAACTCGTGTCCAAATCGCTCGAGTTTGTCCACCAACAACAGCAAGCTGCTACTACCAGCAGCAACCCAGCCTTGGCCTTCTTCACCCAGAAACAAATAAGCAAGCACTACCCCTCCTGGCTCGAGCACGCCCTCCGCCTCGCCCGCGCCCGCGGCTACTTCACCCTTTACCCCAGCCCCCAAACAGCGAGGAACCTAGCAACCGTGCACAACGAGCTCTATCGGGCGCTGGAGGAGTATCGCGGGAGCAGTGGTGGCGGTGTTGGTGATGGAAACGATAGCGGCAGCTGGAGTGAGCTAGGGAAACAAAAGGAGGAAATCAGCCTCTCTCTGGGCTCGCTACTGGATAGCTTACCCGCCGGAGGCAATCTGTTGCCCTTTGGTGATATGCCGTTGCTGGATTGGGAGGGAAAGATGACGAGCTTGGCGGAGGTGGATAGAAGGGCTGGGGAGTATGTGGATGAGTTTAGGAGAGCGTTGGGGTGTGGGAAGTTGGAGAAGGGGAAGAGTCAGATGAATGAGGGTGAGGATGAGGAGGATGAGGAGGATGAAAGGGATATTTTGGCTAGTGGGGTTAGGAGAGGGGGGGTGGAGGATTTGTTTTGTAATAGGTAACGAAGTTGGATGGTTGATTGGGGGTGATGTGCTTTTGTTTTTGTATTATGATGGAGGTCTTGGATATCGTACAGTCCAATACTGGTTTGTTTGTTAGCTCGAGACCTCGGGTCAACTTCCTTAGGCGTTTTCATGTCTAAGTGATTCGTTGCGTTCTTCGACCAAAGTGTAATTTAACTGGGAATATGCTTTTTCCAAAATAAAATACACCGTATTAAATCTTGTTAATGCCTTTCGGATCCGTACTTAGCTATTCATTTAGTCCTTGAAAGGTTTGGGATAATTCGGAAGAGATCTTGCCCAGTGTACCAGTAGTAGGTACCAAGCTAACAAATAAACCAGCACTAGATTGTAGGTTAATGCTGGCATTGTTTTGCACTGTATCGTGTCGATTGTCCCCGACACTTGTCCGCTTTCGGTCTTTCCTTTGCTTTGTGGTTATTAACAAACCATTGATAACCTTCTTGTTATACTTACTTTTTCTATCTGTCGCAAGATATTCAAATCAACTTCCGCATGATGATGTCCTCGTCAGACTACTCGTCAGCTTGCTCTCCGTATTTGTTCACAACTAAAAGCGTAATACATGCCCCGACTATGGAAAGGGCTATCACGCCCATGATCTATGCATTACAAACGATTGGTTAGTTATAGCAACTGGGGAGGTGAAGGTCCTTTCTGCTTACGGTCTGTGTTCTCCAACCTGTTTGAACAATTGCCGCCCTACGGCTATACTTATTCACAGTTTCTGGAGCGTACCAATCGGCTCAGATTAGCGTTGCGTTTTTGATGTCGAGATAGGATGATCAAAGTGAACACAACGTACGGATATAATTAGCGACTCCTACACCAAGGCAAGAGACAGACAACGCCCAGAATATGATCCCCAACGGCTTCGCCATCCGCAACTCCAATTCGCTAGCCGCCTTGCGAAGATGGAACGAGAGCACTATGGCGACTGAGACGATAGCCATGTAGATGGACAAACGAAGGAAGGAGAGGAACGCTGTTTGTGGCATGGCATCAGTGAAATATTCATTCACTCAGAAGTAGGTAGGCTTGAGTTAAACATATAATTCGAAAGACGTACTTCTCTCGTTCGCGCAGTGATCTCTACAGTCGCTACTCTCATTTTCGAACAGCAAAGGGCCAAATAAGGGGCAAAGGCAGAAAGTGTTTTCGTTTTCATCGAGAAGACTGGTGTCGGGCCTGTCGGAGAGGTCGATGGGCTCAAGCACTGATGAAGGGTTCACACAGCATGAGCATCCTGTGATTCCGCTATTGGTGTAAGTGCCATTTTCCTCCTCGTCTTCGGCGACGAGGGTGGCGCCTTGGGATGTTGCTGTTTGAGACATTGGGTGTAACCAAGAAGAATGTCGACTATGTAAGATTTGTATTACTGCAGCAAAACACCACTTAGAGTTCGTTGTTGATGGCGTGTTAGTGTATACTTGTATGTCTGTTTTGATTCATAGCCCTTGACCCAGCTGAATACTGAGTAAGGGATGCTGGTTTACGGAGGCGGGTACTACCGCTTTTTTTCAGTCGATGTGGTTTTACTCAACCTGCGCTAAGGTCCGGACTAGCAAAGCCTAACACGGGGATGCAGGTCATACCGACAATCACACCAATGTCTGTTACTGAACTGTTCCGAGGAACCAACTGACCACGTTGGCAAGCGTACGATCGACTGTGACCCGCATCAACTCAGTAATAGATTGGTTGAACCCCTTGTTAGGCTTTGCTTCTGCCAGATGGTCCCGGCCCTATACCTGTTTGAGCAAAACCACATCGACTGAAAAAAGGCGGTATAACGTCATCCCACTACAGCTCAACCCTAACCCTTAATAGGTTGCTGCCTGCTCCGTCCCTTACAGTGGGACAGTGGGGGTCCGCGTTTAGTGCTTGCTGCCTCTCGGCGCGTCCAAACGCGTCTCCCAGCATCAATCTTTCACCCCGCAATCCACCGTTTGATACCAGCTCGACCATCACACTCATTGCCTCCGACTAGATTTCTTGCGACAAGAGGGAACGCTAATTGACTCTTCATTCTATTGCCTATAGATATAACATAGGAATCATGGGTAAGTTGTTCCATGCCAGCTTCCTCAGTTGCTCTCCCAGGCCCCCGCATATCTCCAGTCAGCTAACTGTGACCTTGACAGCGGGCTACGGCGGATATGGTGGTGGTGATGGCGGCGGCTTCATGTCCGGATCTCAACAAGGTGGTAGTCAAGCCGGTGGTTCCAAGGTAAGTTCGTTACATATCTCACCCCCCCTCTACCTCATCCTTCCCCCCTCTTCGCACCTAGGCGCACACTGAACAGTCTCTCTTTCTTCACAAACCAGTACGCCGACGAATCCCTCCGCCCCGTAACCATCAAACAACTCCTCGACTGGGAAGAGCCCTATTCCGGTGCCGATCCCGCCATCGACGGCCACCCGGTAACCCAAGTGACCATTGTGGGCCAAGTGCGCTCCGTCAAGCCGCAACCGACCAACATCACGTACCGGATCGACGACGGCACGGGTGCCATCGACGTCAAGAAGTGGGTCGACTCGGAAGCGCAAGGCGGAGAGGACGGTAGCGGCGCCAGCGCCATTGCGCCCGACGCATTCGTGCGCGTGTGGGGCCGTCTCAAGAGCCTCGGCGGCAAGAAACACGTCAGCGCCAACTTCATACGCCAGATTGAGGATTTCAACGAGGTCAATTACCACCTGCTCGAGGCGACGTATGTGCATCTGTTCTTTACCAAGGGAGCTCCTGGTGGTGGTGGCGTCAAACAAGAAGGTGGTGGAGGAGACAACATGTTTGTCGATCAGGGATACGGAGCCGGAGGAGGCGATGTCGCTATGGGCGGCGCTGGCCCCGGTGGAGGAAACAGTGCGATGCAGGCGAGGTTGTCGACGTGCTCGAGGAATGCGCAGACCATGTGCAACTTTATCAACAACTCGCCTGGCGGGACGGAGGGTGTCAATTTGCATGTGATTGCACAGGGCACGAGGATGTCGACTAGGGATATTGTGAATGCGGCGGACGAGTTGTTGGGACAGGGTATCATTTACACTACGCAGGATGACGAGACGTGGGCTATTCTGGATTATTAGTTCAGAAGGCTCGGTTTTCGCAGGAGCTTTGCGTGAGGAGTCGAGAATGGAGAGGCAGAGAAAGTGGTGCTGGCAGGCCATGCTTGAAATACCACTAGAGGAGGAAAAGGATGGGGAAGGCTCAGGAAAAGTCTGAAGAGGATCATCTTTGTTTTGGTCCCTATCTGGATGAGGAAACGAATGGCGCCTCAAGGTTTGATGTTTTACAAGAATGGACAGGAATGGATGAATTCATGTTTTTGCGGTTTTGCGTCTGTTAACATTTGAAGAGAATATACCCGAGTCAATTGAGGTAGAAAAGGCCTGTCTGATGATCTGTTGTATAGTAAAAAGCTAACATTCTGGTAGGCCTGACAGCTGAATTACAAAAGGAGTGTGTACCTACTATAATTGATGTGCAGCTGACTATCCCACCTTAAAATCAGTTAACGAAAGCCGGACATCCAACAGTGAATCTCACGGTCCGAGGTCAAACGTGAATAAAAGCAAAAGTGTCCAATCTGAGAATATCCGCATAATCCTTCACGCACAATTCCCCCTGTCACCAACAACTTACATCAACTTCTTACCGCCAACTCCCAGACCAACATGGTAATGACCATGAGCAAGACCATGGTGATGGTGGGAGCCGACAGTAGGGAACTTGACCCTAGTAGATCCCATAAGGGTGTTGCTAGTGGTCGTGGTCGTCGTCGAAGGAGCAGCAGCAGCAGCAGCAAAGAGCGCGCCAACGTTCGAGCCACCAGTAACAACATCCTTGCGGGTGTTGGAAGTCATGCCACCACCAGAGGCATTGGGCTCGCGGACCATGATAGACAAACGAACGGGGTTCCGTCCGCGCTTCAGGAAGATGTCCCTCTTGATCTCGAAGCCGAACTTCTGGTAGTAGGAGTTGTTGGCGAGCGAGCTGGATTCGAGGTACATGGGTCTATTTTCGGCGTCGGCCTAGTTAGGTTCATCAAACCTCTGTTAACTTTCCATCCCCGTTTTTTCTATGCTGAGACGACGGACGGGCGCAGCACTACTCACCCGCTGAATCACATCCCTCAATAGCTTCCCCGCGTACCCCCTTCCCTGGGAGCTCGGCTTCGTGCCCAAGTAAACCAAGTACCAGGCATCGTGATCCCTCTCTCCCAGGACTGCCGCCTTGGTGTCGTGCAGGAGCGGGACCACCTCGTCGAAGTAGCGCTTCCTGCCCTCGGGCGAAAGCTGATAGTAGAGCCTCCAGGCTCCGCTGCGGAACAGCACCCACCAGCTATCAAGATCGCGACCAGGTGGTAGCCTGCAATGTTTGGTTACACACTTGATCTCACAGTTACCGTGCGGCTGCGAAAACCCGCGACGTTCTCGCATAAGGCGGGCTTCGAGGACCTTCCCGGGTCTTTTGTTTCTGCTGCATATTTACCTTGGCTTACCTTTTACTTGGTCGAAGCCCGCGCCCACGGAGCTCGAGGTTTTGGCACGCACGGCAAGGAGTCAGTGTGTATGTGTTAGCCAAGACATGTTTTCTGTAATTTGTGCTGATATCATCTCCATGTAGACGGCAAATGGCATACTCAAGTCTCAAGCGCTTATGGAAAGAAGCTGTCTCGACTCAACAGAAGGAGGAGGAGGAAAACGACTTACCAAAGCGCAACGCTATCATATTCCGGGCCAATCGTCGTCACCAGCCCGTTAAGACAATGCATCGCGACAGCATAGGTCATGATATCCACGTGCAGCTTCCACTTGTCTTCTGGAGTCATGATGGTGCCGCTGGAGATCACACCTCTGCTGCCTCCTCCCGAACCAGGAACGACAGCCTTCTCGTCCTCGGGGTCCTCTGTGTTGACAAGATACTGTGCGTAGTCATCGGCAGCAAAGGCGTGAGCCAGGGACAGCGCGGCCTCCCTACACTCCGACATGCCGGCTACTCGCACGGTTTTTTGCCATTTGGGAGGCACTAGGGAGTAGCGCTTGAGCTCGACAACGGTTACTACCGGCGCGGAGCTTGCATTGCCAGAAGCGTTGTTGGATGTAGTTGAATTACTAGTAATCGAATTATTACTAGTATTGACGGTCGCCATGATGGGCAGCGGTTACTCCTGAAGTACCTGATGTGTAAGCCAACGTGTTCTTCATGGGGAGATTGAAGTATCACAGAGAGGGGGACGTGGAGAATGGGTCAAGGAAGAGAAGAAGTACAAGTAAGACGTCCTTTTGGACACTACCATCAAGGGGAATACATAGACCATGAATCCAAGCAGGAACAACACTTGGTGAAAAAGACATGAAGGAGGTTTAACACGCACTTTGCTTATACGTCTGATAATATATTTTGTATACTATCACCCGTATGGACTCTCGAGAGTTGACTTCTCGAGACGGGCATAAATCTAGATGGGTGTCGAAGACAGTTGAGGGCGGTACGGAGGTCAGCCGACATCAATAAGACCTTTCCGACGAACGGTCCTGGCGTTGTATGTGTTGGTGTGGTGCTGGTTGCGTGAACCAAAGTTCGGCGGTTCAACAGACAGTCGAGGCGAGAGGCTTGGTCACGTAGGTAGGTAGAGAAGCAGGAGCAGCGTAGTGTCAAGGTAGAGTATGTAATTCGGATAGTGAACTCTTGGTTATGGGAGCTGGATTGTGGTATGAGGTTATTGTAGGTAACCGTGTGAAGGGTTGAGCACGAGAGAAACAGTAGCTACTGTCAGCCCTTGTGAAGATGGGCCCCAGAAAGGGGACTTTGGATAACTATGTTTTGGTGTTGCTTGAGAAGATGAAGTTGGATGAGAGAAGATTCAAGGGAAGCAGAAACAGCATCCCATGGAGGCATGATCAGAAATATGTACCCCGTGGGTTGAAGGTGGTTGACCTATTGGCTTTGTTCCTCCACCGACCAACCCCCATCGCCATTCAGACGAGCGGTCGCACTGACGGCAGCAAGCCCCTCAAGCCCACGGGTAGCTGAAGGTGATGATAACCCAACATCCCGTACCGATGTCTTGGACAGACGTAATGAGACAGGGGTCTAGAGTCACTGGACTGAGTTGGGTGGAGCGGAGATGCAGCAAACAAACGGGAAGCTATTGGATCTCTGACACATTTGCTCTTGGCCTTATTCTCAAGATCTGACCATTCCATTGGGAACGACGATGATACTCTAGAAACAGTTCGGAGAAATGGTCCATGGTGGACAAGGATACTCGTGTCTGGGGTCGGGTAAAGGGAGAGGCGTGCCGCGGATGATTGGATAGCAATTGTTCCCCAGGTTGACAGACGGCATGAGACGAAGTTTAACACCACGAGGGCATGTACCGAATTGATGTCAACGCCTGTGGGGGTCCTGGCTAGAATCCGATGTTGAAGGTCAGCAAACACCGAGATAGGCAGAGGCGATATGCAGCGTGGGTGAGGAGGATTGGAGGTACGATATGACGAGGAGCACCGGTGGCACCTTGATGGCTGGCGAGGCGGGAGAAAGAGATCGGCTTAAAACATAGCCGGTTGAGGCCCCGTCTCGGAGCGCCCCGAATTGCCTCTGTTGTCTCATAATATCCAATCACAGACCCTCATCCATGAGCACCAAGGCGCTTTGCAACGGGACGATCCATTTGTGGTTGGCCTTGGCTTCAGGAATATGGTCATGCAAGGTGATCAGGTGACGCAGCCATTGCTCTCTCGGCCGCCCTACAACTGATCAATCAAGTCCTTGATAGAGATGCTCAGTGACAAAAAGGGAATAAGATGTTGATTTGTCTTGAGATAAGACAGTATCCCGGTTTCGAAGGTGGTTGGTAATGCTCACCAGTTCTTCGCCAATCCTTCCATCCACAGGCTTGCGCAACCTCCGCAACGTTTCTTATCGCAACGCATGTCATTCCACGGTGCTACCAACTAGGGATACCATTTCAAGCCCTCAAATCAAGGCGTTCGGAACAGGTGGTGGATGTGGAAGTGTAACATGTTCTTTGTCCTCTATTTGCCCTCCCCCCCGCCCCTCATCTTGCTCCCGAATGAACAATCCCGCTGAGCGCCAACCGTGACCGACGCAAGAAAATGAAAATCAGAAACTAAAAGGCTCTTTGCACGACGTCTTATTCGTCAAGCGCACAAAAGCGGATATCTCGGCGTTGGGTGAACGTAGGTAATATGATTAGAGTTATAAGTCCTGTCTGGCTGCGAAAGGCGTAAATCCGGCAGGCAATGGTTTCTTTCTTTCTTTAAAGTTCTCGTTTCCACACACACGATGGTGCTCTCGTTCATCGTGTTTGTCTCTTTGCTTGCACTCGCTTATTAAAGCATGCGGCGGATCTCCTGCTCGTCGGTGTACTTCTCAAGCCCGTTGTCGAGGGAAGCCCACCACTCAAAGAGCATGGACTCGCAGATGAGCTTGAACCAGGGGGTGAACTTGAGAGATGGGTCCTTGAACATCTCCTTGAGCTTCTCGGCAGAAACCCACTGTGTGGCCTGGACTTCGTTCAGGTTGGCGTTTACCTCGGGGTTGGCCTTGATGAAGAGGATGTAATCAACTAGGGTACACATGTTAGCAAATATCACCACCTCGACCTTGTTATCGTGCAGTACTTACTCTCGTGCTCACCCCACTTTCCATCGCTAGGAGCCTTGTAGTGGATGCGGGTAAGGAAACGGAAATCCTCAAAGGGAACCTGCTCCTGCTTGATGCCCAGCTCATGGTCCAATTTCCTCCGGGCAGCGTTCTTGACACCGGCGATAGCATCGGGAAGGGTCGATCCGGTCTCGTTGGCAAGGTTCAGAGGATGCGAGCAGCAGGTGTTGGTCCACATGTCGGGGAAGGTGATCTTTTCGGTGGCGCGCTGCTGGAGAAGAAGCTCGTTCTTGTCGTTGAATAGGAAGACGGAGAAGGCTCTGTGAAGGAGACCCTTATCGATGTTGGTCATAAGATGGCCTGTGGGAGTGGTGTCGGTCAGCGAATTGTGTCAATGGGCGGCTCTTAGTTCTTTCTCTTTTTCACTTACAGAGCTTCTTGCTGGCAGTGCCAATGGGGAGGTCATTCTCGTCGGTGACAATGCAGACCTCGTCCATCAAGCGGATCTGCTCCTCATCGTGACCCTCGAGCGCGTCGCTCCTCGTGTCGATGTCGGGAAAGAGGCGAAGGATTGTCTCGGCCGTGATGGGCTCGGCAACGGTGGTAGTGGTAGCGGTCGACATGTTGGCTCGAAGGGTGAGGGTTGTCGAGGAAGTAATCGATTGTAGAGGGACGGCCTTTGTAGAGGAAAAAGGGGTCGAGGTCGAGAAGCAGCGGTTCGCCTCTCGGGAGCACCAGAGGCGACGATGGGACGGCACAGCAGCCACAAACAATGATAATAATGTTGGAGTGGCGGGGCGCCGCGGGGGAGTTAACCTCAAACAGGCAATTTTCGGGGCACGAGCCAAGTCCAGAACGGGCCCTTGATGTGACAAACCCCTTTTCGACCACTCAGAGCTCGGCAAACACTCGCGAGTCGCGACACTATCGCCTGAACGGTTTGGGCGAGCCCGGGCGACTAGGCTGAATATCGGTTGGGCTCGCATTGAATGTTGGCAATTCTTCCGAGGTCTGAGATAAGAGACTGTTTGGCAGTTTTCGTGGACGCAAGCGAGCTGGCCGTTGACGTGGGAATGGCGTCTTGTACGTTGATTGGTTGTTTTGCCCAAGCAGAAACGAAAATAGGGGTTCTCGACGCAGAGCTTCCATTTGCTTTAGAGAATGCTACAGCACACTTTATTTCGTCCGTTCACCGCCGAGCCATCCCGTCGGTAGTGGATTCAGGTACCGTTAACGTTGATCCCTGCATTCGCTACCCCACGCTTTGGAGTACGGATGAGCGCCCCCATTTGTTGTTTCCCCTGGCAAGACGTCAGCGACCAACACGCCATCCCAGGATGCCCGCTTACCCTGCACTTCATCTGAAAACCTTCACCAGTAGCACGATGCTCAAACTCTGAAGAGTAGGTAGACACCATTACCGAGTTGAGGATCTTTCCGCTCTCAATCACTATATAGCACTCGTACAACGTGAGAAGTAATGGAAGAATTCCAAATTTCTAGATGATGTCCCAAATAAGCGCCAGATTATAAGCGCAGTGATATGCATCCGTCCTTCTCGCAGCATATGGAAACGCCCGAAATGCTTGAGCCTTTGAAGGCACTCGAGTGTTGTTAACCGGAGGCATTTCTGTTTTCCGCCTCCCTGGCAGCCAACTCCCAATCAGAATACCAGACAAACCAATACTCAACCAATGACACCCTGCAATCAAGAGAAACCCAAGGTCAGTAGTTAGTTCAAAAGAGAGTGGGTAATCACGAGAAGGAGAGGGGGGTAGACAAACAGTAAAAGTCCAAACGAAACGCCCATCCATAAGCCCACGAGATTCCATCCCAAGCCAAAGCCCAAGCCGAGCGAGATGGGCAAGGCAATCACATAATAAGCTATGAGGTTCACGTAGCCGCCGATTTCCTGGCGACCGATACCCCGCAACAGACCGTGCGACACGGCAGCCATGCCATCAAACAGCTGCATGATGGCACAAACGGGAAGCGTCTGGGCCACCAGCTTGATCACTTCGGGGTCTTGGGTGAACAACAGTGCGATCTGGTTCCGAAACACGGACAATAGTGTCACGTTGAAGAGGCCGACAATGACACCGCCGACAACAGTCTGATTAGAGCCACGTTTTGTGTTAGTAACCTTCCTTGAGACATTGATTCGCAACGGGAAACCAGAAACATATCACTGAACACTCACCACTCTAGCCGACGTCTTCGCAGCATCCACCAACTTGGCTCCGATCAGGTTCGCAACTCTGGTCGAGCCAGCAATCGACAACGGGAACGGGATCTGGAACGTCGTGGACGTGACAGTAACAAGCACACTCTGCGCCGCCAGATGAGCGACACCAATCCTCCCGCTCGCCAGCGTCAGGATCTCAAACGCGAACCACTCGGCCACCACCATGACCATGCCCGGCAGCGCCAGCCGGACCATGGGCCCCCAATTCCTTAGCGCCGCCCTCTTGAAGCCTCCCCATGCCTGCCTCCCGTCAACCTTCCAGACATACAGCAACAGGAGCAGGGGCAGCATGTTCTGTGTCGTTGCGACCGCCAGCGGAGCGCCGACGAAACCCCACCCGAGCTTCCACACGAAGAGCCAGTTCAGCAGCACGTTGGCCGGCGCCGCGATCAATAGCACGTAGGTGGTAGCGTGGAACAGGCCCTGGGCTTGCACGAACCGCTTCCCGCCCTCGAACATGGCATAGGCGGGGGTGCCGAGGAGAATCACACGGAGATACTGGGCCGCCAGCTTGGCGCTGTCCTTCTCGATCATGGCCGCCAGGATCGGCTCCGCGTTGAGCCAGATGGCTGCCACAGGGATGAGCAGGAGGAGCAGGAAATACACCATGCGCTGGAGCTGCAGCCCTACAAGCGTCTTGTGGCCGCTCCCGTAGGCCTGGGCGCAGAGCGTGTCGAGCGAGGTGGCGAGACCCTGGATGGGCGCGTAGCAGGTGATGCTTGCGGTCATGGAGGCAAGGGAGACGGCACCGAGCTCGAGGGTGCCGAGGCGGCCGACGGCGAAGATGGACGTGACGTTGAGGGAATACTGGAGCAGGAAGGTAACGATGAGGGAGCGCGAATAGACGGCGATGGTCTTGGCTTCGCGCTGCCAGGTTGTCTTGATTTGACCGGCGGCGACGGCGGCTTCCCATTGCTCGTTGAGGTGCTCGTGTTCATGTTCGCGGTCGTGAGAGGAGGGCTCACCGCCGTGACCGTTGGCGCCGCGGTGTCGGAGACGTCTTTCGCCAAGCAACGGCTCAGTCTCAGTCACTGTTGGCGTGGGAGGGGCGATGACAATCTGGATAGGACTGGCGGCCCCTTCTTCATCCGGTATCCTTCGTGGGACCTTGGTACTGAATAGTCTGGTATATAAAGCCCTGAACAGTGTCGGCTCTTGCGGCGGACGGTCGTGCTTCGGAGGAAGAATGTGGTTGTCTCGGAGGAGAGATCGCTCCTCATCACGACTTCGCGTCCTTTCGGCTCTGGTGAGGATTGGCTCTTCTCCTAGCCCTCCGGGCCCAGCTAGGGCAGGTCTAATCGCTCCAAATGCGACACCGCTGGGTCGTCTGTAAAGTGTAGGACCCGGTGTATCGTCCTCGTCATCGCTCACGGATAGTGCTTCATTGTCGACTTCGTCAGCCGCATCATCCGAGAACTCAGCCAAGTCTCGGGCCAACACCTCTTGGGCCAGCGGCGATGCAGAACGGAAAGAAGACGCAAAGTCAAGGCCCGCCCCCGACCTTTTCCTGGGAGGTATGGCTTGGTTGGAAGACATGTTGGACCTTTCCTCTTGTTGAGCTTTTCCCTCTCGAGGTCGGCCCACGCCAATACTTGATCCTCTGTTTCACAAGAGACGGTGAGAAGCTCGGAACGCGGTTTTGATGTAAGACACGCCTTTTTTCTATCCCTTCAAATCTGGATATCGAAAATTCAAGCTTGCCTGGATTTTACATATGTTTATAGTCACAACCTACTCAACATTGTTAGCCGTCATAGCTGTAAAGCCACAGTAACACTGCATAACTTACCTGCAGAACGCCGTGTCCTCGATGCTCGAGCGGAATAGACGGGACTAATTTGTCTTTGCGGTGACGCAACAACCCAGCCAATCAACGAACCCGATGATCAGATGCGTTCGTGCAGACTGCAGAAAGCATAAAAGGGTTCTTTGAGGATGGGACGACAGCTGCCACCGAAGGGAACCGAGGGGATGGTTCTCAAGAGGTTTAGGAACAGTTTGACAGACAGCCGGGAGGTTCGGGTAAAGAGAAACCGATGAAAGTTTCCAAAGATGACTCGGAATGAAATAAAACAACTAACATTTGTCTGACATGGAATTTTTCCCCCACTTCTTGCCTTTTAGACCCTGGCAGACGTGTTAAGAGTGCGCCCTTCGAGCGCCCGTAGCGCTAGCGGGATCATCCACCGGAATGGCAGGCCCGGTAGCACTAAGCGCTCTTCCTATGCAGCCCCGTCCCCGGCATAGACGGGACCGGGGTAGGTGCGACAACTAACACCTACCTCGCCTGCCTCTATTCACAACTTCCTACGCTTACGGACAACACCATCTTTGACTTTTGTCAGGCTTGTAATATCAACTCTACTATCCGATTCCCGGAGACTCCTATTTGTTGACACCGAGGTCACGCTTGGCGCAACATGGAAAATCAACATCCACTCGCCACTGACTCCCCAAATGACCTCAGCAATACAAAAAGTTACGATTACGTACAGTGAGTCACCGGGCTGCTACGACAAAACTTGAACCTTCCCATCTCACGGACGAGACAAAAGGAGTAGGCCGGCTGGACTTTTGTGTAAATATCAAATGCAGTGGAATGAAGGGGCTTCAGCCTCTTCCATCCAAACTGCATCAACCACAAGACTCCTTTGTACAACCTTTGCAATCGAATTCCCAGAAATGCTATCTTGAATACCCGTTAGGAACCTTATGACACAGTTTAAATGATATAGTCCGCTTTTCTACTGCATATGCATGTGCGTGGTGTCTGCTTAGCCTCCCTTTCTTTGGCTCTCGATGAATACTTCCATCTCCTCCTAATGATCCCTCTCAACGTTCTAAAACACACCAGATCACATAACCCTATACATCGCCCAACCTGCAGCCCCTTTACTTCTCACCCTCCCAGTCGGGGTTCTGCGGGAAAAGGTTAGTAAAACACAATCTTATAGGTCATGTTATCGATCTGCACGTACCTTGCGAAGAATGACGAGACCCTCAAGGGTGCTGCTAAGGCTGATATATTGGTCATCCTCGAGCTCAGCACGCTCACCATAGCCCAGTAGTACTGGTGTGCTCTGGGTCTGCCAGCCGGTGATGGTCTTGGGGCGACCAGCCTGGCCCACCACATCAACAGCCTGACCGACACGGACGTTCACTGTCAAAGGCTTCAAGTCCTCATCCAGGGTAACAAGCATGCGGGGGTGCATTGCTGTCACGATCCAGTAAAGCAGGTAGTGGGAGTTCGAGGTGATGAACTGCTTGGCATCGATCATGGCCACCAGGACCGCGAGGAGACCGGCCGCAGCCACGTTCGAAAGCACTTGACGGTCTGTGTGGAAGGGGCTAACGGTAAGGGTGCCCTTGCCCATGTGCAAAAGACCTTGCGCGATACGGACCATGAACAGAGACTCCTGATCTCTGTGATAGTAGCTAGCCAGCTGACGAAGCAGCTGGGCAAGTCTGGCGTTGTTTGTACCGGCACCCAAGAGACCCATGGCAAAAATGGCGTTGATGGCGACTTCATTGTCATTGTCGTGGCTGTACCGCGACAGGGTGTCGTAAACCTTCATTTGAGGGTTGCTAGGGCTGATGAGACCCATAGCCAGCGGCACCGCTCGTCGGATGTTAGCTTCGCCATAGTGCATAAGATGGCCGAAATGGCGGAGGCACATTTCCTGCCCGACGTCTTCGCCCATGGCAATCAAGCCAATACCGAGAACTGCGTAGGCCTGAAGCAACTCTTCACCCTTCTTCTCCTCTCCATCCTCGATGTGCTCGTTGCAAATGTGGAGGAGCTCCTGGATCTTGAGGACGGCACCGGTGCCAGCCCAGGCGCAAATCTCAGCAAGAACAGCAGTTGGCTTAGCCATGGGATGCTCAACCGCCTTGAGCGTCTCAAGAATAACATCCACCTCTTCCTGGCGGCCGAAGTACAGGAGACCCAAACCAAGCGCAAGGAACCTGGACCACTTGTCATTGAGTCGGCTCCCACTTTCCTCGTCCAACAAGGTAGTCACGATGGCCTCGCTGACTTCGGAATTGGAGGAGCCAACAAAAATCATACCGCAGGCCAGGGCAGCCATGGCCGATACCTGCATGCTCTCCTCAGGGTCGCTGATGATGTTGACCAGGAACGAGAGAAGCTCCTCCTTGCAAGACCCAGCGTACGCCAATCCGAGACCCATAATGGTAGCCACGCGGATGAGCGGGTTCTTGTGCGCAAGCTTGTCGGGATCGGCCAACAGGGCCATCGCGGGCTCGGAATCCGTCCTAACGTTAGTATTCATGATACCGATCGCAAGGTATGCGCCGGCTTGGATTTGCTCCTCCTCGAGGTAAGTATACTTGTCGACGTGGTCGAGACCGTTTTCGACGTCCCAAAGGAGTAAAGTTCCGAGCGACGCCACTGTAGACATCATACCCTCATCCTTGGTCTTCCACACCCAGCTGTCCTTGTCCTTACCAACGAGCATCATCTTGTCGCTCCCAAAGCCGGCATTGACAAAAGCGTTGACGAAGCCAGCGGCGAGATTGTGTCGGGCAGAGTCAAAGTTGGTCATACCAGCGACACGGCTGCTCTCGAGGTGGCTCTTGTAGATATCCTCAGTCGTCTTTGGCTCCAAAATGTTGAGTTCCTTTCCGAGAGACTTGAAATACTCCGACAGCTTCTGGTTGGAGAGGCACTCGTAGATCTTCTCGTCGTCATCGTTGCTCCTTTCAAACTCCAATGGAATGCCCTGGCGCGCGATAAGGAAAGCGAGCTGCTTGCGAAGCGCAGGATCCTCGTCCGCCGCCTCGAAATCGTTCTCGATGAGTCCGAGATCGTTCAGTCTGATCGCAAGCACCATGGCTTGGGTATGCTGGTTGTATTTCTTGTAGATGCTGTGCGCTACGCGAAGGAATGTCTCGTTGTCGGGATAGGTGAGGAGGTTGACCATGGAGACCATATACAGGCAGACTCTCGAGTACGTGTTCTCGTCGAGGAACTTGGGAAGCTCCTCGATGATCTCGAGCTCGCTCATCAGATCGACGGCATCGGCTTCAGCGTTGCTCTTGAGGAAGAGCGGCACCAGGACCAGGGCAAGATCGACCAGCTCTTGAGTCGGCTCATCGTTGGCTATGCGCTTGGCGTAGACCTCGCCAATCTCGAGGGCGAGATGGCGGACGTACTCATGACCCCACGATCCAATATCCTGTGTCGGAGAAAGGAGTCTGTATTTAAGAGTATCCTGGCGGTCTTCGTCCGAGTATGTCATGCCGATCACCGATAAAACATCTGCGAGAGATGACTTGTCGTGGCCAGCGAGCCATTCGTCGTGGAGTTTCGTCAGGGTTTCATAATGCGGGCGCAGGAACTTGAGCGGCTTCGGTACCGCCGTCATGGAGGATGTGGATGTCTTGATGGCGTTCTTCATGGCCTCGAGGGCCGGCTTGTAGAGGGTCGCATCGGATTCCTGGAGACATGCATTGTTAGAGAAGCCCGTCTCAAGCCTCTATCACGTCATTGCGAAAAACTAACCGTTAGCCGCTCGACGAGCATCTCAAGCTCGCTCTTGAGCTGCTGATCCTCTTCACTGAGTTCCTCGGAAGCTAACGCAAAGCGCTGTCAGCAGAAGCCCGGCGCCGATACCTAAAGTCGGTCGGAGTGACCGAGAAACCCACCATTCTGTTCCTCCTCCTTCTTTCCGCTTGCGGGGGTCTTTCCATCGACATCTTGGGGTTTCTTCTCGTCGTCGACGGCCTTTCCCTTGCCCTTATCGGCCGTCTTGGACAGGTCGCTTTCTTGCGCCATGATTAATGGTCGTGATGGTTGTAGGTGGGAGGATTCGCAAAGCCGATGGGTCCAGTTGGAGGGGAAACCAAGGTCGGTTGGGTTGACCGGGGTCGATGAACGCGGCGGTGGCGTTTGCTGCTGAAGAAATGTTCAAGTTTTGTCACCAAGATTGCTTGAGCGACAGGAACTTGAGGTCCGGTCGTGAGCAGAATGTCAGAATTAAAAGTGGATGAGATGAGTTGGGTTGTTTGAGTTTGTTGTTCAGGTGACGGTTTGGAGGACGGAGCTTAACAGATTCGCCCAGAAGCAGCGAGTTGCTGAAGCCAGCAAAGGTCAGTGGCAGTTACGGTACTGTGGAGTCAATGCCAGGGAGCTCCAGCCAAGCAGGTGCGGTTGCAGCAGACAAGTGGTTACGCGACTCGCTTGCCGCCTGAAGCTCCCCGTCTGGCTGAGAACGCCCCTGCGATGCTGCCCGCCTCAAGTGGGTCCTGAAGCCTTGGTGGGGATGAGGCGTCATCAGAGACTGGAAGATACAAATTCCGCTCCTCCCCAGCTTCTGATAAGATAAGCTACTGGCCTGGACCTGGCGTTTGGACCACCACCTCCACGAGCCCACAGCCAGCCCTATCTTATCGGGAAGATCTTATCGCAACCGTGCATTTGGAATTTGGGGACGCCCACTTTCCGTTCTGGACATCAGCTTTGAAGTTTCGAGTCGGTACATCATATCACTTTCACCCAACCTGGGCCTGTACTT